CACTCTGTTTTTTTTTTTCCTTTGGCCAAATGGGTTGTTTTGTTGCATTGTCTTGATGAAGTTTGAGGATCCGAATGCTGCTCAAAGGGTGGAATTCTAGTGGGTTTTTTTTTGGGAATGGTAGATTTAGAACGGGGACTTGATTGCGCACTGGAAGAAGTCTGAATTGTGTATTATTTAATCGCATAGGCTCGAATTCGCTTCGAAGGTTTTTCCAGAGCTGAAGAGATAACAAGAAACAAACGGACAAAACGAACAATGAAACAAGCTTTAGTATAAGTTGCTCATTTTTGGACTACATTACATAGTTTGGTTCATTTTTGGATTGCTCTGGCTAATTGAGCTTTGAGTGGACTCTTTAGTTAACTCGAGTCCAATTCAAGTCAATGGCTAGCTGCAAGCAACAGTAGAAGGTGGCAAGAGCTGGGAGGAAGCATTCTCTCAATCTCTCCTCTGCATTTCCTCTTTGTCTTGTCCTCTCTCTTTAGTTCAGTGGCAGAGTTGGACAAGTGCTTGTATGACGAAGTTTATGTTTTTCGACCCCATTCTCTTTTAGATCTTATTCAGACTTATGTTACCTGCATTAATCTCATTTTCGGATTCGTGGCTTGGTTCATTTTGTGTGTTTGTCAGATTCTCAATGCTGTTGCAGTAACAGCACCAGACTTTTGACTCTTTATGTCTGCATTTCCTAGTCATGGTAGGTCAAGCTAGGTCAACGGCATGTTTAGTGGGAATTTGTTGCCATGCCAGGAGCTGGAGGCCATCTGTTTCTTGCTCATAGCTTTTGGAAATATTTTTCATTTGTGGAATATCCAATGTGTTTCTTTCGATTTGCAGACTACACCAGTCAACATAATAGTGGGTTCTCATGTATGGGTTGAAGACCCTGAGGCGGCATGGGTTGATGGAGAAGTGGTAAAAATAGATGGAGAGCAAGCCCACGTCAATGCTACCAATGGGAAAAAGGTGAGTTGGTGTAGGTGCTAAGTGAGTTACCATTGTCTGCTTTAGGCTGTGAAAGATGTATCTTATCTACTTGACATATGATTGCCATCATTTGTTTAAGCTAGAATCTAGAATTTTCTTTATCTGTTGATAAAGTACTTGACTTGTGGCTGCATATAGTTTTTCTATGCCTTAAACTCCCAGTTCAGTGGTATTGCATGATCCCATATCTGAAAACCACTGCTAACCTGCTATTATGCCAATGAAAATGACTTCAGGTTGTTGCAAATATATCGAAAGTGTTCCCGAAGGATACAGAAGCTCCAGCTGGAGGTGTGGATGACATGACAAAGCTGTCATATTTGCATGAGCCTGGAGTTTTGAGCAACTTGGCCTCCAGATACGAGCTCAATGAAATTTATGTGAGATACTTCTGAATTTTCTTTCTTTCTTGTTAATGAGGGAACCGGTTTCCTATGAAGATACTTCGTTTGAATTGTGGGTCTGCCTTCTCAAATCAAATGCTTATTCTGTGTGCCATGTAGACTTACACGGGAAATATACTGATTGCAATAAATCCTTTCCAAAGATTACCGCACCTGTATGATACTCACATGATGGAACAATATAAAGGTGCAGCATTTGGAGAGCTAAGCCCACATGTTTTTGCAGTTGCTGATGTTGCATATAGGCAAGTGTAGTAGTTTCTATTTCATGCTGCTGTTACGTCGTGGTTTTACTGAATTCTGTTTTTCCATTTCACAGGGCAATGATTAATGAAGGAAAGAGCAACTCGATTCTAGTTAGTGGAGAAAGTGGTGCAGGGAAGACAGAGACAACAAAGATGCTCATGCGATATCTTGCATACCTTGGTGGTCGGTCTGGAGTGGAAGGGAGAACTGTCGAACAACAAGTTCTAGAAGTAAATTAAATGATTCTTACCCTTTCCTGGACACACGTATCTCGTTTCCTGTAATATATTAATTCAGATTGATTAAGTTAAATCTGGTTCAATGAAACAGTCCAACCCGGTTCTTGAAGCCTTTGGCAATGCAAAAACTGTTAGGAACAACAACTCCAGGTTAGTACTTTATTTCCTGCAACTTTATCTACTCAATACCTCAAAGGAGGAGAGAAAGTATGGGATGTGTTGACAGGTTTTGGCCTAATGGTCATTTATGGTCAGATTGTTGCATGTAGGGGATGAATAATGAATCGTCAATGTTATTCTGGCTAGTTAGATACGGTCGTTTATGGTCAAATTGTTGCATCAGACTTCATTTTTGGTTTTGCAAAGCTGGTTCCATTTTTCTGTACAACTCTCTTCTAATGGTAGATTGCTAGTTTCTGTCAACTATGCGTCAACTGAAATATTAATGTCAGACTTGGATACATAAGGTTGTCTGTCGTGATCATACATGTCTCGCTCAGATATTTTTCATCATGTTTTGACAATGCAGTCGTTTTGGTAAATTCGTTGAGATCCAATTTGACAAGAATGGGAGAATATCTGGGGCTGCCATACGAACTTATTTGCTGGAAAGATCCCGTGTTTGCCAAATTTCTTCTCCTGAAAGAAACTACCATTGCTTTTACCTTCTTTGTGCTGCACCACCTGAGGTACCAACACCTTACTTCCATATAAAGTGTGCAAGTTCAACTGAGGGTCCTCATTGTTGAGCATATAATTATATGCAAATTATCTGTATTCCCAGGAAAGGGAAAAGTTTAAGTTGGGAAGCCCCAGCTCTTACCATTACTTGAATCAATCAGACTGCTATGAATTGGCTGGTGTAAATGATACAGAGGAATACCTTGCCACAAGAAGGGCAATGGATGTAGTTGGCTTAAGTGAGGATGACCAGGTCAGGATCTCCATTGAATTCGGGGAATGGCTTTCTTTATTGTTCACTTTCCACTCACATTTGGTCTCTCTTTAGGATTCTATCTTCAAGGTTGTAGCGGCTGTTCTGCATCTTGGAAACATTGAATTTGCTAAGGGGCCGGAGATAGACTCTTCTGTAATTAAGGATGAGAAGTCAAGGTTCCATCTCAATACAGTGGCAGAGCTACTCCAGTATGGCTCCTTTTCTTTGACTTTGGTTCTCCTTTTATGTTTATCGTGTTGCATGTATTCTTTGACCAAATAGCTCCTTTGGTTTATGAATGTAGGTGCGACGCTAAAAGCTTGGAAGATGCATTGGTAAAGCGTGTCATGGTAACACCTGAAGAGATTATTAAGAGACCTCTTGATCCTGTTGGTGCATTAGGAAGCAGAGATGCCTTGGCAAAAACCATGTATTCCCGCTTGTTTGATTGGTAAAGCAACATTTACTTCCTTCTTTAACATGTTAAGCCACGAATAGAGTAAATAATTTTCAGATATTCTGTAGAGTTGATCAAGCTTGCAATGGTTCTAGAAGTTGTAGTCTCTAATGAACTTTCTTTCTCTCCACAGGCTTGTTGATAAAATTAACAATTCAATTGGGCAGGATCCGAACTCAAAAACCTTGATTGGAGTTCTTGATATATACGGTTTTGAAAGTTTCAAGTCCAATAGGTAAGTTGTGACATCGAATGCTATATGATGTATAATATTTTCCCTATGGCCAACTAATTGTCATGCTATGTAGTTTTGAGCAGTTCTGTATCAACTTCACAAATGAAAAGCTGCAACAACATTTCAATCAGGTTTGTTGGTGTTTCTGCATTTATCTTCTGTTGGTTATGGTGGCTTAGACTTTATGGTGACCGTGGTTGCAGCATGTCTTTAAAATGGAACAAGAAGAATATACAAAAGAAGAAATCAATTGGAGCTACATCGAGTTTGTTGATAATCAAGATGTCTTGGATCTGATTGAGAAGGTATACTAAAATGACTATGCTTCACATTTCGTTTTCATTTCTATCAGATCCATGTATTTGAAAACTACAGCAGTTTAGGGAAGGCTTCACATATTTCTAATTTCCTTCATGAAAAAGTACAACCCCTCTCCCAATCCTCTAGATATCGGGTCCAAGGCCCAAATTAAGAATATAATAGAGCTGCAGGTTTCTTCTCTAAAATTTTGCAATTGGTCTAAGATGATTTCATATTTCCCCTTATGCAGAAACCTGGAGGAATCATAGCACTTCTGGACGAAGCCTGGTATGCAGTTCAAACTTTGGTCCTGAGCCATTAATTTGTTATTTTAAGTAGCTCAAAATTCCTTGACATGCAATGTTCTTCCCATTTTGGGTTTGCTCATATACATTGGCTTGCTTCAACAGCATGTTCCCAAAGTCTACACACGAAACATTTGCACAGAAGTTGTACCAGACATTTAAAAACAACAAGCGCTTTATCAAACCAAAGCTATCTCGTACCAGTTTTACAATAGCTCACTATGCAGGAGAGGTGAATTTCTATTCAGAATGTATTTTTACTTGGTTCTTTCTGAGTCTAATACTTGAAAATTAATATCTTGTTCCTTCTCCATAGGTGGCTTATCTGGCTGATCTTTTCCTTGATAAAAACAAAGATTATGTTGTGGCAGAACACCAGGATCTCCTGACAGCATCAACATCCTCCTTTGTGGCCAGCCTCTTCCCAGCACTTCCACAGGAGACGTCAAAGCAATCCAAATTTTCTTCCATAGGGTCTCGCTTTAAGGTAGACTGGTTTCCTTCTTCCCATGTCCTACATTTACTTTGAAAAGAGGAGAGAAGGTTTGTCTGTGCTTTTTTAAGGGTGGGTGGGTTGGGGGTGGAGGTGTTGTGTTATCTTCCTGCCGGCAGTACTGCATTATGCTGCTGTGGAGTTTCCATCTCAACAACTCTCTGCATGTTTGTCTGATCATTATCTTATATGTCTGCCCGTCGTATGTCAAAAGTATATTCAATTCAAACGTGAAGATTGTATGTTCTAAAGTTCACATTGACATTTTTTATGGGGCAAGTACTAGAGCATTCTTGGAATATTCATTTGAAAAAATGAACCATGAAGGATTCCTATCTACATGTTGCTCTCTGATAAAACAAATCGGTGAAGGGTTTGTAAGGCCCGTACAGGCGCAAGTGTGCTATATGACTTTCTGTGGTCATTATTTGGACTGGCTTCTCTTTGTTGTGCGTTGATATTTTCCGATTTTAGAACCTCTCAGTTCCCAATAGTCTGTGCTTGTAGCTTAATAGAATATATTACCGAATCGTTACAAGAGTGGAGTGAATATCATTGGGTGGTGCCAATTGTTATGCTGTACTTCTGTCAAAAGTAGTGTACTAGATTTGAAGTCTGTTTCTTGTCCTTCTTTCAATAATTATTAGGGTTCTTGGAATCTCATGTATGGAAGTAAACAACTTATACTATATCCAAAATATTCCCCTGATCCATGGAAGTTTTTCATTGTTGACAAATCTGAAAATGTCTTGATTTTGCAGATTCAACTCCAATCCTTGATGGAAACTTTGAATCAAACAGAACCTCATTATATCAGATGTGTGAAGCCCAACAATGTACTGAAGCCTATGATTTTTGAGAATGTTAACATTATCCAGCAACTACGATGTGGGGTAAGTGTGATCAATCCCTAGTTTTCTAATTGTTTTCATTCTACTGCTTCCTTGTCTTCATTTTTTAGATCTATTTTTCATTAAACCAATTAGATTCTCAACTAGGAATTTAAAATCATGCCCATTCTCATATGTCATTTGTGTCATGCATTTTCCTCAGGGTGTTTTAGAGGCAATTAGAATCAGTTGTGCTGGATATCCAACCAGAAGAACATTCTATGAGTTTCTTCTCCGGTTTGGTGTTCTTGCTCCAGAAGTTCTTGACGGGAAGTAAGTCATAAAGAGTAGATAGTTTTGTGGCTGGTATTCTCCTTTTCTACTGGGGGAAGGTTTGCCTGGGGTAGACTAAATAGCTCACTCTATAATATATTTTTTCTTCCTTTTCACTCTTGCTGTACAGCCATGATGACAAGGTTGCTTGCCAAATGATTTTGGACAAAATGGGAATGCAAGGTTATCAGGTGAGAACTTATATTCGCTGCAATTTTATGTTGACATACCTGTTGGAATCTTGTTCTACTATATGAAGTTCAAGGAAATTATTGATCAGTATCTGACAACTATGTGGATATTTATTACTTTCATTTAGCAGCAGACCATTGGGATTTGTGAGCATAATATATCATTTGACACATTTCCTATACAAATTTGCAGATAGGTAAGACAAAGGTATTTCTTAGAGCTGGTCAGATGGCTGAACTAGATGCAAGAAGGTCAGAGGTGCTTGGAAATGCAGCTAGAATCATCCAAATGCAGATCCGCACATATATTGCACAAAAGGAGTTTGTTGCCTTACGGCGATCTGCTATTCGCTTGCAATCTCATTGCCGAGGTGTCTTGGCTCGCAGACAATTTGAGAAGTTGAGAAGACAAGCAGCTGCTTTGAGAATCCAAAAGAACTTCAAGGCATTCACAGCCAGGACATCATACATGGCTCTCTATTCATCTGCAGTCACATTGCAGACAGGCTTAAGGGCAATGACTGCTCGCAATGAATTCCGTTTCAGAAAGCAGACAAAAGCTGCAATAATCATACAGGTCCCACCTCATTTTCTTTTTCCTGATGCCATGCTCTAATTTCTCAGTGACAAGAAATCCAAAAATGTCAGAGATGCATTAATCATGATTGGAAGAGCTGCAACTCTTTCTTTAAATATCGGTGTAAACAGAATACCTCATATCTCCCTGGGACTTTCAGGCACAATCAAGGCGCTATGCAGCATTCTCTTATTACAAACGGCTTCAAAAGGCTGCATTAGTTTCTCAATGTGGTTGGAGGGGAAGGGTTGCTCGGAAAGAGCTTAGACAGCTCAAAATGGTTGGTTCAATTTCTTCAACATTATTCTTTTGGCACATGCATGTGCATAAAATGCCCCGTGCACAATGCCATGCTGATTATTTTATGTATATTTTCAGGCTGCAAGAGAAACAGGGGCACTACAAGAAGCGAAAGACAAATTGGAGAAGCGTGTGGAAGAGCTCACATGGCGTTTGCAGTTGGAGAAGAAAATGAGGGTATCGTTCACCTTCAATAATTATCAATAGACACTAAGAGAAAAGTACTGCCAATCTTATTCGCTTTGGTGTTGTACTCCAGGCCGATTTGGAAGAGGAGAAGGCCCAAGAAGCTGCCAAACAGCAGGAGGCTTTACATGCAATGCAAATGCAAGTTGAAGAAGCAAATGCTAGAGTCCTCAAAGAAAGAGAGGCAGCTCGAAAAGCTATTGAAGAAGCTCCTCCAGTGATTAAGGAGACTCCTGTTATGGTTCAAGACACTGAAAAGATTCAATCGCTGACAGCTGAGGTCGAGAGCTTGAAGGTTTGCATCTTACTGTCTTGTGTGACAAGGTTTCTTTCCACTCAGTTTGCACCAATGGTGGTGACTAGGAACATTACTGAAAGAGTTAAAAAACTTCAGCATTCTTCTATTCCGAAACTAACCAATTTGCAGGGCATGTAATGTTGGGTATCAACCTTAGGCTGCAGGATTCTTTATTCCTCTTCCCAGTTTACACCTTTAACTTGCAAGATATTTCTTGTTTCCTCCTTACAATAATTGCTTGTCAATAGAAAATTTAACCGACCAAATTTGTTGAATTCATGACTTCCTGGTTCTGTACAGGCTTCACTGCTATCAGAAAGAGAGGCTGCAGAAGAGACGAAAAAAGGTTACACAGATTCTGAAGCCAGAAACTCTGAACTGGTCAAAAAGCTTGAAGACACTGAACGGAAAGTTGATCAGCTTCAGGAATCAGTGCAGAGGTCTGTAAATGATTTATGGAAAATGACTTCATATAATTGCTTGTGTTAATACTGCAGTTAAGATAAGATAATACAGTGCAGATACTTGAATTATTTTTGGCGGAACTTAATTAATATCCTACACGTGCTGATCACATAAAACTGCTGCTGTTTCCACTGCTTGGTAGAGTCTCTTTATTTCTCAAGCTCTAAAAGGCAATTTGTGGTTACAGGCTGGAGGAGAAACTTTCCAATGCAGAGTCAGAGAATCAAGTTCTGCGTCAGCAATCTCTGTCCATGTCACCAACAGGGAAATCTTTGTCTGCACGGCCAAAATCAGCACTTAGTCATGTATGAATGTGTAAAATTTGGGCAGTCTTTTATTCATGCCTTGTCACCAATAAGTTGGTTGAGAAATTGATGAAAAAATATATTTCAAAATTGCAGAGGACACCAAAGAATGGCAATGTAGCAAATGGAGAACCAAAGGGGACACCGGTAAGTGGAAATTCTGTCAGAATGTATTGTCTCTTAAATTAGCGCTAACAGCCAGTACGTGTTCCAGGAAACGCCTTCGTCTACACCAACTGTACGTGAACCTGAATCAGAAGAAAAGCCACAGAAATCTCTGAATGAAAAGCAGCAGGTTAGCAAGCAGCCTTTGTTTCACTTGTGAAGCATAGTTCGTTTAAACAACCTGCATACATTTGAGATGGCCATTTAATTTGTCATGACTATTTTTCTTTGTCATGTCATAGCCACCACTATATAAGATTATGATTCACTTTTTCCCTTGCTGTCTTTTCTTTTCGTTCAGGAGAACCAAGACCTGCTAATCAAGTGTATATCACAAAATCTAGGATTTTCTGGGGGCAAACCAGTTGCTGCATGTGTCATATACAAATGTCTTCTACATTGGAGATCATTTGAAGTCGAAAGAACCAATGTATTTGATCGTATTATCCAAACAATAGCTTCAGCAGTTGAGGTAACTCTACTGCTCTCTTTGTATCATAAGTTCATATGTCAGACACAACCATGTTCATGAAGGTTTCAAAAGGCTAAATCATTCCAGATTTAGCAATCTGTCAAGCTCAAAGCTGAGCGCTAAATGGTATAGTTATCAGAACAAAACATGCTCAAAAGGAGTAATATAAAACTTTTGATGTCATCTTACTCTCTCTAGGATGTTTAACATAAATTGCTTCATAACAAGGTAGATAAAGTGATGCCCTAGTTGGAGAAAGTCTTCAACAGAAACTAGTTTCTCCTACGATGTTCCTCTTTCCATTAAGAATCTATTATTTCTGACAGACATTCGCCCTAAATTGCGAGTTATCACTTATCAACCTGTTCAGTTGAAAACCTAAAATTTGACACCAATGATGGAGCTTCAGAAAATTAGGCTTTGAATGATTGTATGCACTAGGGAGGTAGATTGCCTTATCTGAGCGGTTGTGCTCAAGGCTTCCCTCTCTTGTCTAACTTGATCAAGGTATGCAGTGACTGCACGTTGGTAATGTTTGTAAAACTAATTAATACCTGAACTTGCTGAAGGTCCCGGAGAACAATGAGACTTTGGCATATTGGTTGTCCAATGCATCCACATTGTTGTCTCTGCTGCAACACACGCTCAAAGCAACTGGAGCTGCGAGCTTGACACCACAACGACGTAGAACTGCATCATCTTCTCTCTTTGGGAGGATGTCTCAAGTAAAGATTTAAGTTCTTCTATTCACGCCAAATCTCTATCCTAGCTATTGAATATTATCTTCTGCTTGTTCTGATTGTTGCCAATGATCTGCTCCAGGGGTTAAGGACGTCTCCTCAAAGTGCTGGTCTCTCGTTTCTTAATAGCGGCCGAGGGATTAGTAGATTGGATGACCTACGCCAGGTTGAGGCAAAGTATCCTGCGTTGCTGTTTAAGCAACAACTTACAGCATTCCTTGAGAAAATATATGGCATGATCAGAGACAACTTGAAGAAGGAGGTCTCTCCATTGCTTGGGTTATGCATTCAGGTACTTTCCCAGTTTCTATTTCATGCCAGCTCTGTCAGGAAATATTTGGATAAAAAGGGAAATAGTAGCTACTATTTGGAAGATCCACACCATTACTTAGATCCTCCATGTCTTCTAATGTGCTTTATCTCTTGTTATAATAACACGTATTTTGTGTGCAAACAAACACACATGCATATTTTCTAACTTTACTTGCGAACACACTGCAGGCACCAAGACATTCACGTGCAAGTTTAGTGAAAGGACGCTCTCAGGCTAATGCTATTGCTCAGCAAGCACTGATCGCTCATTGGCAGAGCATTGTCAAAAGCTTAAAGAGTTATTTGATAACGATGAAAGAAAATAATGTGAGTTCCGAAGCTCATCGAAAAGGGAATAAAATAAGTGTTAATGTTCAACCTTGCGATCTTCCATGGAGAATTTTTCATAATCTTTGGTATTATGCTTTGCAGGTTCCTCCTTTCCTTGTGCGCAAGGTTTACACCCAGATATTTTCTTTCGTCAATGTCCAGCTATTTAACAGGTAATGAATACATAAACTTTCGCTTTATTACGTAGAGCAGAGTTTGCTAGTGCAATTATTTTGACTCGTTTCTCGACATCATCAGCCTTCTTTTGCGGCGTGAGTGTTGCTCATTCAGCAATGGGGAGTATGTAAAAGCAGGTTTGGCCGAATTAGAACATTGGTGCGATGAGGCAACTGAAGAAGTAAGTGCTTAGTTTCCAAGTTATAACATAAAAAGAGCCTTTCAGCCAGACTTTGTTGATCTGGGTCATTACCTCTTGTTCTTTTTACGTTTACAGTATGCTGGTTCTGCATGGGATGAACTAAAGCATATAAGACAAGCTGTTGGGTTCCTGGTAAGCCTCGTGGCTTATATTGTTACTGCATCAACTTATGGATATTCAACTTTCTGTTTTGTTACTTCCAACTTGGTTTGATGGTGTCTGATCTCGTGTTTCAATATCACAACCTCAGGTCATACATCAAAAGCCGAAAAAGACATTGAACGAAATAACAAAAGAACTCTGCCCAGTCAGTACTCTTGTCCTTCTCCTTCTTTTATTTCCAACTTGTGTATTTCTTATTAACTAGTCCTCTTTGTTTATTGTGAGACTCACCTTAGTTCTTCCTTCCTGTAACTAGGTTCTGAGTATACAACAACTATACAGAATCAGTACCATGTATTGGGATGACAAGTATGGCACCCATAGCGTATCTTCAGAAGTAAGTTTGTTTTTACTGTTTGTCAATTCTGACATATTCCAGTTTTAGAAGCGCTGAACTACCCACCATAAATGTACACAGGTCATAGCCAGCATGAGAGTGATGATGACCGAGGACTCGAACAATGCTGTCAGCAGTTCATTCTTGTTAGATGATGACTCCAGGTACAACAGTAATAATAACATTGATAATTATTATAATAAAATAATCTCATAATTAGATACCTCTGGATGATATTAATAATAACAACCTGCGTTCGCCCTTCGCAGCATCCCATTCTCTGTGGATGACATTTCCAAGCCAATGCAACAAGCAGACATCGCTCACATCGAGGCTCCACCTATAATTCGTGAGAACTCTGGGTTTGGATTCCTACTGCACAGCTCCCAGTAGCATATGGGAAGGACAGAGACCCCAAAGCCTCATCAGCTGCAGGCCACAATGGGATTACCTGCTGCGAACTGATCGTGATGGTGGGTTTAGATCACGATATCAGCACGCATACCTTTCAGCATCCATCTTTCCGTCGGTTGCCGGTAAGAAATGTGAATATAGATACTAGTTTCTCTTGTTTCGCTTTGGATGGAGCTACAGCAGCATCCAAAATGAACGAATGTGCATAGTAGTGGGTGTCATTATTTATTATTTGGACGATCATCTCAGGCAAGATCCCGTCCAAATAATTCATTCTTTTTGGCCTCCCTCCTTGTTAAGTAAACAAGGAGACGGGGCTATTTATCTGAAGAAAAAGGCGGATTAATCACCATCATCATCACAGTGAGTTGAGAGTGGTTATACGCTGTGAGGCGTTTTGGATAGCCTCGTCATCAGTTTCCTCATTCCAGGCAGCAATGAGGGAGATAGTTTTGTAATCAAATTTTCCTGTTCTTGATTAGTTTGGGTTATTTGTTCATTATATGATCAGATTTTCGCTTTGGTTGTGGTTAGTGCGCTTTTGGGTTTGATTTGGGGTGTTGTATTTTTGAGGTTGCAGCCGCATTTTATAGGCCATTTTAAGTTGTCTTGTTTCGACATATTATTTGTATGTAATGTCAGTTTAGTGTTTGTTTTTCCCTGGCCATTGTTTTGGTTGGCAGTGTCATTGGTGTGAGATTTGAGCTGAAGTTGTGCAGTCGTTACTATAATTGTATTTGCAGGGTTTTCTTTTATTATGATCTGGAAACTTTGATGATCAGTAGTTTTATGTTACATCGTTCAGTTTAGGCCGATCAAATAGAAAAACCAGTGGCCTGTCTAGTCAAACTACTCGCACATTCCCATGAATTTCTGCACGAACCATAATATAAGCCGTAGAGTTTGCATCTCGGTTGACATACTTCGACTTTTCATTCCCCGTAGGAGCCTCCTTACGATTCGATTGTTAGAAATACCAATTATGCATGATGTTGTATTTAGTGAAGCTTAAAATGCAAATGTAAAACACTGCTCCACTCCAGTAGAAACTGAAGTAAATTGAACACAAGTTACCACCATGATATGCTATGTTATTATCTCATTTAAGAAATAAAGATACTTCTACTTTCCCTATAAACCTTGCGCCTATAACATAAGGGGGGAAAAGGAAAGCTCCATCCTTGCCAGACAAGATTGTATACTAGTCCAGTTTGTATGCTGCTTTCATTCAAGCATTGTACAACACACTCGAAAAACAACATGAGAAAGTCGCAAATGTGTGAGTAAGAACTGCAAACCGAAAAGAAGAAATTGAGCCAGAAAACGACCAAGTGGAGTGAGTTTCTTTTACTATATACAGCGAGCTGCAACCTGAGACTCTAAGGCACCTGACCTGAACTGAGAAATGCTACCTGCGACGAGTGATAAAAAAACCAAAGAGTGATCGTACTGGAAAGAAGAAGAGGTCGAGAGAATGAGTGCATCTAGCGCCCAGGGTGTACGAAGTGACATACATCAGCAAAATCGTATATCAGAGTTTATTCTTGCTGGGACTGCAGTGCCTCAGCAGAACTGCTCATCTTCATCGCTGGCTCCGGCAGGTGACTCGAAGCAGCATCATCGTGTTCCCCAGTTGGTACTGGCTTGATCTCTGATTTCTTCTTCTTCTCCTTGAGAATCACCTGCCTAGGCATTACTTCCAGGAGGAAGCTCCCCCCATTCCACACGGCCGCAGAGACTTTCAGAAATTGGAATACCACATGCAGTCTATAGGAGAGAAAGATGGGCACTGTGAGGGCCATGGTCGCCACCGTGAATAACCCTTGCAACAAAATGTACATGAGCATCCGGTTCTGATCCCCGAGCACGCCACTAAGGCGCCACCACACATTGTTTGCTTTTTGTGCCTTCTTTGACAGCTCCCTTTAGGAAAAACAAATTATGAACACTAAGAAGATGCCTTAAAAGGTAAAGATCACCTTAAAGGATTATTATAAGACAAAAAATTACTGCTCAACATAAGTGGGCGGGAAAAGCATCCAGAGATACCTGTAGGAAGTCATGACTTCTGGGTCTCTCAATAATCGCTGACGGCGAAGGACGTTGACAATGAGGAAATAGAGTGTCTGCCACAGTGTGTAGGCAGCTAGAGGCACCCAAAACAACCAATTGAGAAGGAATGTTTTGTCCTGCACCACGTATGGCCACAACACTCTACGTGCAGTTCCTTCAGGATGCATGGCCTCAAAAGTTGCTGGATTCCACCACCGAATGGTAAAGAACACTAACCCTGAAAAATAATGCATCTTGAGATCAGATTACTACAATAAGCTGGGTGCTACCAGGTACCAAAACTTTCCAATTTTTCAGGCTTTAGTTTGTAGATGAAGGGTATTTGACATCAGCACTCTTCACACACGAAATGTAGGGAAGTATTGTTCGCTTTCTTGAAGAAGCAATTGGAGATGTTGTCTATGCTGAACATTAAGCCATTATTAACCTAGATCACCACATGAGAAAACAGACTAATCCTGAGTATATCATCGGACAAATTGTAAGATCCAAAATTCAAGTAATCCTTCACTGTTCCCTATTTTAATCCCAGTACTATTTGTCTGCATAGTCAGTTTCATGATATGCATACCCAAACCACTTATGCATTATGATAATGATGATATGAAGATCGATAACATTGGTGTTTTCATTGGGCAGCAACGATTCCAAGTAAATATCACCAAAAGATAAAACCGGGGATTAAAAGAACAATGAAGTTAACTAACTATCCATTTTGGGGGGACTGCATCTGTGCCAAGGCCAGGCAAAACAAACTAGAGGCAGGGGAAATCAATAACGAAAGAAAAATAATCACATTCTCTTCAATCGGTTTACAAAAAGAAGAGAACAAACTCACCTGGTAAAAGATGTATAAGGACACTAACAAGTTTGTCCACAGAGTTGAAAACCAAACTACAACGCCAAACAATCAACGCCCATGCCAATGGTCCCTGCACCAGCAGCAATGGGATAGTTCAAAGATCGGAAGACCTCTTCCCACAACTCAAAATGGTGAAAAGGCCTCAGATTAGATACTTACTTCCGCAAATGAAAAGCAAACCATGAAAAACTTTTCATTCTTCGGGTACAGAAGGAGATTGACCAAGAAGATTGTGTTTGCATAGTAGCAGAAATCCTGAGAGTCAAATAAAGGGTGAAGCACAATGTAAGCTTCAGTAAAATATTCAGTGGCTGGTAAGAGACTTAAGAGATCATGTCTGAATCTTTTCAAACAAACCACAGACTAATATGAAACAGTAACCAAGATGAAAAAAAAATTAAACTCGCCTGTCCTAGAACTTAAAACAAATTTCTGAGTTGAAGGGTCAACTTACCAGGAGATAATAGTGCCATTTCTTGTAGCGGTAGTACATCCACCGAAGAGGGACGAATGTGAAATAGAAGAAACAATAGACGTACGGAATATCCTGCGGCCCTGAACACATTAACAAAGGAAGCAAAACAATAAACAATGAAAACCCTTAAATAGAAAGCTTCGTTATGAAGTAAGTTCGTTTCCATGGCTGCCCAAAAAGGTGATAACTCACTTGCACCCAAGAGATAGCAAAACCCTCCAAACCCAAAGACGCCTAGAAAATGGGTCACCTGAGGATGAATTTTTACAAATCCAGAAAGCAGATATCAATGCCGATTTCTAGAGAATTCCCCCAATCTGTAACGAATCGAATGAAACAGTGAAAGGGGGAAACTTGGCGGACCTTATTGATGAACCTTTCGTGCTCCTCTGCTTGTTTAGCGATCTTCACCGCCTGTTTAGCGATCTTCACCTTGGTTCGGGTAGCCTGCTTCGACAGAATCTCTTTGGTATGCACGACGGTCTGAAAAGTGAAAACCCCCCCAAACCACGGAAACAAAGCGGAAATTTTAAATTCAATCGCGACCCAGATCATGAAACGAACTCTAGATAATCCCAGAGAGAAGAAGAAGAAGAAAGAACACGGAATATGTTAATAACCTTGGTTCGATCCCTCAACCGCTGCCTCAAATCGTTGGCACCCGGATCCTCATCATTGTTAAGAACTTCTTCAATAATCTCTCCGTCGCTAGAGGACATTCTGTCTGTATTGCTCTGCTGCTGCTTGCTTATTGTTGTTCCTTTTGCTGATTGAAACAGGGAGAAACAGGGAGAGGGTACGAGAAGAAAGCAGGAGGTGAAATGGGCTTTCTGATTATAAAATTGGATTTTGCTTCGCTAACCAGGAAGCCGAGCCATGGCGTCGCCGACTATATATAGAGACCGGAAATATGTTCAGAAGCCGCCTGTTCTCCCTTTTTTATTAATTCCGCTGCTAATCATCACCGTTGCCGCGTAATTGCGCATTATATTGATTATTGAACACTCTTCTAAGTTCCAAGTGTTAATAAAGGACAAATTGTATCCAGGCTTTTTTTTTTTAGGGTTAATACCCTCGTTTGGCACGAAGTATAGCGTTAGTGACATTTCTGGTCCAAGTTTTCAAATAAGACATCTCTGGCCCACTTTTCAAATTATCGGACGAATTTGGCCTGTGGGACGGGTTGACTGTCAGATTTGACGGTCAACAATGTTCTCCGTTGCTTACTCAGCATTGGACTCTGACGTGGCTTCTCCACGTCATTTATTTTTATTTCCCCTTTTATATCCATTTCTAATTCAGTAAGTTAAAAAAAAAAAAAACAAAACAAAACTAAAGGGAAAGGTGGAGACCACACATCCCATCTCTTTCCATTCTCCCTTCTTCCCCCGATACCCCACCCCCTCGTATCCCCTTCTCCACCGCCGGGATGGCGACCCAAATCTTCTTCTTCTTCTTCTTCTTCTTCTTCTTCGTCTCCTTCCTCCTTCACCGCAGAACGACCTCCAGCTGCCGATTCCGGGAGCGTTGTTAGCTAGGCTGAAGAAATTAAAGTGGTTATCTTTGTCGTACAATAGCTTCTCCGGCGAAATCCCGGTCGAGCTCGGTGGTCTCTGCGGAACTTTACAGGAGCTCAACCTCTCTGGGAACAAGCTCACCGGAGAGTTCCCCTCTGTTTTCAAGTCATGCTCTGTTCTCGAAACTCTCGACCTTGGACTCAACCAGCTCTCCGGAGATTTCCTGACCACCGTCGTCAGCGGGTTGACCGCCTTGAGAATCCTCCGTGTCCCTTTCAACAATCTAACCGGCGAGGTACCGCCGTCTCTGGTCAATTTGACTCGGCTAGAGGTGCTCGACCTTAGCTCGAATGAGTACATCGGAGCTGTTCCCTCCGAGTTCTGCACTTCTTCTTCCAACCCTTCTCTCGAGAAGCTCCTTCTCGCTGGTAATTACTTGACCGGGCAAGTCCCGGCGGAGCTAGCCAAATGCAGAAACTTAAGGAGCATCGATCTCAGCTTCAACAACCTAGACGGACCCATCCCGGCGGTGGAGAAGGGGATACGAGGGGGTGGGGTATCGGGGGAAGAAAGGAGAATGGAAAGAGATGGGATGTGTGGTCTCCACCTTTCCCTTTAGTTTTTTTTTTTAACTTACTGAATTAGAAATGGATATAAAAGGGGAAATAGAAATAAATGACGTGGAGAAGCCACGTCAGAGTCCAATGCTGAGTAAGCAACGAAGAACATTGTTGACCGTCAAATCTGACAGTCAACCCGTCCCACAGGCCAAATTCGTCCGATAATTTGAAAAGTGGGCCAGAGATGTCTTATTTGAAAACTTGGGCCAGAAATGTCACTAACGCTATACTTCGTGCCAAACGAGGGTATTAACCCTTTTTTGGGTTTTTTTATAGTTCTTGGTCAGGCTTTTTTTTTCCTTCTTCTTTTAGTTCTCGGTCAGAATAATTATGGACTGTGATTACACCTTGTTTAAAAGTAAAAAGGTAATCGATCAAGTGTCGATCTATCGATGTAAGGGCCTTTTGGGTTACGAAATGAGTAGTATTGTTAGTGATACGGGGAGCAAAGACAAATCAAACAAATGTAAAGGAAGCTTGAGTAGCCAAACTTCTTCAAGGATCCCCTCGCCTCGATCATGCATCACATCATTCTCCGAAACTCACCGAAATACCAATTGGGAGTCGCCACAGAAGCAAACTGTAAGATAATCATGATTTAAGCACCAAAGCATTACATCTCTTACAGTAAAAGTTCCATTGTAAGAGGATCAGCCAAACCTGGATAAGAGCCGTAAGCGCAGACCATGAAAGAGTCTGCGGGATATCCCACAAAGCCAATACCACCCCCAAATTCCTTAGAAGGCATCCATCAAATCGAATAAGCAAGTACTGATATGTAACTTCAAGAAGATTTTACACATCAATACCTTTTTTAGTGAAGTTACATATCAATATCTTTGATCTCTTATCATAGTAAATCTTGTAATAGTTAGATACAAATTTATTAAGCTCAAAGTCAACCTTTTTTAATGTTCTTACAAACCATCAAAATGAGCACAACCAATAGGGATATAGTCCTAGTTTCATCAAGATCTACACTACACAATGTTAAACACTTCACTCTGAACTCTCAAGTTGAGTTGCACACGAGAAATCACGACCCTCAGACCATAACATCTCGCACATCTTTTTCTCCAAATCATGATCATAAGACACCACATCAACCTCAATTCTATGGGGATTTTTCCAGAAATAGCACTGTTTAAAAAAACAATTCCTAAAATAGCACCTAAGTCCGAAAAATTCCAAAAATAGCACCCTTTTCCAAAAACCGCTCCCTACCAGTGCGGTTTAGGCGAAAACCGCCATCCAGGGGCGCGTTTTTCGATAAAAACCGCACCCCCAGGGGGCGGTTTTGCAGACCGCACCCCCACCATGCGATTTGGTTGCAGATCGCACCCCCAGGGTGCGATCTGCTTTTTTTTTTTTTTTTGAAAAATCCTAACCTAGGTGGAAACTTCAAACAGACGTATCTTTGTGTTCGAGTATCCAATCGTCGCAAATTTTTTTTTGATTCCGCATAACTTTTTGAGATCTTGCAAGCCAAAGGTGAATTGGTCCCGCCTTCATCCCAAAAAATGTCGTTTGCTACCCCGAATGAGCTTTTTTCCGATTTCGTCAAACTTTGGACAACCATAACTTTGTGCTCCAAAATCCAAACAACATGAATTTTTTTTTATTTCGCATAAATTTTTAAGGACTACAATTTTTATCATAGACACAATTTCAAAATATACGTGGATTGCTGAGAAGGGAAGGTAAGCTATTCCCAAAATCCTGTATATCCAAAAATAATTCCTGTTTTGAAAATTCATTCTAGTAAAAATTGTAGTCCTTAAAAAGTTATGCGAAATAAAAAAAAATTCATGTTGTTTGGATTTTGGAGCACAAAGTTATGGTTGTCCAAAGTTTGACAAAATCAGAAAAAAGCTCGTTCGGGGTAGCAAACGAAATTTTTTAGGACGAATGCAGTATCAAACCACCTTCGGCTTGCAAGATCTCAAAAATTTATGCGGAATCAAAAAAAAATTCGTGACGATCGGATACCCGAACACAAAGATACGTCTGTTTGAAGTTTCCACCTAGGTTAGGATTTTTCAAAAAAAAAAAAAAAAAAAAGCAGATCGCACCCTGGGGGTGCGGTCTGCCAAACCGCCCCCTGGGGGTGCGGTTTTCGCTTAAACCGCACTGGTAGGGAGCGGTTTTTCAGAAAGGGTGCTATTTTTGGAATTTTTCGGAGTTAGGTGCTATTTTTGGAATTTTAAAAGTGCTATTTCTGGAAAAATCCCAATTCTATGTCATTGCTTCCCTTCTAGTTAGATACCAGACAATCTACCAAGTTGTCCCAACTCAACCTAGAGGGAGGGCAGAATGACTTTAGGGCACTTCTGCATAATAACTCAACACAAAATAACAACATACAAAAACATGGGTCCTTTCCTCAAATCTCCCAAGACAACACACACAATCCATCCAATTTTCTCCCCTAATTCTGAAGGCGATATTGCATCACCAAACAATCTTGAATAGCAAACCAAACTAAAAAACTATGCTTGGCAAAGAGCCTTCTACTCATAAGTCATAACCATACTATACCATTGCACATCAACTTCATAAGGTCAAAATGTATTCCATATTAGTTTCACAGAGTATTGAGACATAAACACGCCATCCCATGACAAGACTTAGAATCCGTACCTGCAGTGAATAGTTGTGCTATAGCTCGACTTTTCATAATTTGTTTACAAATTCTAGATCGAGTCGATATAGGAGCTAAATAGTTTGATACTTCTTTATTGATGCCTCTATAGTGTACTACCTCTTGCAAATATGTTCCATATTTGTCGAGCTCACACAAGTCTTGTTCCACAGTCTGAAGTTTTCTTTTGCCTAGTCCACCCTCCCTTTCGGCTTGAGAGGAACAAATTCATCCATAACAGTTGATTTCTAGCTATAACAACGAAAACTAACTGTATTTTATCCTCCATAATTCTCGAATTTTCATCTTAATGATGAGTCGGGATTTAATAAATGAGCTAACTCGTGTTCTGCTCGACTCAGTTCGTTCATAAATTAACCGAGCTTGAGTTCAGCTAGATTATAAATGAACCAAACTTGAACAAAATAAAGCTCGATTCGGGATGGACTCATTCTCTATACGAGCCTGTAACACTTACCAAGCCCGAGCAAAAAAGCCCAGCCGCAAAGAAGTTCGCGGCCCATGAAATTCTAGTATATATAAAGTAACGCCCTATTTCCTCCACAAATCTCTCTCTCTCACACACACTTCCCTTCCTCCTTCCTTCCTTCCTACCACCGCTAAAAAAAGTTCTTCCACAATCACAGCGGCGGCCGGCACCACCGTCTCCGCAGCTAACAATCACAAGAAGAGGAGCCGTGGTAATAATATGAATTCCCATTTGCTTAGAGAGACGAGCGATGTCGAACACACCCACATCTCTCTCTGAAATTTGCCTCACCTTATTCCGCTTCGCCATGTCCATCGCCGACCCTTGGCCCTTCTCCTGAACCGATTCCCCGTTTTCTCTGTGTGCGTCTCCAGCTCACTCACCGCAAAATCAATTTGGAATCCGGCCCTCCTCTTGTTGTCCGCTTCCTCCAATCAATGAGAAAGATGAGGGGATTCAAGTTGGGGAAGCGGATTTTCCGGGTTGCGAATTGGATCTTCGGCAGTAGGCGGAGGAGGAGAAATCGCTCCCTCTACCGGCGGCTGACCTCGGAAGAGGGCAGTTCGTCGGCGACGCCGATTACGAAGCTCATCCGCTGGGGTCGCCGATTGACCAGCGGAGCCAAATCGCTCTGTTCGGCGAAATCCGGATGGGTGGAGGAGCCGCTGTTTGGGAAAGCGGCGGCGGTGCCGAAGGGGCATCTGGCGGTCTACGTGGGGGGGAACGACGCCGGCGACTTTCACAGAGTGCTGGTGCCGGTGATTTACGTGAACCACCCCCTGTTCGGCAATCTGCTGAGGGACGCGGAGGAAGAGTACGGGTTCGACCAGGAAGGCGGGATCGTGATTCCTTGCCCCTTCGCCGAGTTTGAGCGGGTCAAGACGCGGATTGATGCCGTTTCCGGCGGCGGCCGGCGGCAGCCGAAGTTGCACAGGTTGAAACGGAGCCACTAATGATGAAGATATTGCTATAATTATTGTGATTGTAATTTATTTGTGAATATTATTATTCCTGTTATCCTATACTTCATCTTTTCACCTGCCCGACTTTTCGCAAATGGGATGCGGGAAAAGATATTAATTGAACGAATTGGTGTGGTCCATGGTAAATGATAATGATATTTATGGGAATAGAAATTGAATTTTGACTTTTCAAAGAAAAAAAAAAAGAATGAAAATTCAAAGAAAGAAGCTCTACAGGACCCCGTTAATTCCGGTGCTAATTAGCCCCACCGAGATGATATTAATGGTGGATCATTATCAGGAATAGTTGATTAGCGATGGCGTGTTGATTAGATTAGTATATGATGTTCGATAGACATATTATCATCATTATTCATTCACCACCCAATTGGCTTTTCGGTTTATTTTTTATTTTATTTCCACAAAGTGCTACGGAATAAAAGAACCAAATTCTAACTCAAACCACATCAGAATTGTTGGAAAAATCTACTATGGGCCCACCTGAACAAATTGACGGATTTTCCCCCCTAAATACACGATTGATTAAAAATCAACAATTTCTAAGAATTTCTATTCGATAGTGAAGGTCATTGTAGGATCAAAAATCAGATTAACATTGCATTTTATCCGATTTTAATGTAAAAAAAAAAGTTAATTTGATCATTTCTTCACTGTATTTATAAAATTCTTGAGGTCAAATAACGGATCACGTTATATTTAATTTTGTATGATCCAGTCACATCAATTAACGATATGAGACGGTACGAACCAAATCGTTGCACACCCCTGCATACCATCAACCTTCTCCGAATTTGATTCGAATTCTCGTACATAATCGTCAACACAACACATACATTTATTACGTTGAACCTAAACCTAAAATAATCGGAAATGTTACAATCGTCTTAGTCGGACAAGTTTTAGACAAGTCAAGACAACATTCTGTATAACAGAGCTTCAAAACCTCTGAATTTACAGGGAAAGACCACCCAAAAGACGAGTAAACCCATATGTGCATATTCTCACGTCAAAAGTAGCCTAGGAATTAAAGAGGATATAATCATTTGATCACAACACCTTTTTATACATGAGATCTGCAAAGCAAAAAATCACTACCTGGTAAAAAAAAGACTGCAACTTCTCTCTGTGCATACGCCACCCTTCTACGGCTGCAGAACACAAAGCAGATCCACTGCTTACTTACTTGAACCAGCTCGTCTGTTTCTTATTAGGCAAGATTAGATTAGGGTTCCTCTTGTGCTGGTTTGCTGCTCCCAACTGTTTCAATCTGTCTCCCTTGGACGACACGCTCCACAAACTATCACCTGAATTCGCACCTTTCGACTTCATAAATGAATTCTTACTGCCCTTGCCCATTCCATTAGCAAGCAGCCAGCGAGAACCAGCCTGTTGCTGCGACGGTGTACCCCAGGGCTTCTTCTTGTCGGGCTCAGGCTCGGTCTTCAGACCGGCCACATGTACCTCAGAGATTTGGAACTTGGGTATTCCTTCCACTTCACCACCTGATTTATCCCTGTTCGCCGTATTAGATGTTAGTGACTCATCATCAGACTCGTCCTCCTCCCCGTTGCTATTATTCCTTAGCTCTGCCACCTTGCAGTAGATTTTCGGCTTTGGAGGGATGAACACCCGCTCTACCTGAATAAGAGCAAGCATCGGGGTCCCTACAGGCTCATAGTTCCTTAGAGGATCACGAAGTTGAACCATTAACGCCACAGTAAAGTTATTCCCAAGCAAACCGCACTTTTTGCCACGCTTTCTGTTGTCTCCCTTGGATCTACCACGGAGTGTGTCCAGTGAGCTGGCATGGTGGGCCGCGAGTATCTTAGAAGTTCGTTCGCTTATTTGATCTTCTTCATCGCCAATGTCGCCGGAGTCCAGGCGCATCCATTCATCAAGAGTTAAAGAAAGACCCATTAAGCCGTCGACATCACCATCATCGTTTTCTTTTACCTCCATCAATTGCAATCCACCAGTTCCCTCCAGACCAAGGGACCCAGAAGTATGAACACCAGCCTTGCCCTGGAGAGTTGAGATCTCTCCTATGGAGTGTGCAGAGATGTTTGAGGGTGCCTCCTCGGCTGACAAGCCAGACTGTATTCTCAAACCTTCCATTGAGAGTGCTTCAATCTTATCCATAGCTAAAGGTGCAAGGTCTTCTAGAGATACATACTCTAAGCCAACGTCATTTTCTTTTGGTCTAGATTTGGACTTAGTGGTAGCAGTTCTACGTGGAACAGATTTTTTCCCCAGAACATTTTCAGCCCCATCTGATGACCACTCATGTCCTGTATCATGCTTCTTCTGCTGGGACGTATTCCGCCTGTGCAAGAAAGAAAAATAAAACAAAGAGAAACAGGTCACTGAACCACTAAAGATTGTTTGTTTCACTTACAAAGAACCAGGGACAAACCGAGAGAGACAAACAGACCTTTCAGGTCCCTCTATAGCACCTGCAGCTTCCCAAGCAACTTGCTGCATTGTTTTCCCAGTGATATCCTCCAAAGGCATTAGCTTATTTGCCTGCATAGAGAGCTTTTCAATTCCGACCGAAGCAAGTTGCTGGAGTATGTCCACAACGTCAGAGCCCATCTCTGCAGGTACCACAACAGGGCTAGAAACCTGCATGATCAAGCTTCCGCCAGTTTTGGCACTTTCGAAGAGTGAAGGATTCATAGATCGTACAAATCCACCATTCTTTGTTTGGAGAAATGGGCCTAAACCTTCAGCAAGAGAAGGTAATTCAAGTGGAACTTCTGGAGATGTACCAGTTTGACCTCCACCGCCGCCACCATAACTCTTAGGTGGAGAACACTCAAATGTCTTGTCATTCAAGCCCCATTCATGCATTAAAGCCTCTGTCTCAACGTCCTCTAAGATCTTGGGCCTAATCTTGCAATTCGTAGGGTGAGTTCCTATCTCATTTTCTTCTTCTGCATCATCAATAAATGATGACAGATCAAACCCACCTGGAGATTCTCCTGGCTCCATAAACCCATCATAGCTGCTCTCTGGCTGATCCCAATCATCTGGATTATAGTCAAACAAAGAAAATCCACCAGCCAAGGCATCATTCTCGAACTGCCTTAACAATTGCTCCCTTGGGGACTCAGGTTCACTCTCAGTACTCAATCTAAATGGACTTTGCTCAATTCCCAGCATATCTAAAAATTCATTTGCAATATCTTCAGCATCATCCGTGTTAATTGACTTTTCGGTCCTGTCGGCTTGATAGTCACTTTCAAGTTCCCCATGATCCTCTGTTCCATCAGAAGAATAAAGTGCTTCAATTTCCAAATTTGAAACACGATTTAACACAGACTCTAGTTCTTTCATAACAGACTCTTTTGAGCATAGATCGTCATCAGAGTCAGAATCATGGGTCAAAGGTTCATCTTTAGTATGATCACTCTTTCCTGTACCGCCAGCATGAAGATCAGTACACTCTTCCTCCACTGCCTTATGATTGCTATCAGATTCAGTTTCTGCAGTAGAGACACCAGCATCCTTCAGGGTGTGGTAATTGGTCGTCTTGCTCTCATCTGGCAACTCCTTCCCTTCTTCAATTAGAGAAAATTCGCTATTCTCGATTCCACTTTCAGCATTTGTTTTGCTAGATTCGGATAGAGAAGGAAACTGCAGGTTATCAAGCTCATTTTCTCTGGCTGGAGCATCTAGCTTGTCTTCTTCAAATCTCTCATTTGCCATGTTTCCAATTGCTTCTACATCAAGCTTTTTGTGAGCCATAACTTCATGAAGATCTTTTACCTTTCCCGGGGATCGAGACTTGGCAGCAAAGTGTGAGTTAGAAGTGGTGGTAAGACTTTCATGTCGACGTAAGGCAACCTTGCCTACAGCTGGGGCCATTTTGGGCATTGTTTTTGCTGTTGCCAGATTATTCCTTTTGCTACTTAATGACTCAGGAACATACTGACCATTTCCAGTCAGGCCCGCTCCAACAACTGTATACCCAAAACTCACATTCATCACTGCACCCTTAGCATCTCCTGACAACTTATAACTTGTAGTCCACTTTCCAGAGCTTTTCTCTCCATCCAATTCCTCCAATGTGAGAGGAAGCAACCTCGTAAGGTCAACCCTGTGCTTCCCCAAATCAACCTCAGGCATACCAAACACAGTTGCAAACACGAAGAAATACTTCGCTTCATACTTTGCTGAATGGCGGGGACCACTCCTGCTCCCGTAAACCAGACAAATGTGTGACAAGTTCAGGTCAAACTCTGCAACACCTTCATAGACTTTAACAGGACTCGTGACCAGCTCTCCATCCCGCCTCTTCCAGTTCACACATAAACTGACACCGTTGAAACTCGAAGGAAGCCCTTCAATCGAATGGACATGCAGAGAGAAACAACAATTGAACTTTCTGTTCTTAGCCCCAGAAAGCGCCTTCAACGATGCCTTCCAGTTCCATATGGACTTCTTGTCCTTGCGCGGCGAGTCTTCATTAGCTACCGACCCAGGCTTGAGCTTCGATCTGGGATCCACCGCAGGCGGCGGCTTCCCAGTTGCTTTTGCTCGGCTACTGGCCGTAGGAAGTAACGTCCTCGAGGGTTTATGTTTGTCAAGGTACAGAGCTTTACTTATAGTTTGCAAATCATTCAACAAAGTCTCATCCCCTGCTTCCTCCCTAGTCTTTTTCCCATTCTCCACTCTCGACAACATTATCTTCCCCACCCCCACCAATATCACATGAAGGGAAAGCAACCGGAAAGTCAAACTCTGCAATGAAGCAAAGGCAATTGAAGAAAACTGAAGAAGCTCACCCAATCAAAACCCCAAAATCGCAACAACCGTCGCAACCCACCTCGACAAATCATATGAAAAAACTCGAACAAACTTACACTTCTCAACCGGATAACAAAAACCCAGCTAAGAAATTATGAAAAGACCGGCGGGCGGATCCAGGTGAATCGATCGATTAATCAAATCAATGAAGCGGGAATAGAACGAAAACAATAACTGACCTGGAATCAGAAAATGCGGGGTTTCTGCTCGAACCTCAGAGAATCACCGGAACAAAAGGAGGCGTGAAGCTCGAATTCAAATTCCGAAAATTGAATCGACGACGGCGACGGGGGGAAACGGAAGGCGGAGCGAAGAAGTAGAGAGAGCGCGAGAGGAGCGGGTTTTTGGATTCCAAACCTTTTTTGGGGGTTGGCTTCCTATCTTGGGTTTTCCCTCTCTAAATTGCCGCTTTCTGTCTGTCTTTTCATCCCAAATTTCAAACCAGCTACCTGACGTTTGAGACAACAAAGTAGACAACTATCTTACGGACAAGAACATTTCCTTTTGTACGCATTCCTGATTCCTCTCCAGAAATCTCGGTTTGGTACCTGTATTTTAGCTCGATTTCGATTGCACCCTTCTAATTTTTCCTTTGTTCATCATGCTTCTTGTTACATAGACACGGTCCATCAATAGTTGAACTTCAGAAGAAGCTAGGATTATTCATAACTTCAACACAAATGATCCAAAAGTAATTAAGCTATTAAGTAAAGGCTAGAATGCTTATAAATAAACTGTTAAGTACATATGGACATAATAACTAATTTTCCAGGCAAGGATACGCCCTTTCTTTTGAACATGGTGATCACCAAAGAGAAGAAAGAGTAATGTACAAGGTTTCGTGGCCGTGATTAGGCAAACGGAGATTCTGTGATCCCGATTGTCAAGCAGGGAGAAAGGAGGAAGGAATCGGTTAAGTCTCGGGGCAAGAGGGGGATCAAGCAGTGCTGGCCATGGACTCGATTAGGATCTGGTAACCTTCTGCAACCGCCGTTTGTGTTAGGACGCACTCTGCAAGTGCAGGGACATCGGAGTTTAGGTCGAGAAACCTAGCCAGAAATAGCATCAGATGGAAATCGGATATCCTCTTCACAAATGGAAGGCTCCTCGCGCGTTCGAGGTGACCCTTCAGTGCCCTCATTGTCACTTGGGTGGCCCTGTTCTCGATAGGGAATGTTGATGAAAGAGGGCCCTGCACCACAGAAACAAGACATCAGTAAAGTTGCTCCATGCCAAATGGAGATTATAAATAGTAAAACAGAATAAACTCATCATGGCCAAATCAACATGAGATATCAATAATGTAAATTGACGATTTCATTTCCAGAACTTGGTTCTGCAAAACTTCTCTAGAACCAAATACATAAATCACTCGACAACTTGTTTAACAGAAAAACCAACACAATGAGTTGCGAAAAATTGATCAGACAGAGTGTCTAGCCTTTATAAAATGCAAGCTTGTTTCACAAGTTCAGCTCTAGGTCTATGAAACAGTGCAAGGAAAACCCTATGTCTGTCATTCTCATCTTACGTTTACGCTTCCTTCCATCGTCACCTATCCTTGTTTAATACACTCATAAATCCAATTCTAATAGCCATATAGATCATTTACTTACTATAAATAGTTTATCCATATAATATACTGGAACCATATCTCAGTATCTCTCTAATCACCCTCATATTACTGTTTTCAAAATTTTACTTGACAGCTATACTTTCGATTGTTCAGTCGTACAACAGACCAAAGACAACAATCCCACCCCCAAAACAACCAAAGACCAACAAAAGAAGGTTCTGGCCAGGAGGAGGCGTTAACTGTTCAGTCGTACTGCCCGAGGTTCATACTTGCTCACCAAATAAATTCCAACCCAGTAGCGACAGGATTAGACTGATGGTAAACCATATGATCTAAGAAGAGCTCTATAGTGAACACTTAAACCAAAAATATGGTAGCCACAGTCATCCTCGCCAGGAAAGGAAAGCACGCTGCAAAGGAAGACACAACAGAACTAGCCAACCCTTGCTGAGAGCAAGCTCACTGGCCTAGTTACAACATAACACCATTCTCAATAAACCATCCACACAACAATGCTAACTCAAGGCAGTTCTCATAACACTGGAAATGTAAACATAATCTCCCCATTTCAGGGCTGCCCTTGACAGGATCTACAAACAAACCTAGCTTCTCCACAGAAATATTACTCCTCGTAGCCTAACAGACAACGCAAGTACAATGGTTGTATTCCTGTGCTATCACCTATCTCCATCAATAACCAATCAGGGCACCTATCTAACGATATTTACAAGCTAAGTCTAGAGAAATCAGAACTGCATGCAACAGGTATCAGACATTTAGCACCTTTGATCACACATATATCAGTTTAGACATAGATAAGTACAAGACAACCATAAGAAAATTAAGAATTAGGGAACGTACCATGTGATCCAAAATCTTCACCACAACCAAGAAGAAATCGTTGTCGACCTCCTTGACATCTTTCACGCCCACAACGACATCCTTCTTCATGATCGATAGCTTAGGATCCACATCCTGCCCAATCTCAGTCTCAAACCACCCTTCCTTAAATAGCCTGATGCACATATCACTAAGCTGAAATGCTTCAAAGTGGACATCAGCACCACCATCCTCGTTCACCTCCAACTTCACCACCGCAGTCACCCACTCCTTCAACTCGCTCTCGGCATGGAGCTCGGCAGCCTGCAGAATCTCCCTGTTGGACAAGGTGTAATCTTTCTTATCCTGCGCTATGGTCTGCGTGAATATGAACCCAACCCTCCTCATCCCTAACCCAGACGCAATAGCATCAACAGCTTTTTCTTCATTGGAATCCCTCAAAAGCAACAGAACTTCCTCAGTCCCTTGCTGAGGCGGCTCGTATATGAAATCCACCTCAACTTTGCCGTCCTCCGAGATCGTCCCGTACATGAACCCGCCCCTCTTCACCGCGAAAGCGAGCGTCTCGTTGACGTAGTGCTGGAAAGCGTTGGCGGAGTCGCGATCGAAGGAAACCGACTCGCAGTGCGGGTTCTCCTGCCTGGAGACCCGCATCTGCTTGGCGATCAGATCGTCCATGGTCATCTTCCGCCCGAAGGATCCGGCCGGGGAGACGGCGGGGCCAGCAATGCTCCTCTCGCCCTCGTACGCCAGAAACACAATGGAGCCGTGGGCTAGGTTGAGGCCGGAGAGCGGCGTGGCCGGGTCGGCCATGTCGACGAATTTGAGGAGATCGGTTGGGGATTTGGCGAGAAGCAGGTTCTGGTTGGTGGAGAGGGTTTGGTTGTGGATGGGGATTTGGAGCTGGGATTGAATTAGGGTTTTGAGGTGGCCGACGGTGGTGCAGGAGTTGTCGACGGAGACGCGCTCGAGGCCGTCCCGGCTGCGGATTCGGAGCATCATGGTTGGGCGAACTTCGGTGAACCGGGAAACTGAGAAAAAGGGAAATCAAGGGTGGAGAGAAAGGGTTATTGATCTCTATCGGAGTCTTTGCTTCAGGATTTGGTAGAGAACAAGTTCTTGGAGTATGGCGATGGAAGAAGAAGAAGAAGAAGCAGCAGTTGCGGCTTCTGAACTGTGTTCCAGAGAATTTTGGTTTCCGTTTTTTTGTTTTTTTAAGTTTCTTCTTTCTACTTCGGTTTTTGCTTGCTAGAGGAGGCAGACGGCGGGCTGATACGACGCCATTTTATACAAGACTTTTGCTTTCCGTTTTCCGTTTTCCTTTTGCAAAGTGGAAACAGATTAGGATTTAGGATGGTGTTGGGCCCAAAGTCCATGTCTGTACAAAGGCCAACGTGATTTCTTTTGTGGCCGAAGTTGAAGTCGATGGGCCAGTACCGGCCCACGCAACGATTTCTTCACCATCCCTCTCCCAGTGGAAAAAATCCAACCATTTCGCAGCCTAGGAGGCGACTGCAGAATGAGGTTGCCAATTTTGCAGCACAGAATGGCTTGGGTTACAGACTGGTAATCAAAGATTCTCACATTCCTTTCTCGCCTTACGCTACAGCAAAAGGCATGAACAAATGAACACTCGAGCACACCGCTCTTTAAACCCCTTTCGGTTCACAAGCCAGAGTCTTGCAATACTAATATTGCAGCGCTGCAACATCTTGCGCTTGTGGAGGAAAAGAGCCAAGGAGGCAGGAGCTAACAAGAAACATGGGAAATACTGCCTCGGATTTTCGCTGATGGGAGACGAAGCCAAACAACATGCTCAAGATGATGATGATGATGCGGGAGGTGGTGGTGGTGGTGGAGAGGACAGCGCTTCTGTGGGCAGTTCCTTCACAACAGCAGCCAGTGCCTCGGGGTTCAACCCGAGGTCGCAGAGGGCTATCAGAACTGACAGCGTGTGACGGTCAAGACCTGTGTCGAGAATGTTGGACATCTGGAACGACAGCTCCAGAGACTCGCGCGCTGTCTTTGCTGCTTCTGGATCCATGGACCAAACGGGTTTTTACGAACAGGGAACTGCAATGCAATACCCAAAGCCAAAATGAAACATACACATCGAATACTTTAACGATTAGTCGGAAGATCCACGAACTGATATTTACTTAAGCAAAGCAGGATCGAAGAGAGGGGAATGCTTTCTGAAATTGAAAGCAAGTAACAAACAGGACTATTACTTGATGATCTAGTTATATGCCAAATGAATATCTTTCAGGGTATGCTAGCACAAGGAATTCCCCGGTTGGACATTTGAGGCATGATCAACCTACAACCAAGCACGCATAAAAAAAATGTGGGTACTTAAAACCTTCCATTGCCCTACCCCATATTCTCCATAACCAGAACAACTACGCAGCACGAAGAAAAATGGAGGATCGGAAACGATTGGTGTGTAGGAAATTCCTAAACCCTGAGACTTGCGAGCAAACGCTGGAGCGAATTGCAGACCAAGATTACGCACAGAAAAGGAGCAGAACAAGGTACCTTCTAAAGAGAAATGCGCTGAAATGATGAGTTGAGGGAGAGCCCCGAAGCAGGAGACTGGCGGGCTACTTCTCTTCTGCTTTCCTTTCTTTCCGATTCCAAAAGGTCCCCTTCTGTTACTGAATCGTGACGGACGGAATCTGGGGGCGGGGGATTCAGGTGGAAGGATCCGACTAAGAAACCCAGCGGTAGCGTCAATCACTTTCTTTGCCGATTTACGATTGATGCTTCGATTTTACTCCGCTGGCCTAGCCCTAGCTTTTCTGAGAACAATGAACAGAGTTAAGGTTCGATTTGCTTTCAATTTGAAAATTGAGATTTTTAGTAAAATCTGAATTTTGAAAAGCGCTACATTACTTTCTTTTTCTGAATCGCTATTCGTCGTCCTAAAATACAAATTTTGTCGCCCTAAAATGTATCAAATTGACAGTCTTACCCTCTAGCCACAATTTCTAACCAATACCCTAAACAAAAAAACCTTACCTTGCCCAGCCGCCGTCGAGCTCAACCCTGGACGAGTCACTCCTCTCCCACCGAGGAACCAATTTTCTTTTCCCCTGACAACAATAAGAAAATGGAACAAAAAAATTACAGCAGAGATCTCCGGTAGATTCATTTCCTTAGAGCTTAGCTAGGGTAAGGAGGTGCGGATTAAAAGGAGGTGTAGATTCATTTGTAACGATTCTAATCAAAAGGATTATAGTTGTATGTGTTTGTTTTAGTGTTTATAGGTTTGAAAAACACAAATTAAACTAAGGATATTTGAGTAATTTTACTAAAAGTTAGGGCAACGAATAAGGTGTTTTAGGGCGACGAATAGCAATGCCCTACTTTTTATGATAAAATGGCTTTACCCCATTTTGATCCAAAGTTTGGCGTTGGTGACGATTTTGGCCCCAATTTTCGAGTACTAGTATATTACACTTTTGGCCAACTTTTCAAATTTATGGACGTATTTGGCCCGTGTTACGTTTTGACCGTCAGAATTGACGGTCAAATAATTTCCTCGTAAGCGAGTCAGCAACCTTTGCTGACGTTGCTGACTCGGACTGCCACGTCATGAACTAAATAATAATAAATAAAAAAAACTCGACTGTTCCTTATCTTTTCCCCCAATTGCTATTTGCTTCCGTCTCCACACACCCATCGCGAGCGCCAGTCTACCCTCCTCCACCCAGCGCGAGCGCCGCCATCATTGGTCGTCCCCCACCTCCACCGAGCGCAAGCGCCGCTGCCGTTGGCCGTCTTCCTTCCATCACGGGACACCCTCGTCGCCCTCCGTCGTCGCCATCCCTCGCTGTGAGATACCCTCATCGACACCTACCTTCGTCGTCGCCATCCTTCGCAACCTTTCTTCGTCGCCTCCCCTCCCCAATCGAGCTATTTACCTCTTGTTCTCACCATACCCGACAGGTGAGGAAGGAAACATGTCATATTTTAAGAAGGGAGGAAGATCTGAAATTGAAAGTTCAGGGGCTTCAAGTTCTACCAACAGACATGTGGAGAGATGCAACCACAATGTTTCGTGCATTGTGCAAAGGTCTAGGACAGCAGATAATCCGGGGAGATTGTTCTATTCTTGTCCAAATTGGCAGGTATAATGATTTTCGATCTGTTCTTGCATTCTTGTTGTCGAAATCCCGATATTAAGGATTCATTTGAATTCTGGTAATGTAGGATACCAAAAAGAACTGTAAGTACTTCAAGTGGGTTGGTCAGCGGACATCGGCAAGCGATATAGATGGTTTGATAGAGGAGAATGAGCAGTTGAAGTCAAGATTGGCTGAGATGGAAGTAGAGATGGAGAACTTATATTCACGATTTGAAGGTCAAATTGAACAAACTGAAGAGAGGGCCGACAAGATGAAGAAACAAAAGTTATATATGGCTGAAGAGTTGGCAAAGTTTGTAGATATTAGTACTCGTAATTGTGTTGAATTGCAGAAAAGGCGACATACTGTGTGTGCACTGCAGAGTAGGATTACTACTTTTTGTATCGCTATTAGCTTCTTCTGTGTTATTTGGTATGTTAGTTGGCCGGTCCGTAGCTAAACCGATGGTTAATGTTGGTGTTTAGAGTTGGTTTAGAAGTAGCTACTCGTGTTAAATGCTTTGTGTGAGTCTATGTTAATGCTTGTACTGTAAGCTTTGTGTGAGTCTATGTAACAGAAGAACAACTCCACTGTATTTTCTGAATGATCAGCTTGCTTCTACCATTAACTTAATTCCGAAACATGGCTACTGTATGTTCACAATACATGATTCAGAAAAGAGGCGAATATAACATGCCTACAACCTACTAGAGTTCAAATTTCCACCATTCACTTCAATCCGAAACTACTTGTTCTAAATACAGAGCAAGGAAGGAAATACTAGACCCCTATATTGAGTTCAAATTCCCACATATATGCCTACAACCTACTGCATGTTCAAAAGACAAAAGAAGGGAATTGACATTGATGCTTCAAACACAGACTACTGTGTCCCGGGTTGAGAGGCTGGAGGCGGTGTGCTATTCATTGGCGGCTGATCTGGCCCAGTTGGTTGGCTCCTATGTCCTTCTTGTGGAACCATTGTACTTAGCTGCAATAGTACACATGGTTAGAAACATTTAACGCAAGAGAATAAACAGAAATATAATGTGGCAGTCGAATCTTACACGAGAATACATGTTCCCAGTATGAGGATCAATGTAGGTGCCGATTCCTTGCATAGCCCTCCTCACCTCCCGCTCCATGACTTGTCGGCTACAATTTCCCATGCTTTCATTCTGTAATTCACTCTAATTAGTAATTAGACACTAAGTTGAAATATACAACACACAACTACATCTGATAATGTTTTTAACATTATACCTTAACTCCAACCCTCAACGGACAAGTTCTTGAATTATGGTTGTCTGTCCTACACCTAGAACAATAAGAAAACTAGAAAATTAGATTAACTTGCTAAATCACATCAATCATTAACACAATATGAAATTGACTTACTCCATTCTCAGTAGGTTGTTGTGGTATTGCATGTCTCTATTTTGGGGCTCGCATATGCCTTTGTTAAGCTGGAGGAGGTGGTTGTGGTATTGCTGGGTTGGTACAGCTCCTCCTATTATGGCCTTCTACCCCACATCGAGTACAATGAACCCGATTGTTGTGCCCAGTAGCTATCTCTCCACTAGCACTTCTAGCACGCCTTGTTAGCAACTCCGCTACCTCTTTCCTTATGTTTTCCCTGGACGGCCAGACAACTTCCTCATTTTTGGCGGGTAGACCTTGTAACCCTCCATGGGCAGCCACGTTTGTGGCCCTTCTGAAGTTGGAATTGGGTACTTGTAGGTATTTTGAACATATGCCAAATCGAAGTACATACTCACATAACCATTGGGATCAAATCTCATAGACCGAATTGCAGAAATAGCGTGACAACATGGAATCCCGTTAAGAGCCCAATATCCACAAGTGCAGGTGCGAGACTCCAAATCAACAATGTACCCCTTTCCATGTACCTGCACCTCATGCTTATAAGTTGTTGATGGACGACTAGTACACATTCTAGCCTCGTGTATAAACTTCTCTAGCTTGCTCTTCACGACTGGAGAAAACTTCCCAGTACATCGTCTCATCTTCCTCCTGATGACGACAAGCCGAGTCATCACAGCCACTCTAATTCCCTCTAGCATAGCAATCACCCGCAACACTCTGAACTTCATAATCCAGCTGTTAAATATCTCACATATATTGCTCTCCACGGATGCACACTTCGAATGAGTCTTCATAAATAACCGGCAGAACCACTCCGGTTCTGCAGCCATAAAATCCTCATAAACATTTCCTTCAAGAGCCTGCATCTTTGTTGTAGCATCCCTCTAATCAGCCTCATTGGTTGCATATACCGCCACCCAATAAAGATATGTTGCCAAATCAAACCTGTGCTTCACCTTGAAGTGTGCATGGACGTGTCGAGCACACTTCCTGTGCTCAACATTTGGTAAACACTCATGGATGGCCTCAACCAAGCCCTGTTAAAGAAAATTCCAACAAGCATTATTTATAGAATGCATGGTAAAACTAGGAAGCAAATACACGAATAATTAGCCGAGGCATTAAATAAGATGGAAATGGAAGCTTGCCTTTTGTTGGTCTGAAACAATTGTCCACCCATTGTCATCTTGTAGCCCAAGTTGTTCTTTCAATATTTGCAAGAACCATGTCCACGAACTCCCATTTTTAGACTCAAGGACTGCCCATGCTATCGGGTACATGTGGTTGTTTCCAGCTTTTCCAACAGCACTAAGTAACATCCCTTTGACCTCCCCTTTCAAGAAGCACCCTTGTAGGCAGAAGAAAGCCCTACAGCCTTCCAAGAATCCACGGCACACGCTTGAAAAGCCAACATAAAATCTCTTGAAGAATACATTATAGGATCCTGGGTCCAAAACCACCTCTAGCTGGAAGGTTCCATCCGGGTCAACTCGTTGTAGATGACCTATATATGATCGAATCCGATTTAAATCTTCTTGTAAGGAGCCATGGAGAATGCGTCGAGCTTCTATATAAGCTCGGTAACAGATTTTCCGTGTCACCTCCACATTGTACTTCTACTTTATCTCAGCCGCCATGAGATTCACATCCCAATCTTGCTCCACTCTAAACCGATCTAGAAATTGAGTAGCTATCCACTTCGAAGTAGCACCTCGAATGCCAAAAGTACGCGGACAGTCATGAGGAGTCCCAACACCTTTCACCATAAAAGTCTCCCTCTTCCCATACCAACTTGCATACACCCTCCAGCCATACTTTTGGGCACACACAACTTCTTTTCTCTTCTCACTGCTGCGCGCCCATCTAATATCAGCTCCAATCTCTATTGAATGCTTTGTAATAGCTTATTGAAACTGCTTGGGACTAGCAAACCTCATATGTGTGGTAATCGAAAGTATTTTATGATCACAATTTGGATCATAAAATCGACACTTGTCAATCATAGACACGTCTTCTTCTTCATCCAAATTCCCCCTCACATGATTTGAGTCCTCAGAACCCCTATAGATAGAAGATTCACTCCCTTCAACTTCAACATCATCCATGTTATATGTTCGCTGTCCCCCCTGCATTTTCTTCCTCGTTCACAGTAGGTTGTACATCTAGCTGCTCATGCTCTAGCTCTCCATCCTCCTGCTGCACACTCTGTTCTACCTCATTTTCATCTACAAATACTAGGTCGACCTCTTCCCCCGATCTAGTCGCCTCAAACATGCATTTCTGTCTCATGCGACGAAAACGGGCCCTAATCTCATGATATTCTTCATCTGAAGTCTGAGCTTCATAATCATCTAGCCGGATGAACTCGGCGACGCCAGAGTTGTCGCCTTCCTCGTCTGCAACATCTTCACTATTCTCATAGTTGTCCCCCATTTCACCGAGAAACTTGGTTGCTTCAAAAAACACCACCACCTCCCCTAGCTCGGCATCTCCAAGTAACCCATTCATCATGTCAGAATCATTGGCAATCTCTTGCAAACCATCCTCCATGCTCTGTCCCGGAGTCAAATACCACATCTTCTCAACCGACAAGTAATCGAAATCTGGAATCAAAATACTCAGAAGCTCAAAGTACGACATATCATCAACTGCCATATCAACCCGGTCTTCAACACCACCAACATATTTTGGAACCGCTTTTGATGTATCCAACATACCCCATGACGAAGCACAAGTAGGATGCTCATCCTACAATATGGACAAATTAGGTTATATATTAGTGGACGAATTGTTTATGGTCTCTTTATGGTTAACAAAGCATAAACAAGACAAACACATACAAACCGCCAATTTTAAATTCCTTTCACGTGTTTCATAATCACTAACCCAAAAAGAGCATAAAAGACAATTGTTTATTGAGTGCGGCGATTTCCCAGAATCGAAATCCTTAAACAATAGAAAACGACAGCAAGATCGTTACCTGTATAGATGAAAAACCGATCTTCGTGGCTGTGGTCCCGACCTCATCCCACAAAAAGAAGACGACGACAATAGCTTTTATCTCCAACAGAAAGCAGGACAGGGAAAAACACTTGGGCGAAGGGGGGAGACGAATCGTTGGCTTCTAAAGGAAGAGTCAGGGTTCGCGCCACCGACTGGAGATTTACCGGGCGCGCGATCGCTGTTGTTTGCTTCTAGGTCGGAGTTCGTCGATCAGCAGAGGAAGGCAGATTCGACGAAAACAGAAAGGAAAAGATATGGAAGGACAGGGAAAGAAGGGGAAGGAAATGAATCTTCGCCGAGCCGACAAAGATTCACCAGGGCGCGATCAATCGACACTGACTCCTGGTCGGATTTCGTCGATCGGGTGGGGTTGCATGGAACGATGAAGAGAAAGAAGGGGAATGATGGGGAATGAAAGGGAAAGGTGGGGGAGGAAAGGGAACGGTCGGGTTTTTTTTTTTATTTTTTTTTTATTTAGTTAATGACGTGGCGGTCCGAGTCAGCAAAGGTTGTTGAATCACTTACGGGGAAATTAGTTGACCGTCAATTATGTCGGTCACAACGTAACACGAGCCAAATACGTCTATAAATTTGAAAATTTGGCCAAAAGTGTAATATTCGAAAATTGGAGCCAAAATCGTCACTAACACCAAACTTCGGGCCAAAATGGGGTATTAGCCTAAAAATGCCAATTAAAAAAGTAACGGAACAATAGAACGGGTAAGCCCACAATTCAAAAACTACCAAGCCCAATGTAACTCTGTAACCATGAAGGGCATTATTATTGTAGTTAGACTAACTCCAGCCCTAGAGCTAAAAAGCCATTTACCCATTTTTAGCTCTTTTTTTGTGCTCCAACCCACATTATTTTGGGGAGCTAAAAATGGGTATTGGTGAATTGGGAGCCAAATTTAGCTTCCAAAAAGGTTGAAAAGCCAAATTTGGCTAGAGGAAATGGTGGACCCGCGGTGGTTCCTCTTTTATTTTTTGTTTTTTTTTTGTGGGATTTTCTCATTGGTTGATTGTGTTGTTTTTCTTTTTGCTTTTTTTGTGTGGTATTTTGTCATTGGTTGATTGTGTATGTTGTTTTTTAATTGTTTGAAAGAAGATATGAAATGTTATATGTTTAATTGATATTTTTCATTGGTCCCGAAGTTAACGGTAACAAAATAATGACTAATTTTCCGAAACTTTTTTTGTCTCCGAATTAAAAAATATTACATCGAAAATTTTATTTTTTCAAAAGTAATAACTAACTATAGAAAATTAAAGTGAAATATGAAAATTAGAGGTCAAATAAGTATGCTTTATTGTAATAAATTGAAAAAAGGGAGGTAGGAAGCTAAATTTAGCATTGTGTAGGGTTGGAGTGAAAATGGGGTTTGGGGAGCTAAAAAGCCATATTTGGCTATTTGGGGAGCCAAATTTAACTTTATGGGTTGAAGTTAGTCTTAGCAGAGAATACATGTCTATATAGTATATACTTCATTTTACTTTCTGATGAGATTTGGGTTTAATCCATGCATTCTTTTATGTTTCTCAGACAATGAATTTTTAAAACTAACATCTTCTTAGTATACATGCAATCACACTATTTCCTGAACCAAAGATTCCAAACCACTACTTATTGTTAGCATGAAACTTCATCTGTCTCCATTACCTTAACAATTGTGTAATATTAAGACAAGACAGATTGGGTTGCAAAATCAGCCACGAATACCTTGAAATTTCCATAATAATTATAATAAACATATAGAAATGGTTGTCGAAATGGTTGTCAAGATGGTTAGCTAAAGTTTAACATTACAGACAGGCAATCAAAATGGTTGTCACAATGCCATCAATGTCCAGTAACAATCCAAGATCAGCAGCACAAACCCATTTTCTTCTCTCTTTTTTTTATTTATGGGGAAAGAATGAAGATTGAATTATTTGCATACAACAATAAGAAGTCAGAAACTGACTACCTATATAGTACTCAATAGTAATGTGTGAAAAAGTCAGAGGTACTATATTAATATACCATAGGGAACTCACTACTGAGATAAGCTTTCTACTGCCTCCTGTTTCTTAAGGTATAATATAACAACCCGCCACAGTTGGAAGACCAGAGTATGGTTTCACTCGTTTTTTTTTTCTTTTGCCAATAAGCAGCCACAGCAAGCCCTTGCTCACATTGAGCTTTTAGGTGCTGCATCTTCAAACAGAAAACATACATACACTTTCCAGGTCCTCCGATGAGTCATCTCAAAATTCAACATCGAAACGCGTCATCTTCCTTCAGAATCTGCATTGAAACAAACCGATTCGGAAGAAGAAGAAAAATGAGCATGGAATGGGTATAGAATCTTAGGGCGGGGAGCAAAGTCACACGATTTACTCAGGCAAGAAGCATCCTTTAATTGAAATCTCAGAAGTATCCAAAATTACCTAGGCCACTGCTTGAAGAATCAGTTTCATCATTCCTCGGAGCATATTTTTCAAGGAACTGCTCAATTGTTCCCCAGTAATGATCCCCACCAGACAACCAGGTATCCATATGCATGCCCGAAGGAAATTCGACAAAAGTGCATTCCTTGTTGTGAGCAGCTGCTTTCGCATAAAGCATCTGCATGTGAGATGGAGGAACCATCTCATCTTGCAACCCCGAGAGGAAAAGAATTGGTCGCTTAACCTGCAATTACATGTTCATTTCTGTTCAAAGGCGGATCATATGTGCAGAAGCAAGCGTTGGAAAAGTTGTGGTTGTAGAGAGATATTATTACATGACAGATTGACAGTTACAGCACCCAAAACATATTAGTTTCGCACAAGCAAAGTGAGGTTGGAATAATCCCTCAATTTCAGTAACTGTGTGTGATCCTTGTTCAATGATGGACTACTGCTTAACACCTGACATCATATTTTAAATGTTTGAAAGCAGAAGGCATAGTTCAAATATCTGAGGAAGGGGGTTCCCCAAATTGTAAACTCACCTGGCCAATGACATCGATGGTGTTCCATGGAGAACGTACGACAAAATTAAGAATTTTAACACCTTTTGCACCAGATCCTCCAATAACCCACTTCAGAAAGGGGAGCAGAACTCCTGCCATATCCAGAATAGATGTAAAAGTATTTTCCAGTATAATGCCAGCAACCTGAAGGGCAGGTACAGAACAAAAGGAAAGGTCATCAACGATGCCACAACATCTATGAATTACTATCCTTAAGAAGAACAGGGGGTAGAATTAAAGTACATATCAAAATAAGAAGTCCATGAGTCATGTCTCATAAATCTCAAAGACAGCATCAACTGAATTAGAAGAGCCGGCAAGCAGTTACGTACTACATGATTCCACAAGCTAGGAGACAAGAATTTGACATCAACAACAAAAACCATGTGAATATGTAGATAGGAGGAAGCTAATGGGTACAACGTACGATTTACTTTTTTCTACCACCTCTTTCTTCTTCAAAAATAGAGGAGAGTTCTATCCAATCCAAACATCAATGTGATCCGTAAAAATGTCTTAGTCACCACCTCAAAGGTCAAACCAATATGAAGTCTAAATCTAAATAGATGAGCAAGTCCACATTTCCTAGTGATGTCTAATACACCTAATTCTTTTTACAGTGAAGAACTAATAGTACGTCACATCATGAAGACCTTTGTCTCATTATTACTGGCATCCTAAAACAATTCCTTAACTATAGGAACACGATCAGAGTATGAAAAGCACCAACACCAAACTAGTCCTCACATTCTCAAAGTGATTTGTTAACTAAGCTATAGAATGTGACTCAAGCTTATGCAATACATTATTGAAATTTCAAAGTTCAAAGGATTTCAAATATCCTCTCCTTAGGAAACTATAAGGAATATATATAATATAAAAAAGAAACACTAGAATTGTAAAACTAGAATACATGAAACTTCAGCCTATACAAGTTGATGAGCTTGAATAGCTTCAGGAGGCGAATGAAAGGCCAGGATTACACACACTCTTGGGAGAAGAATGAGGAACGGAGGAAAAAACCTAATGCTTAATTAATAATGATTCAACAACATTGACCAGGACCGTACCTTATCAGGGTTGTTTCTTGTAAGTAAGGCACCAACAGCACCTCCCAGTGACCTCCCAAAAACGAATATTCTCGAAGTATCAATATCATTCCGCTGATAGAGATGATCCAATGCAGCCTGGGAAGAAGAAAAGGATGGTTAAATAAGAGGTTAACTAATTAGACAGACATACAGACAGACAGAAAGCAAAGAACAGACTGCAAATTACCCACCTGAGCATCCTTTGTAATTCCATGCTGAGAAGGAGATCCGTCACTCGCTCCATAACTACCAATTGACAGAATGAATCATATATTCAGATCAAGCAAGCACAAGACAGTCAGGATATGTCTCGTCCATTAATAGAAATGATACACGAAAGGGAGGGAGGGGGGAAGAGAGACTCAGAGAACAAGATTGCCTATGCATACCCACGGTAAGAAAGCATGAACACATTGCACTGCAACTTCTGTAACATTATGTGGACCATTTCAAGACGATGAGCAATATCTGCAAGTCCCTGGTTAAGGCAACTCCAATTGAGTTTAACCCATGTAGAAGAAACATAATAGCAAACAGAAATTGTAAAACAAAACCTAATAGCAAACACAACTTTACTACAGCCGAGGCAGCCGAATCCCAATTATCATAAGGATACTTCCTGCATTCTCCTGGAAGAAAAGGATGGTTGGACCTGCAACGGCAATGAAACTCTTTAAGCACAACAAATGAAATGCTGCAGTGAAGGAAGAAAATGACTAGATCCCACGGCATGCAGTGAAGTTCAAATTTCATCACAATCACAGCCGAACCAGTCCTATTGTCGAAGTACAGTTGCTGATCCCGTTGATATAAAACAACCCACATGCACTCGAGCACACACACCACACACGAAATTCAATTCTTATTTTAAGATCTGCAAATCTCAATTCAAATTGGGAGTAGCCACACCTAAAATTCAATACCTAAAACCCCCCGACCCAATTTACCAACCACAGTTTGAAGTCTTCAGCAGAGCTGAAACAAAAACCCTAACTCAACGGAAAGGAGAGTAGAAGAAACGGATCCAGAGAAAGTACTAGAAGAAATGGGATCTTTCGATATAGAATGCGGGAGTATAAGAATTATAACCTCTGCAATCAGGGAAGTGCTTAATGAACCAGGCATGGAGGCGGACGCCATCGGAGGATCGGAGCCATACGTCCTCGTAAGTGAGACGGAGGCGGGCGGGAGTAATCGTGTAGGACTTGGTGAGACCAGGGACGACGGGGACATATACGAGGCGCTCTTGAAAGGCGACCAGCAAGGCCATCCCGGCGAAGACTATGCCGCCGACGCCGTAGAGCAGGATGTTGACGTACGACACCATCTTTGCCGGCCGGGTGGCTTTCGGCGTTTCGATCGGGCTTGAATGATGGTGGGATGGGTAAAGGGAACGCCGGATGCTCCTTCCCCGAAAAGGCAACTCTGTAGACTTTCGCCGTGCAGCTGCAGTTGATTTGCTGTGCTGGACTGCGGATTTTTCCCATAATTGATAATACACGTGTTTTTTTTTCTTTTTCAAAATACACACATTTTATAAAAAATTCTCTGTCTACACGTATTTAGGGCCCACTGTGGCTGTGAGAAGCAGTAATCATGTTCACCGTGGCAGTGAGAAGCGGTGAATACATCACTGCGGCAGAGGGAAGTTAGGTAAGTAATGGAGAGTGATAATGTCGAAAACAATAATGATTGTGTGATACCTGAGGGAAACAAAGTACGGCCTAATAAGATATTGGAGTATTTTATTGAATTGATGGTCCAGGAAGTCAAGAAGGGAAACAAACACGCCAAACTTTCACTAAATTAGGATGGTCCAACATCAAAGAGGAAAGGCGGCGACCATGGGGGCGGTCGGCCACCTAGGCAAGGAATAGAGAGGTTAGCCACTTCGAGCATCTCCAATGGTGCAATTTTAGTGACTTGCAATATGATGTGGCAAGGAGTTGCAATTGCAACTTTAAATCACATTGATGTGGGGAGTTGTTGCAAGGGTAGGGGTGAACAAACACACCCGTAAACCGACCCACCCGTCCAACCCGACCCAACCCACCCTTATTTATCGCTAAAACGAATGTTTTGAGTTGGGTGATGATTTTATTTTGTACAACCCGCCTCTTTTGGGTTGGGTTTGGATTTTGAATTACACAACCCGTAGAACCCGACCCAACCCGTGTTCCAACTATTGGTATGAGTTCGTATCCAAAAAATATTTATGTCGTATATAGTCATACTTGTGAGAAAATTAAGATATTTCGCCATGTTTTTCTCTCATGGTCTCCCTAATCTAATGCATTCTTCAACTTAAAATTTAGACATCAATTTAATATAACTATGATTCATGTAATCTTTTTTCTTGTGTACAATTTTAATAGAATAACATGCTATGGATGCGTTCGCTTATAACCTTTTTAGAGTGATCATCAATGAAACGAAGTGTAAAATTAGAGAACAGTAAATAAGAAAAATAATTTGAATGTCAGAACGTGAGAATTTTGATAAACTGAACGATCAAACATATAATTTACCCTTTTATATAAATTTATGAATTATTATGCAAGGAAAACAAGACTGAACTGAAATTAAAGAAGAAAGGGATAGAGATAAGCGAAGCAGTTCACCTTGCGCAATGTCACAACTCAAAAGCAAAACGTCATGCACAATCTTTTTTTTTTGACAAAAGATAATCATATTGATTGATAAGAGATAAGAGATCGTTACATCCTGGAATTAAGCCAGCCCTGAAAATCAAAGAACCGACTCGTATTCGGATACAAAGTGAGGGCTTTTCGAGCCACTAGATGGGCTACCCTATTGTTACTCCGACCTACAAATCTAACCGAAAACCCAGGATGAGCAGCAAAATAATGAATAACTTCTTCAAGAACCGCCCCCATCCGGTTATCCCTGGAATCCGACTGGTTGATTTTGTCAATGACAATCTTTGCATCGTCTTCAAACCTAACCTCCGTTGCCCCGTGTCCTATGCATACCAAAAGCGCCTCCCTCAGGGCCAGTAACTCCACTACGGCAGGGTCATCCACACCCGGGAATTGGGTTCCTTGTACAAAGAGAACCTCCCTAGCCGAATTCAAGATTACAAACCCTCCTGCCGAGTGCCTCCCACGACTAGTAGCCCCATCCTACAAACACACAACTGAGCTAGTCGGGACAGATTTGGGAGCCCGGGGTCCAGGAAGCAAGGACCGAGGATCTGGCTCCACTGGCAGGTGGATCCACTCCTCATATTGTTAGTGGAATTGACGCAGGAGGAATGGGATCACAAACTGCTTTCCGTTAAAAACAACCCAATTTCGGGAACGCCAGATCCTCCAGAGGACTGCTACCACCGCCATGAACATAGAAGGTTCACGCACACGTGAGAGTAATTTTTTGAGAAACAGCGGGAAAGTATGTCGCGACAGCCCTTCACCCAGGAAATCCATTCCCGAATACTCCCACAAAGCTCGCGCCACCGGGCAATCCAAGAATAAGTGCTCCATTGTTTCTGACTCCGCCCAGCAAACCGGTCAACGAGAGAGCACCGGAACCTCCTTTTCCCGCAAGGCCTCCGTCGTAGGGAGGATTTGATGGAATAACTGCCAGACGAATATTTTGAGCTTCAGCGGAATATTTGCCTCCCAAAGTCTAATCCAACCGGCCTTATCCATCCAACTAGCCAAAAACCGCTAGCGCGCTCGTTGCTTATCAAGATTAATCGCAAGGTGATAGGCTGACTTAACAGTAAAACTACCATCAGGAGAATTATGCCAAATGAGGCGATCCTCCACTTTTTGCCGGGGAAGGAGAATAGCTTTAATTGCCGCACAGGTAGCCGGGTCAAACCACTGGTTGAGCTTGACATCATTCCAATGCCCTTCTCCCTAACATATGACCTCCTCAACCTTAGGGTCCCCTCCTACCGGCAACACTCGAGGGTTGGGAACGAGGGACCAAGGATGGGATTGAGGAACCCAGTTGGAATCCAGCAGAGAAGCCGCCCTCCCATTCTCAATCTGCCACCGTAGCCCCTTCTCCAGCAGTTGTCATCCATATAAGATATCTTGCCACCCCTAAGAAGGACGAGAACATGCCATAGCTTTAAGAAAGGTCCCATTAGGAAAGTACTTCCCTTTATAGACTTGAGCCAGCAGGGAATGAGGTTCGTTGAGAATCTGCCAACCAATCTTTGCCAACAAAGCTTGATTGAATTGTTCAAAGCGACGGTACCCCATCCCCCCATCATGCTTACTTTTGCACATATTCCGCCAGGATATCCACCTGATCCTTAGATGCCCCTCAACAGCCCCCACTAGAATCGAGCCACGTGCTTGTCGAGGAGTCGGCAAAGAGACAGGGGAAGTTTGAAGCAGGACATAACATGTAAGGGTAGCGCTAAAGCAACTGACTTAATTAGAGTCTCCTTTGCTTCCCATGACAACGTCCTCTGCTTCCACCCCTAAAGTCGCTCAAGCAGTTTTTCTTCCAAGTACCGGAAGGTATCCATTTTAGATCGAGAGAAGAGCATTGGGAGGCCCAGATACTTGTCATGGACTCCCACCGCACCCACCCCCAGAATCTGAGCCAAAAACTCTTGATCCGGCAACCAAATATTCTTACTAAAGCACACTGCTGATTTAGCCAAATTAACCTTTTGACCACTGAGTTCCTCGTACTCATTCAGAACCTCCAGTAAATTCTCACATTCTTGGAGAGAACCATGCAGGAACATATAAGAATCATCAGCAAAGAATAAATGAGAAATCCTGGGAGCACGAGGAGCCACCTTAACACCTTCTAACTTTTTATCTGAAATGGCCTTACGCAAGAGCACCGCAAACCCCTCAGTACAAATAACGAACAGTAATGGCGATAAAGGGTCCCCTTGTATCAGCCCCCATGAAGGGGAGAAATACACAGAAGGGGTTCCATTCATCAGAACCGAGAACGAGGTGGAACGGAGGCATTCATAGATCCATCCTTTCCAAACCGAATTGAAACCCATCTTGTCCAAAACCGCCAGAAGAAACGGCCATTCAACTCTATCATAGGCTTTTTCAATGTCAACCTTTAGAGCCATGAACCCTTTCTTACCTCGCGTTTTGATTTTCAAGTAATGCATCAATTCATGTCCAAGAAGGATATTTTTCACTATTTGTCGATCCCGAATGAAGGCATTTTGACCCTCAGATATGATTTGAGGCAGAATAGCAGCCAAACGCCCAACCATGATTTTGGTAATAATTTTGTACACAAATTGGCATAAACTGATAGTTCGCAACTGTCTCATAAACTCAACATTGTCCACCTTAGGGATCAGAGTAAGCCAGGTGTGATTAAAGCTTCGGAGCATTTTACTCGTCACAAAGAATGAGGTAACAGCCTCAATTACTGACGTCCCCACAATGTCCCAAAAGGCCTTAAAAAATTTCCCTGTGAAACCATCAGACCCAGGAGCTTGTTTGGTTCCCATTGAGAATACCGTATCCTGAATTTCCTGCGAGAGAACTTCAGCTGTGAGGTCAGCATTCATCGCTGGCGTAACACAGTGAGAAATGGGGAGAGAGGCCACGCGAGCCGAGATATCCGACACTCTGTTCTCTGAGGTAAACAGATTTTGATAAAAAGTAGTGGCAATGGTAGCCTTCCCATTCTCCGTATTAACTCATTCACCTTCCTCACTCCGCAGGCCGGCCACAAAATTACGCTTCCTATGAGCCCTGGTGACCGTATGAAAATAGGTCGTATTCTTATCTCCTTTTTTCAACCAGTGAACTCGAGATTTCTGTTGCCAATAAACTTCCTCCGCCTCCCACTGCCTACCTAACTCAATTTCCAGCCGCCGGACCTCCTCCCAGTCAATTGGGTGAATTAATTTAATCCGATCAATTTCAGCCTGGAGGGTTCGGATGTTCCTTAACGAATTAGTAGTACCGGCTCTGCTCCAGTCATACAGCAAATGGCAGAGTTTCTTTAAACGCTCCCACAGTCGAAACATCGGATTGCCTTGGATCTCCTCCTGCCAGACATATTGCACCATAGCCCTAACTTCCGGATTATCCGCCCATCGGGCGTCAAAACGGAACAGGGGTCGGCTATTATGGGCATAAGGTTTGTCAGAGAGAAGAAGGGCTCGATGGTCAGAACCCTGGTCTGTAAAATGCTTTACTAGGGTTTCTGGGAATAGATCCACCCATTTCTGGGAGCACATAGCTCTATCTAATCTAGCTCGAATGCATGCCGTACCCATACGTTTGTTTGTCCAAGTAAACTGATCGCCCAGAAAGCCTGGGTCATGAAGGCCCAGATTTTGAACAAAATCACAAAGGCTCAGGGCGTGAGCAGCATTCCAAGGAAGCCCACCATCTTTTCCCCCCGAATTAAGAGTAACGTTAAAGTCTCCAATGATCACATGGGGAAGATGGATATCCGCACAGATGTCAAGCAGTTGGTCCAATTGGGAAGTACGAATCGCCCCATTACAACTTATATAAACCAATATCACCACATACGAGAACTCACTTTCATGGATTCGAACACAAATACAAAAATTGGAATAGAAAAAAACTGAGGCATCAATCCCCGGGGACCAAGCAACAATTAAACCTCCAGATGCATCAATCGCATCCACAAAAAAACAACAAGGACTATCAAAACCTAAGCCCCGCATACGATAGGCTACTACTCTCCGGCTCGATCGTGTTTCCGAAAAAAACACGAGATCCGGTTTATTGGAATGAACTAAACCGACAGCAGTTTGAAATGTGAGGGATGGTCCAATTCCTCTCACATTCCAGGCAAGAAGCCTCATTTATCCGGCTGGGGCCACTCCCGGCTGGCTACCTCCACCGTTTCCAGTTCATCTTTGTCTTCCACAAACAGTTTTTTTGGTGACGGGGAGTCAGCAATATCTCCATCAACATCATCGATCCGACGTTTCTTCCCCTCCTCCTCAGGGTCACATAAATTGGAACCGTACTCGTTAAAGGTCTTGTCAATAAGATCGCTTTCATTTGGCACTCCCTTATCCGCCGCCATTTCATCCAAAGTGAGTGGGTACTGCAACCCTTGCTCATTGGTTGGGTCACTCATGGTGAGCCCAGCCTCAAAAGCCTTCACAACCTGACGCACACGGGATGAGTGAGCCGATCGCTTGAATTTCCCCTTCCCCAGCGTCTCCCGACGAAGAATCTCGAAGAGGTGCTCATCAGCACCTGAAAAAGACCCCTCCGAGTCCACCCCCTCCTGAATTGCCTCGGCTGGTTGGGGGCCCAAGGGCTCCATCAGAGTTGTCGGATCCACTGCTACCACCTCGACCCTCTTTAGCCCAGCTCTTTTGGAACTGCCGTTTGTGGCACTGACCCCCCGCTCCTTACGTGGTTGCAAGCGATTTGGCTTCGCCTTCCTTGGCGCTTTCTGTGGCGAAAACTCACCCTTCACATTTCTCCCCCTTTTTATACTTGACACAGTGTTACGCAGGGAGGTATGAGCGCCGCCAACATTGCTAGATTGATCAGCAGTCTTTGCACTCCGAATAGCCTCACTCAACGGGCACACCAGCGAGGGACTCGGGATCTTTTGAATATGAAACTCATCTTCAGATTCTTCTTCCAAAATATCTCTTGTACGCACAATCAAACACTAGTATAGTAGGAAAACATCTCTTGTCACTTTAGGTGACAGAACACCTAGAATCAATTCGCTTACGCCATTTTATGCTAATTTACGCAATACTATGATGAGTTACGTAAGAGTGTAAGTTTTTTCACGTAAATGCAAATTCATACCTTTCCCCTCTTAATTTGTATTGACTATATTTTATGGAATTAAATTTGGATTATCATTTAATATGTAAAAATATGTTGTATTGATCATAATCTATACAATGATATCCACTTTGATATATTTCAAAGTTTAAAATTTTATTTTACAACGACATGAATAATTAACAATATGCGTGAATAAACATCAGGTGGCGTGACCTAACAGTATTGGTTGCATGAATAATCAACATCTTACATAAATAACACAAATATGACGTGAATATGCGGAAACAACCCAAAATTAGATGTTTTGCCACCTAACGAGATAAGAGAGTTCACTCTGTATCAAGGTTGTCAACCCGCGGGTCGACCCACTTTGATCCTGGCCCGGTGAGAAAAACGGGTTGCACGCACTCGCCGGGTCGACTGCTATAAGGTACCGGGTTGGCGGTCAAATTGTGTCATTTTTTCTTTGCTTTGCGAAATGCGCCTATTTTCGGATTTTTCTTTTCGCCTAACTCCATCTTTGGAATCCTAAATTGAACATTTTAATATATATGTTATATAAGTGTGTGTGAATTTTCACTATATGTTGGATCTAAGTATGACATGTTATTTTAGTGAAATATTATATGTTATAACAGATTTTATATAATTTATCAGGATAAGTACAATATAATGACTCTTTGTATATTTTCGGACTAAACCGGCTAAAACGAGTGATCCATTAACCCTTGACCCACTAGCTCCACCGAGTTCGGTTCCCACGAGTTGACAAACTTGCTCCGTATTATTAGCCCACCCCAAAATGACACTATCGTAGACTCCCTCCCTCCCTTCTTCACCAGAGAAGTACTGCTCTCATTCAGCCTCGAAATAGCTCTGACGCTCTCTCTCCCTCCAGAACAATTACCGCAGAAGACACAAACCCCCGTACCCGAGAAACCCACCCAGCCGTCGCTCCCTCTTGGCCGGCCGCCGATCCAAATAATGTCGACGCCGCTGTAACTGGGCCGTCCAACTGCATCCGCTCCGGCGAGGTAAATCTTCTTCTTCTTCTTCTTCTCCATCTCGATTTTCACTTTTACTCTCGTTTTATCTCAAAGAATCGCATACATTATTGCCTCAGCTTTCTTTCTTTCTAATTTTTCTTCTTTTTTTCCCGGTCGGTGGCCTTGTTACTTTCCATTGTGGCAGAGATTCCCCTCATCGGAACATTTTTGAAGCAGGTGGTGGTGGAGACTGTCTCAGACTCTCAGTCACCATTCTCTCTTACCCCACACCCTCAATTTCCTCCACCGCTTTCTACAATTCTCTCTTCCACCGGGAAATCGGAAAATGCTGACGTGTATTGCTCGTTCCAAGCAAGCCGGGGATGAGCCGGACGGCTCATCCGCCGCCACCAACGGCAACGGTTCCAACGCTAAAAACAATCAAGCAATCAAATCCCTCACATCTCAGGTTCTTTTTTATTTCATTTTCTCCTTCCCGTAGACAAAAACCCTAAACCTCTGCTTTGATTTTTGAAGTTTAATTAGCGGAATTCTATGGTGGTTGTGGCAGCTCCGGGACATGGCGCTGAAGGCATCGGGGGCATACAAGCACTGCGCGCCGTGCACGACAGTGCCGGCGACGACGGCACATCATCAGAGCCGGTTCAAGACCAACCCGGCGACGGCGGCGGAGTGGGACGCGGCGGAGTCGGAGCGGTTCCGGTGGCCGCTGAAGCGGACGGGGAGCTCGAGCTCGGCGACGCCGAGGACGTGGGGGAAAGAGATGGAAGCGAGGCTGAAGGGGATATCGAGCTCGAGCGGGGAAGGGACGCCGCCGTCGGTGAGCGGGAGCGGGCGGCGCGTGGAGCCGCCGATCGTGTTCGTGGAAGAGCGCGAGGCCAAGGAGTGGGTGGCCCAGGTGGAGCCGGGCGTTCTGATTACCTTCGTCTCGCTCCCCATGGGAGGCAACGATCTCAAGCGGATGCGCTTCAGGTACACGCCTTCGTACGCTTCACGGCTAATTTTCACCCAAGATTAACGGTCTGGATTGGTTTCTTTGCTTCTGGTGAAATGGACGATGAACAGGATATTGTTAATCATATATTTCTAATTCCCCTCGTTTTAACATGCTCCTAAAAATGATCAAACATATATTTTAGTTAAAATTTTCATCCTTAAACCGTTAACCATAGCCGAACTTTGGAGTGGGCGACACCCAGAGAAATAAAATAAGGGACAAATCCTCCAATTTGTCAATGTCGGATGGTCTAAATTCTCGATTCAACCATGATTGATGATTTTTTTTTCAATAAAAATTTAGCAGAAGGGCATGCTTGATGTAAAAAAATAGTAGAGATGTATGTTTGATAAAACGACATAGTATTGGTGCATATTATACCTATAGGCTATAGCCTTTCTTGTTTTATGTAGTTAATTAATCATATTATTTATACTAAAAAATCGTGGTTGATGAAATGTATCATCATAAACTATTTATAAATCTGGCATCTGGTGACAAACTGTTTATAAAACTATTAAGGCTTTCCCCTTATCTCCAATAGTATCATGGTTGTGTTTTTTTGTTTGTTTATTTGGAAATAGTATTATGGTTGTGATGGTTTTCTTTATTCTTCTTTGCTTGAAGAGATTATGGTTGTGTGATGTGGATATGTACATGATAGTTAACGATGTGAATTCATTAAGAAAGCGATGCTGGGATCTTACCTCTGACTTTTTCGCTACTTGCTTTGAAAGAAAGATGCTTTGCTTTTCTTTGTCTGATTGTCTCATATTTAACTTATCTAATACCTCACTAATAATAATTAAGCGTGACGATGGCAACCAATTAGAAGGGTAATTATTACTGGGGGGAAAAGTTCTCATTATAGTGTTCATATTCTTCATATTCGTGGGTGTAGTTTCTTCCAGTTGAAAAGCAGATTGGAAAAAGAGGGTCCAAAAGTGGAACTCATTGTGCCTGCCGCATTAGTGGGTGGTGGTAGTGGGGGCAATGATCTTGATAGTGTCTGGCCATGGCCAAGCTTTTCTTTTGGCTTCACTGACCCCATTGTCGGGGAGAAGAAGCTGGTTCTCTTCTCTTCCTTCCTTTTCTTCCACCCTTATTTTTTGGCTAGTTGTTAGTTCAAATCAAACCAGAACAATTCTTCACGCCGGATTCTCGGTGGCCTTTGTCACCTTGTGCGGTCACCACCAATCATTCCTTAAAAACCCCTCTCTTCCCTCAAACGTGTATCTTTTGCTCCAAGACAAAAAGCTTTTGTGGCCCCTTGGTCGATCGGTCCCAACAAAAGCTATTACTCACAGCTAGAGAATACAGTAGAAGGGTTCAGAGTTTCAGACCCTTTCTGGGTTTACAGGGGACATTGGAAACAGTCTTATGCTTAGTTGGTTCCCTTCTGTTTTAAGGACATGGTGTTTCTTTCCTGGCAGTTGAATGTTGATACATTTGGACTCGGTTTTCTCCCTTTGTTGTGTCCCTGTCTGGTTCTCTTCTACCCCAATCTCTTGGTTTCTCTTTTTGCATTTTTTTTTACTTCACAAACAGATCCATTCCCATATGAACCCCCACTCATACCTGATAGCCTCTTTTTGGTTGCTTCTTCACTGTTTCATGTAATGATGTGGCTTCCACATACAATGGTGTTTAATTGGCTAACTAATACCCTCTTTCTTAGAAAGTAGTGTGTCTAATGACATGCCTAAAACATGCTTTACTGAGATTAGTGGCTATATGTAAGCCGGTCTAGTTAGTCTTTTTTGGGTAGCCATTGAATGATGGTTTGCTTCATTTTCCACCATCCATGAAGAAAGGGTTAGCGGTGCTGGCATGTGACCTGAATTATACGGAATACTCGGGGTTTACTGTGAATTGTTCTTGTGTCTGCTGCATATTTAACCTGACAAAAACATAATGGGGGATTGTGCTAATCCTAAACTGGAATCATCACTATCCTGCTACGAGAATGGATTCTTTGTAATTTGATTCTTGCCCTTCAAGGCACCGTGGACTGCAATGTGTCTTTTCCAGTGAAGAGGTAGATAATGCATTGCTGTGTATATGATTAAATTCTGTCGCGCCTTCATCATTCTTCCCCATGATTTCTTCCAACTCCCGACCTATCCACCATTTACGACGACAAGAAATCGAGACCAGGCTTAAAGAACTAATTTCTGTTTAATCTCTTTGATCAGTCGAGACATGTTCAACAAGTGGCAAGCTCAGAAATGGTGGGCAGAGAACCATGACAGGGTCATGGAACTTTACAATGTCCAAAGGCTTAGCCGTCAAGCTTTTCCTCTTCAAACACCCCCAAGATCCGAAGACGAGGTAAATTTTACTTATTCCCCTGTAAGCAACCCCAATGTGACTTCAAATTACTTCATTCCGTTTGATACTATATACGTCCTTCTCAATGATATGCTTCTACAGAGCTCAAAGATGGAATCAGCCGAGGGAAGTCCACTAACACCACCACTAAACAAAGAGCGATTGCCGCGTAGTTTATACCGTCCGACGGGAATGGGAATAGCAGGCTACTCGTCCTCGGACTCACTCGACCATCCGATGCAGAGCAGGCAATACTCAGACTCTGCCAGTGGCCTCACTTCCACACCAAAGCTCTCAAGCATTAGTGGGGCTGCTAAGACGGAAACGTCGACATCATCCACGGATGCATCCATGAGACGAAGCAGCTCGTCGAGGGACGCTGATCGTTCGGGTGAGTTGTCGATCAGTAATGCCAGTGACATGATGGATAACGAATGGGTTGAACAGGACGAACCTGGCGTGTACATCACCATTAGAGCCTTGCCCGGTGGAAAGCGGGAGCTGCGACGAGTCAGGTTCAGGTAAAAGCAAGCATTTTCTTTTTCCATGAGACATATTCATTTTCTACGTGCACCACTCTTTTCACTGATATAGCTTATTATTGTGGGTGGGTGCAGCCGTGAGAAGTTTGGAGAGATGCATGCGAGACTATGGTGGGAAGAGAACCGAGGTAGAATACACGAACAGTACTTGTAGAGTGGAGAGAAAAAGGCTGAAGCACAGAGAATGCACGAGCGAGGTGGTCAAATGGTAAAATCGGTAGTTTTGGACTTGGAGGTTTCAGGTGCAAATTTCGATTACGAATTTGAAGCCTATTAGAGAAATATATATATCACTGTCTGAATATCAGCACCTCAGCTGATAGAAAGAATTTTGCCTACTCAGATCCGTCTGAAAAGAGGTTATTCCTGTTTGTCCCTCTTCACCTCATGACATTGATCTCTTTCTTTTTTTCCTTTATTGGGCTCAATTGCTCAAATGTTTATATGGGTCAACGTGTTGATCGAGATGAAAGGTCAACGTTTTTCTTTTGATTATGTAATGTTAAATGTTTTTTCTACTGTTATAAATGTTGAGGGGTGGGTCACTGCCACTGGTAATGGGTAATGGCGAATAATTATCAATGAAAGAAGTTGATGACATGTTTTTTTTTTCTCAAAATACACACGATTTAATTTTTATTTATTCTAAATACAGACATGTTATGGAAAATTTTCAATCTACACATGTTTGGGCATCACTGCAGCGGTTGCACGCGGTGAACATGTTCGCCGCGGCAGACCAAAGCGATGAAGGCCTGATCTGCACCGAAACTTTAAACGAAGGTAATTTTGCGCTCGGTTATCCGATCGTAGCGATTTTTTTATTCAGCATAAGTCTTGAGATCTTTCACGAGAAAAAGTCGTTTGCTACCCTGAATGAGTAATTTTTCAATTTCGTCAAATTTTGGATGGCTATAACTTTGTGCTCCGCAATTCGAAAGTTATGTAGTTTTATTTATTTCACATAGCTTTTTAAGGACTACAACTTTTATCATGGACATAATTTCGGAATGTATGTGGAGTTGTGAAAAGTAAAGACAAAGTTATTCCCAAAACCCCGTATATCCAAAAATATTTCTTGTTTTGAAAATTTCTTCCTACTAAAAGTTGTAGTCCTTAAAAAGTTATGCGAAAAAAAAAATCATGACGCATGGATTGCAGAGCACAAAGTTATGGTCGTCCAAATTTTGACGAAATCGAAAAATTGCTCGTTCGGGGTAGAAAATAATTTTTTTCCAGGACAAAGTCGGGACCAAATCGCCTCCGGCCGTTTGCGGCTTGAAAGATCTCTAAAAATTATGATAAATAATTTTTTTTGCTACGATCGGATAACCGAACGTAAAGTTACATTCGTTTAAAATTTCAGCGCAGGTCAGGCCTTCACCACTTTAGTATGCCAGGGTGAACATGTTTCTTGGAAGGGAAGAAAATGAATTGGGAAAAGGATAAGGAGAGAGAGGCTAAAGTCTAGAGTGAAAAGGAAATAGATTTAGTTGTGTAACTCTATAAAGAGTGGATTTGTCTATGATTAATAATATGAGAATATTATTGGAATTCAAATTATGTTTCTTTTGCTTTGGTTATTCTTTCGTCGAGTTCAGTAGTTGGTAGTTATTTTGAGTTTGTTCTCGCCACCAATCCTGAGCCAGTCTCCACCGAATAGAAGTCAAAAGAGCTGCATAAGGGTGCACCATATCATGACGATTATTGATGTTATGAGATATTAAAGAAAGATTTGCATAAATCACTGGAAGCCCGATTCATCGGCTGGATTATTATTATTAATCATTATACATTCACCAAAACGATAACACCAAATTCTGTAGGAGATATTATGACTCAAGTAGAGCCAGCCAAGCATCCTCCTAATCTTGCCACCACCAATCTACATGTATATGTGCCAACTCCTTCGGTTCATCGAACTCATATGCATATCTCCTTCGATACTTCCTCGCAACTTCATCACTCAATGCTTTGTATTTCCTCACAACTTCACGAGCATTCTTCTCATCGTCGTCGTGTTCGTCAAAATGATGAAATCGTGTTCCTGCACCCTCCTCTTTCTCAGCTTCCACTGTCTTTGAGTAATCTATCAGTACTCCACTCTCAAATTCTCTATACAGTTCAAGCTCTTCCTTCCAATCAAGCTTCGGTGAGCCTTGCTCTTTCCCGTACCATCTGACATTCCTCAGCAGCATCCCCTTAACATACTTTTTTTTTTGTCGAGCTCCGAAGAGACTAATCCTAACAATCTGAGCTTCTCCACCAGCTTGTCCTTAACATCATCTGAGGAATTATATATTCAATATGCAAAACCATCAAAACATGAATTTATCCGAATGCACACCAAAAGTTCAGTCTTCTGTGCAAATGGTTTAATTAGGACCTTTTTCCCCGTTTTGGTTGTGGTTGCAGTACGGTTGTGACAATATAAGTACAATCACAACACCATGAAAATGAAAGTGAATAACAAAAAATCATGGAAGTCAGTAGGGATGGCAATGGGGCGGGTTTGGGGCGGGTTTGTCTAAACCATCCCCATCCCCATCTTCAAATACCCAAATCCATACCCGCCCCATACCCATGCGGGGGAATGTTTTGCAAACCCATCCCCATACCCGTGGGTTTCGGGTACCCATGGGTAATACCCGTACCCATACATCCAACATTATTATACCTAAAATTTTCAAGAAAAGTTTTAATTATTACTCTAAACGAACATATTATCTCATGAAGTCAACAAAACACGATCATTTTCTTAATACGGTTCAAAGTATATGATCCTAAAACATCCATTAATACTAAATATAGAGCATAATATTTTTCAAATTATTATCTTCTAACTCTTATACATCTACTAAGTAATAATTAACTAACATAATCTTGTAGACAAGTAGAAAAGTGAAAGAGTGAAAGGAGAATTGAGGGAAATGAATTAGATTTTGATTAAAATGGTCACTCAATTGCATTTCTACTATTTATTTCCTTGAGTTATCTTCATCACCATTGATAGATTACAATTTAATCCACATATTTTTTATATGTGAAGAAATTCTCTTGGTGGGGCGGGTATGGGTATGAGTATGGGGCGGGGGAGGTCAAAACCATACCCGCCCCATACTCATCAAACTTTTTGCGGGTTTTACCCATACCCGGTCAAAGCGGGGATTCCCCGCGTTGACTGGGTCGGGGGCGGTCGGATACCCGCGGCAATGGGTTTTATTGCCATCCCTAGAAGTCAGAAGATTTTATATGCTTAGGTGATAGGCTTGTTTAGTATTAATGTTGAGACTAAGAAAAAAAATAGTAAGATAAAAGGAAAAATAGTGCAGCATGCCGAGTTATGAGGAAATCGAGCAATAAAACATATAATCTACACATAATATAATACACCGAAGGGAAAAACGGGAGCCCCATTTCAAATTTCCTGCAACGAGAGTGAAAGTAGGAAGGACATTTTGGTCTTCACAATTACTTTTTTTTATTCATTAAAAAGACACGTACTGGGATTCGAACCATGTCCATTTTAAAGAAAAGCAAGGAACATAACCAATCACACTAAGTACATTTGTTGTATCCTTTTAAATCAAAAACATATAATAGCAGGGAGGAAAAACCCCTTCCCCCCATTTCAAATTCGCTACTCTATGAGCGTTTGTAGGAAGGGTAGAATAGGTAGTATTAATTTTTTTCTCTTTCCTCTGTGGAACGGGCCAACTTACCGTACACATGCGGATTTAAACGGGTTCAGGAGTGTCAATTTTTTTCTTTAAGCCCTTGTATTTCTCCGTGGTGATAAAATATATATGAAAAGGCAAAAACAATACTTCTTTTTATGCTAAAAATAAAAAAAAATTTAACAATAAACTAATGCATGGTATCTAAAGGGCTAACCGCTAACCATAAAATAAAAGAGTTGAATGGGCCTGACCTACACCGGATTTGGCCATCAAGTAAAACAAATGAACATCATTGGTTTGACATTCTAAAACAAGCTATTTTCTCTAGCATAATATATATTATTATATTATTTTACATTTTAGTGGCTAAAATATAATGTAGTTTAACGTTATTCAATGGTTCAATCTCGATCAACCCAATTAGTCCAATTTTTATCATTTCAAATATATATTATATAATTATTTGATATCATAATGATAAAATTATAGTGTATTTTATAGGGAATCGTTTGGTATTTGTTAGTAAAAAACTAAACAGAAAGATCTATTTGGTTATTTTAAACATTAAAACGATCCTAAACATTTTCAGTTTCTTTTGAATTTCTATGGTTTTATTCCCGAATAAGTGATGTGCAAATGGCGAATTGCAGTCATCTATTTTCTTTCACTATTTTTTATTTTCAAATAGAAAGTTTAAAAGTAACGAATAATTAGAATTTTGCATGGGTCGGTCAAACAGGCTGAATTTTAAGTTTTGGCCCGTTTTGATCAAGTCTAATTTATAATCACATGGTTCCCTGATACCCGATAAAAATCTCAATCCAAACCAGTTTGGCAGGTGAGTCCGTGTTTACCACCATTCTCTAGGAATACGACAACGGCGGTTCCTATCCCAAATCGTGTTGTTCGTTCTTGATTTCCTTAGATTTTATCATGGCCTGACAAAAACCAGAAAGCACAATGACGACAAGATGAAAGTTTTATAAATCAAATTAATGGTGTTCTCTTTCTGATCTCATGTAATTATATAATGAAGTTGAAGTTTTTCGATGCTATTCAATTTCATTGGTATGTTTTTAATGGTCTAACTTCATGGTTGTACCAACTTTTGATGTACTGTTTATGTTCCAATATATTCACTTTGGTATGATTATTAGGGATATGCTAGGCGGTACTCACCATTAGACCAATTTAGCTTAATGGTTGAATCTACGGGTTATCCCAATAATTCAATATTCCGCTCAACTCCTCCGACCAACGGATCGGGTTACAAGCTAGTAGTAATAATGTTGACAACAAAGGTTCTTTTTTCGTGTGTGTATGAAGTCGAACGAAAATGTAGTGAAAAATAATATGCAGAAAGTCTAACATCTCCCTCTACCGCGTTAACCGTAAAACGAGTTGGCGGATTCCACCAATGCTCTTTCTTGTCAACTAGCTCGATTCCGATTCGACGACCAAAACCACAATTCAGTAAACCGTTCCTTCTCCCAATTCCTTCATTCAAAACACCGAATCATCTCCAATCCAGTGCCGATCTCTCCTCCGCCGAATTCCGATCCCTCGCTGATAGCTAGACCAATTCCATTTGTAGCCGTTGCCGCCTCCTCCGCCGCCGGCGTTCTTGTTCGCAGCATCGCCATGAGCTTCATCTTCGGCAAGAGGAAAACTCCCGCAGGTATCCTCCTCGTCAATTCGATATTCCTTGGGTCAATTCTTCTCCGGTGATTCCTTCTTCAAGGAACATGGCTTGTTTTTTTTTTTTACCAATTTCCTGAATTGTGATCAATGGAGTTGGATAAGAATGGAGAGCCGGATGTGATTCATGTAGTATCTTCAACTTATGGTTTATTTATGGTGGTGGTATATTATTAGAGCTTCTGCGGGAGAACAAGCGGATGCTGGACAAGTCGATTCGGGAGATTGAGAGGGAAAGACAAGGTCTGCAAACCCAAGAGAAGAAGCTGATTGCAGAGATCAAGAAGAACGCTAAGCAGGGCCAAATGGTGAGGAATCCTCTTTCCCTTTCCCCTTCTCTAGGGTTCAATTTGCCATTTTGATGTAACTGGAGCTAAACCTATGAATCCCAATTTGCGCTTTGTTGTGGCTATACATTCACAGGGTGAACTTTTTCTTTTCTTGTTTTTTACTCGATTGAAGAATTCTTACAGGGTGCTGTAAAGATAATGGCGAAGGACCTTATTCGGACGAGACATCAGATTGAAAAGTTCTATAAGCTCAAGTCACAGCTCCAGGGCGTATCTCTGAGAATTCAGGTATTTCCAGATATGAGCCTTAACTATCTTCTTTTGCTTGTTTTTTATTTGTAGATTGCATAACCGGCTGTATATTGTCAATGAACTTCCTGGCGTTGTTGTCCATGCAATACGTTTAGAGTCGTGGAAATAAGATTAGAGGCAGATGTTCCATTTTCATTTGCTTTGGCATGTAGATAACCTTGCACTTGAATTTCACTGCACAATACTGTAGAACGAAACAGCAGTAAGCCAGCAATTTTTGTGCATTTATACTTGGCAATTACTGGCAAAAGGGACATTTGCTTCTGATGGATGCTTCTGAACTGGCAATGAGCTGGTACTATCTGCTAATGGTACCTAAGCAAATTGCCCAAATGTTTAAGATGCTATGAAATCCTTATGTGTTTTGAGTTTGGGCATTTAGGGCATCTCAGTTCTGATTGTTCCTTCTTGCCTGCTATCCTTGCCCTGTGGTATGCATTAGGATTTTTGGGGTTTATTTGCTTAGTCGATTACTGAAGTAAACTTTTGGTGAAATCAATGATAAACTAGCGTAAGTTAGATATCCAGAAAAAATTAAAAGAATGGTTGACCTAACGGAGGCAGTGATGTACTACAAACAGGAAGCTTCAAGTACTTGTTTATCTGCCAAGCTTAGGGATTACTTTAGAAACAGATACATGGGTGAAACTATGGTCCATAAAACACGCTGCTGTTTGAAATGGTTGCAGACATTGAAATCGACACAAGCTATGGGAGAAGCCATGAAAGGTGTGACAAAGGCTATGGGCCAGATGAATAAGCAGATGAACTTGCCAGCCCTACAGAAAATTATGATGGAATTCGAGCGACAGAATGAGAGGATGGAAATGGTCAGCGAGGTCATGGCAGATGCTATGGACGATGCGTTGGGAGACGATGACGAGGAAGAGGAAACAGAAGCGCTCGTCAGCCAGGTTCTAGATGAGATTGGAATCAACATCAACCAAGAGGTATATTCATTTCTTGGTGTTTCCTCATACTTCACTGCTTGGACAGTGTTTGGATAAGTTCAATCATCGAACTCGTATTGACGTTTTGTTTGTTTTGTGGCGGTTTTACATATTCAGCTCGTGAATGCACCATCTTCGGCTGTAGCTGCACCAGCAGCAAAGGGTAAGGTTGCACAGGTAGAATCAGCAGCAGCGGGGGAAGACAGTGGGATAGATATTGATCTGCAGGCTAGGTTAGACAACTTGAGGAAGATGTAACCATTTTTGTGGTGGTATTCTCGTTATGCCCCTTTTGTATTTCTTGTAATATATCGATTATAGCTTTTGTGTGACAAGTGCTTTACATTTTGAGTCATGTAATATATACATATCATTTGACAATCGTTCGGTTTTACTGAACCGAACCGAACTCAAACCGATCGAAACCGAAATAATTCTTATTAGGTTCGGAATTCGGACGGCTATAACCAAAATTTCGGGAGACAGGTACTTGTTAACCGAACCGACAAATCGAACCGACCGAACGTTCACCCCTGTTTGATATCTAGGGTGGCAACGACTTGAGTGTGGTTTCCCTATATACCATTCCGAACATAAAAAATCAAAAGGAGACCGGGACGTAAAATGACATACCAAGTATATAAGTGTGCAGTTTGGGAAATCTCATCCATCTCATTCCGGATAATCATATTAACTTCTTATATAAAGTGAATTTAAACTTTATGTTGTTTTAAGACATTTTTTATAGTGAAAGAAAATGAGCAAGATTCTTGTCTAAGAAATTATTATTATACTTGATATATTCGTGTAATACATGTTTAGTTGAATTCGGTGTAGATACTTAAAATTAGAGCTACTAGTGAGCCGAGCTATTCAGGAGCGGCTCGACATTCGCCTTAATAAAAGCTCATTCTATTTAAGAAAAACTCGACTCGTCTATTAACGAGTCGAGTTTGAGTTAAGCCTTGTTCAGCTCGTGAGCCAGCTCGACTAAGTGGCTTGTTATGCTCAACTCGTGAACTCTCTTGCTTTGAGCTTACGAGTTGTCTCAACATTGCGATTAGTGAGCCAACGCGACGACTTCCGGCTTATGAGAAAATCGATATATAGCTTATGAGTTGGCTTGTTGATATTCCATTGGTTAATTAAATTGTATATCTCACATGTTTAAGATTTTGAATATGTGAACAAATATGTCTCATATATGACATTAGGCCAGTTAATCACATGTATCATATATGACATATAAATGGTAGCGCTTAATTTATAAATTATCAGAGTTGAGCTCGAGCTGAACTCTTGATCTTAATGATGAGTCAAGTAGGTTTTATAAAATGAGCTGGCTCGGGGTCGAATCGACTCAACTCAATTATAAATGAGCGAAGCTCGAGCTCCACTCATTTATTAACGAGCCAAACCTAAATAAGACAAAGTTCGAATCGACTCATTAACAACCCGACTTAAAATACCAAATACTAACAATTAGATTTTCACCAATCAAACATCATACTCTTTGTCGGGTTCGAGAAAAATCAGCCAGAAAATAATAACAATTGGATTTTCACCAATCAAATCGATTCGGATTCAATCGGATAGCCGGGTGTTATTTTGTTGTATTGACATCAGATCTAGTTTAGCCCTGACTGGGAAATGGTGGGAATTGTGGTATAGATTTGAAACTAAATTCTTAAATTAAAAATAAAATAAAAATTGTAGCCTCTGAAGAAACCGGTTTAACCCAAACCGTGAAATTTCGGAACAGATTCCACAAACCAGACCAGACGACCACGCAATCGGAAGGTCTAAAGACTAAAAAACGGACGATTCCGCCGATAACAGATTCTCTTTCTCCGACCTCTGAATCTGTAACCCGACCCATCTCTGCTGCATCCAGCATCATCACATCACATTCAAAATCAATCACCCACTTTCAAGTTCCAAACTTCAAAAAACCCAATTCATGATCTAATCTAAACAAGTGATCAATCTGGAGGAGGAGGAGGAAGAAGAAGATGGCTACTGAGAGGCACGGTCATCCGGCTTCCACTTCTCGTGAAGACGACGCGCTGTCAGTCCTCCTCAATTCCGTCTTCTCTCTAATACCCCCACCCTTCTCTTCAACTTCTCTCATGGAATTATTTGTTTGTGTAGGTTCCTAGACATACTCCACGAAGCTCCTTTGTTCGGCCATCGCAAATCCAGAAGTCTCGTCGGCGCTATTCTCTACTCCCTTCTACTGGCAAGTTCAACCGCGATCTTATCTCTCAATTCTCCTTTCTTCTTTTGGTGGGTTTTGGTTGATTTTACCAGTTAGCGGGAAGGAAACCCGAGGCTCCGCCATCATTGATTGTCGCTGTTTTTTTGGGTTTAGGCAGGTTATGCTGTTCTTGGCGCTGCTGCTCCCTACGTCTTCCACTCTATTAAGAATTGGGTTCCTTCATTGCTTTGCAGTTGTGATGTTGTCCTCCTCGTCCTCACAGGTCTAGCTTCCCTCAGCTCGCTCACTTTTCGCTTCTTTCCTCATTTGGAAGTTGGAATTTTTGCTTTTCTGATGATGGTTTTATGTGATTAATCAACCACCCTGTCTAATTTGTCGATTGCACCGATCTCATTGCTAAGCTTGATGCAGTTCCTTGATTTATGACAATGTGGCCTTAAAGCAGTCTTGGAACTGGTGGTTTTCCTTTCTTCAATTTGATGAGGGAATGCTTCTATCTTTAAGTTGACAAACTGATTTATTACTCTCCCAGGCATCTTCCAGCAATATTTTGTTTCGCAAGTCCAGAAAATACGGCTTCAGGTACACTTTACACATTCCCCTTCACCAATTCGGCCAAAATATCAGCTCAATGGTTCTGCGTCTATGTTTTTTATACTGGTTATGCTGTTGATGAACAGTACATCGGAATGGAAGTGTGCCCTGGAACCTAAATAATGAATAGTTGGGGAACTTTTAGTTTAGTGCATTAGCAAACTGGAAACAACGTCAAAAATAAAGTTGGGAACTGGGGAAGTGGGACATCCTGTTATGGAAGTTGAGATTTTGGCAGCAGTTAAGTTTAAACATGTTTCGGAGTGATTGATGTGGGGCTTCAGAATCATGGTTTGCTCATTTGTTTTGTAGGGTTACTATAGTTTCAGCCAGAAATTGAAACATATTGTCCGCCTGCCATTTGCTATCACTGCTTATGGTAAGTACAAAATGTTTAATTTGTTACTTAGCCTACCACAGGGTTGAATGTGAAGACATAATTGCAACTACAACGTTCCAATCTGCTGTAAATTTCTTACCTTCATCTTTCGGATTTTTTCCCCTCTAGATAATGGGATGTGGGAAGTGTTATATCAATAGTAATGCCTTAATTCTGGTTCCCCTCTGCTGCTACAAATGTTATGGTCAAATGTACAATTTGCACAAAGCTGCTCGTCTTATGAGTTTTAATAATTTTAGGAACTGGATTGATGGTGCTGATCATTGTATGGGATCCTCAAATTAAATTTCTTACTATCCCTGCTTTACTGAGGTATGCCTTATCTATCTTCAATCTTGAGTATATTACTTAATCCACTAGGACATATGTTTTCCCCTACTTTCGTGACTAGGAGTGTTTTTCATTCTCATGTAGAAATATTGAGCAACTTACTGAGAATATCATGCCTTCATTGCAGAATTATCATGTTGGCTGAAGCAGTATGTGCTGCATCCTTTATGAGTGTTTATATTGGTGAGTTACTGCGGCTGATTCTTATGCTCAACCCTTACCTCTCTATGTCCCTTAATTGAGCCTGTGGGACAGTTTCCTTGGCTATTTTCTGACATCATAAAGTTCATCTGCTCTTCCCCCTACCATATTCTAGTATGAGGCACTGTTGAGCTTTATATTGATATCCTTTGCGGGTAGCCTTTCCTTTGGTTATGTGAATCTTAAGCAGCAACACTTGTTTTTATTGAAATACAAGTTGTCAGTCAGGAGGTAAAGTGAGTGAGGTTGATTTAGGGATAACAGCAAGCCATTTGCTATTAGTTGATAAAACTACTAATAGCGTTTCTTGAATTTTTGTACTTGTCATTAATAGAATCAGAATCTAATGAGTTTTGTCTTACACAAACTCTTTCCTTGATATTCTTCATGTATGGTTGGAGCTTGCAGGCTATTTACATCAGTACAATTCGATAAACTCTCAGCCCGACATTTTGAAGTCGTTGTATTCTCCACTTCAACAATCAAGCCCTTTAGAAGGTTTGAGGTAGTCGCTCAGTTGCTTTAGATATGCATTAATTCTGGAATATGGTCTATTTAGGTGCCTAGTTGTTCAGCCGATGCATACATAATAGTTGTGGGACCAACTTGATTACAATTTCTTCAATACAAGGATCTTTCTTGTGATCCAGCAGACATTCCTTATAATCAGAGTTGGTAATCACTTCCTTCAACAGGTACCAAGAAGGTGGTAGACTTTCCGATCAGCAAATGGCTCTGTTGCAATATCAACGTGAGAATCTCCATTTTTTGAGTGAAGAGGTGTGTATTTCCCGAAAGCCTGAAATGGTTGGTTGATTTTCTTTTGCACCTATAGTTATGGGCCTCCATGTGGGCTGCTGTAATTAGTGTAATATGGTCAGTTGGTAGTTTAAATTCCTCACCATACGCAGACACTATCATAAAAAAACTATGATGATGCAGGTTCTACGCTTGCAAGAATGTTTAAGCAAATACGAACGATCTAGCGATGGCAGCACACCTCAGGTAATAACCATCTGGATTCCTTGCTGATTTCCTTTGAATGAATGTATCCATTTTTAAGATGGCAGTTAATGGGGGGTGCTTTCCAGGTTGATGTTGCGCATTTGTTGGGTGCTCGTGAACAGGAGTTAAGGACGCTTACTGCCGAGGTAATGGATCATCAATATCACAAGTAATCTGCTAGTTTAGTGGTTAGTCTTTCGGTCAGTTTGCTAATTCCGGAAAACTAAACTATTGTTCCCTCAGATGAATCAGTTACAGTCTGAGCTAAGGCTGGCTCGGTCTGTGATAGCTGATAGGGAGTCCGAGTTCCAGAGGGTACGAGCTGCAAATAATCAGGCAAGGACTTGTTCTTCATGGCAAATTAAGTATAATATATTTTTACTCTATTCACGTCATGCTCACTTCGATTCTAATTTACATACCAAAATTACTCGAAAACAGTACGTAGAAGAGAACGAGCGCCTGAGAGCTATATTAGGGGAGTGGAGTACTCGTGCTGCCAAGGTAAGCCCTTTAAAAGTTCATCCATTTCAGAGGGTTTTAATTCAAAGACTGTAGTGCCTCCAAATTAAGGAAATTGTTCCCCCTAAACCAATTGCAACTTGTGAATGTTTTGCCAGCTCGAACGAGCTCTGGAGGCCGAGCGGATGTCCAACCTTGAATTGCAAAAGAAGCTTTCATCATCTCCGAGAAACCATTCGAGTCAGCATGGTGCATAGCATGACTCTTTACTCCGAACGAACGAGCATCGGAACGTGATGAACTTGATATGTGGTTTACAGAACTAAAAGCACTTACCTGTACATGACCAAGCAGTGCTTATGCATTTGCCCGATGACTAATTGTTTGTTCAGTGCAATTACTCGTTACTGGAGATGCACCCTCTCGACATAGGGTTCCTAGTACAAACATCAAACTGAAGCTTGGAACATTGAAATGTGGCTTTACAATCGGGATACGTTGTTTTCCTCGTAAAAAAATAGACATTCAATTCTTTGCTTCATGGATTTGAAAATGAATCTTCATTAATTTGAACATTAAGGTTTTGGTTCATTATATGGACTTTTATTTTCTTCATTAAGAGAAAGGAAACATAAGAAAACATAAGAGATAAATTGCTTACATATAATTTTTTTAATATAGAAATCTGGTTATAAGAGTGCTACTAGAGGGGTGGGGGAGGAAACTCGCGTCATCCTTAGGATTCGAACTTGGAGGGCTCTAGGCTCAAAACCAGCAGCACAACCACTCAGACCATGGTCTAGTTGGCAAATTTATTACAAATCAACTTCAAAGTCCATGACCAATTCTCACAGTGAAATTTTCAAGTCTGCAGGCGCCACAAATTTGGATTTGTTGCCCATCAATAGGGTTGTTAATGAACCGAGCTATTCGTGAGCGGCTCGGTCTCGAACTCGATAAAAGCTCGTTCGATTAAAAAAAAGCTCGGCTCGTTAATAAACAAGCTGAGCTTGAACTCTACCTTGTTCGGCTCGTGAAGCTCGTGAACTAGCTCGGTTAGGTGGCTCGTTTAATACAACTCATGAACTGTCTCGTTTTGAGCTTATGAGATGTCCCAACATTGTGACTAGAGAGCCAACTCGACTACAACTTATGAGAAAATCAATATATATTTTATGAGTTGGTTTGTTAATGATGCATTTAATTATTAAATTGTATATATCACCTCATATGGTGTTTAATATATTGAGTATATGTAAGTAAATATGTCTCATATAATGTAAAACGTCAGCAGTTGACGGCAAGGGATCAAGGCATTCCGCGACGACCGCGACCTCCCGCGCGGCGTCAACGTCACGGAGGCCATCCCACGGGCCATCGAGGAGTCCCGGCTCTCCGTCGTCGTGCTCTCCAGGGGCTACGCCTCGTCGGAGTACTGCCTGGACGAGCTGGTCAAGATAATGCTGAACATGAAGGAAAGAGGGCACCGCCCTTTCCCAGTCTTCTACAACCTGTCCCCCGACGACGTCGCCGCCGATCACAAGTCCTCGTCGTCGGCGTCGTGTTACAAGGCCGACTTCGATCGGCACAAGAAGAGGTATAGCTACGAGAGGGTGGAGGGATGGAGCCGCGCTCTCACTTCCATTGCTCAGATTTCCGGCTGGGTTCTCTCCACTGACAGGTAATAATAACTAATTCATTCATTTTTTTTTACCGAATAAGTTTGAATCAAGTTTTCACACGTACGGTTTGTTTGTTACGTATGGTTTAGATCGGAGGCGGAAATGGTGGAGAACATAGCGAAGAACATGCTGCGGAAGGTGCAGGAACTGGATAGGGCGAGTAGGGAACTACTGATCAGGCAGTCGATGATTCGGCCATTCCAAAACAGTAGGAATGAGATTATTTATAGACCTCTCTTTATATGAAAATTAAACCTAATGATGATTAAGATTAATTTAGTAAAATATGATAATCATTAAATATTGCAAACCCAGTATCTATACTTTATCCCACCCCAAATCCTATCACAACCGGTTGGCTCACTCATCCTCAGTAACTAAATCTGAACCTTTCCTTCTAAGTGAACCTAGAAAATCTGGACTTAGAATAGGATCAGTAACCAGTTAGTAACCTATGAGTAACTAAATCTGAACCTTTAGATCTAAGTGGGTCAACAAAATTCAGATCTAAGGGTTATTAATTAAAGACATTTTATTTTCCCTAGATTTCATAATCGGCTCTTATCTTCTTCGTTTTAACTCGGATTTCAATTTTTTTTGCACACATGGAACGAGTTCGTTGTGCTCTACAAAATGAGATCAATTTTCAATATATTTCGGGAAACTTTTTTTTTACCAACTACATACCATATGGTAACTTCTTCGTTTTTAAGTCGTTTTTGAAAACGTTTGCTCAGAAGGAACGAGTTAATCATGATCTATTGGATCTACAAATTTCTGGGTGAAAAAAATACTTGACAAAAAATTACCATACTTTACCACTATGATATGTGGGTGGTAACGTGTGGTAAACAATGATGAAAGTCGTAAATGACAGTTAATATACTCCTACTATCATGTATTCAACCTTTTTACCATATTGGTATGTTCATACCAACATGGTACGCTTTCTTACCATATGGTATTAAATACGAGCATACCATATGGTAATGACTGGTAAAAAATTATTCAATTTTTTATTACTAAAAATATATCAAAGTGGATATCATTTTAAAGAGCACATTTAATTTGATTTATCTGTGCAAAAATAAATAAATTTCAACTTAAAAAGAGAGAAATATCGTCTGTTAAAGATTAATGGGGAAAAAATAAAAGACTTTCCATGAGAGAGGAGATGCTGATGTCATGCAGATGTGGACAAGTTACTAATCATTACTCACCATATGAGTTACTGACCTGATCCGCTCCCGAAAATCTGGATCTAACGCTGAAAAATTACCGAAGTGCTAAATGTCGTCATGTAGTCCTAAAGTTAAAACGTAAATTACAAAATTTCCTTATTAATAAAAGAACAAAACAACACACCAAACAGTACCGGCAAACTCCTATCTCACCGCCGGCCAACTAAATTCCCTTCCCGTTTCGCCGGCGAAGAAGCATGTCCAGGCATGTACCGACCACCCCTGTTCGCTGCTTAATCGCCGGAAGAACCTGTCTCAATCGACCCTAGCAGCATCACCATTGCAGCCGGAGAAGGCGTCACTCTTCAATTCGACGGAGAAGGTGAGATCTGGTCGCCTTTACATCTGGGGAAAAAATGAGGTATCGTCGGGCATTGCAAAAAAGAAGAAGGTCACCGGAGACCTCATCGCCCGTCCTCCTCCCAACCCGCTCGACCTTGCCGCCGCTCTGGCCTGACGAAGAAGAAATCTCAGCCCGCCGCATCTCTACCGCGAACCCAGCTTCTTCCCCGCCGCGTTTTTGCCCCTGACCTCTATCGGAGAAACGCGTAAGAAGATAAACCGCCGGAAGCGTTCGTTATTACCTGGGACAAACCGAACGTTTGACTTCGATTGACCGTAGGTAGGCCTTAACGAAAACTGAATTTCTATAAGGCCCACGGTCAACCAAAGTCAACCGTTCGGTTTGGTCCCGGTGCTAACGAAAATTTGGTTTCTATTTGGTCAAAAGTAAAATCCATAATTCATTTATTTAAAGTTGCAAATATTTTATTTAATTAAATTTTATTTTTGATGGAATGTTATGATATTTGAAAATTTAGGCGAAATGATTTTTGTTTTTTTATGAATGTTGTGTTTGTTTGGTGCAAAATATAGAACGGAAGATATAAAGGTAAAAGAGCAATTTTAATACTTGTTAGGACGACGTTTAGCAATTCTCAATAATTAAACACCTTTTTATTTTTTCTTATTTTCTTAATCGGTTCATATCTTCTTCGCCTCCCTTCCTCTTGCTCTTATTTCAATAGATTTTTCGCCTCCCTTCCTCTTGCTCGCTCGTTCTCTCATGAGTCGATACACTGGTGGAAATACTGAATACTTTTTTGACATAACCATTTCCCTATAAAATTTAGCCATTCTATTTAAATTATGTAAATCTCACAACTATCTTCATATCAAATACATAAGCATTTAGCTAATGAAAATTATGGTGTAGAATATCATTTTTAAAGATGACGGTACTAATTTTTTCCAGATTTGTAGTAATGATTTTCAAAATCAATGGTTTATAGTAGTATCCATTTTACAGATCTTTTCATATTTATGGTGTAGTAATGATTCTGAGGTAACTATTTGTTTTAAGATAGTTTTTTTTATAGAAACCTGCTCGAAGCTTTATTGATCAATCGAAGAAAATTCGATGCTAAGAAGAACATTAACCTCAACAAGAAAATATCTAACTAACTAGAAGAAAATTCCTAAATCACTACCGATAACGATTCATCACTACAAGAAAATATCAAATCACTACTATAACCGTGAAAACACTACTAAATTAATTAGGAGTAATTTTTCTGTTGTAATATTTTCACGTATAATATGCCTATTACAAAGAAGATAGAGATACTTTAAATTTTAATTAATTCATTAAATTAATTTTATCATATACATAATAAGCCCCTCATTACTCTCCACCATCCGATTTAAGTTAAAACTAAAATGAACGGTGATTAGATTGTTTAGCATGGTGCTAACTTCTATAGAGATTTAGCACTCTAACTCGTCCCAAATGGGTAAGTTCGATGCTAAGAAGAAGTCAATGATTCTGTTTATAGAGAATCAATTGAGAATTTTGTTTATAGGGCAACATGTGCTCTAAAAATAGGTAATTAATTCAAATATAGTGGTAGAACACTCTTAAACAATATCAAATTGATAGAGTTCAATTCTTGGCATATAAAAGGTATATATATATATTTCTTTTCCCAAAACTTACCTGGCAGGCAGGCTGCCTCCGCCTATTGCCGGGGCCAATACCGGAGAAAAATACATTCTAATTGGTCTGGAAAATGCACGTTGTGATGCATGCAGATTACTCCGGGTCTGATTCTGATCAGAGGACGTCGTCGGAGCTGCCGGGAGAAGCCGCAGCTGCTGCTACGCGCTCAGTACCGGCGAATGATGATGATGAGAACGGTGGTCAACTCTGGCAGCCTCCTGCACGCGACAGCTCTCCTCCTCCTTCAAGTAAACCAGAACATGCACAGAAGAAGAGGCTGTGGACGTCGATGACCTGCACAATTGCCTGCAACAAAGGCCATCGTCCGCAAGACCAGCAGCAGCAGCGTTACATAGAGCCAGAAATGTCAGCCAAAACAGCAGCCGGAGAGGATATTGAAGGAGCGGTGGTGGTTGCTGTAAGGGTTGTCTTTATTTGACAACTTGACTTGTAATTAGGGACACAAAATATATAGTACGGAGACAGACAACGACCAAGAATTCCTGTATGCAATATTCCCCACCATACATTATTCATGTATTTATTTATAAGGTTTAGTCCTTATTCACTAGCTTATAACCCGGCCCGTTGGCCGGAATGTTTATATTTGATTTTTTTATACTTTTTATGTTACATTAAAGTCTATCAACCTGTTTAATTTTATTGACAATCTTTCAATTGAGATGAAACATAAAGAAAGAATATATAGGTCGAACATTCAGAGAAATATCATCATCATTTGAGAAAATAAAATTTAAAAATGTATAAAACATCTTATTTTCATAATGATAATTAAGGCCAGTTAATATGTTATTAGTTAGTTGATTGTTAAGAAAGATAGAGTATAAAAGCTCACTGGAATTCCCACACGACCCATAGATAGTTTGAAACTGAATCTAAAACCTCACAATCCTACGTAAATGTTTCAATACTCTCATTTTGGGGGCAATATGCCACTAATAAAAAAGAAATGGAGGGTTGTAGGTTCAAGTCAACTATATACTAACAACTCAGCTAAGAGAGGACCATCAAAACTTGAGAGCAAACGACAAAATTGGATTACCTCCAATATACTAATAGACTCGATCAAAGTAATATGACGCAAAATTAGGCAGTCCTTATCTATCAGTTCCAGCAGGCTGAATAAAGAATCGACCTACTTCATTAAATCAATAAATAATTACTCGTTTTAAGATAGAAATAGGTTGTGGTAGCTGCAAAAACCATAAACCTAATGATCCAATAGCCACCACTCTCCATTGAACGACCAAATTTTTATCTACTCTATCTTCAATCTGAAGAAGCATATGTTTCAACCAAACATTCACTTTCTAATCCTCCTTCTGCAACTCCATTTCTGCTACTTTGATGGACCTTCTCTCTGCGGCCCTCAATTTCTCTTCCAATTGGGGTTCTTGTCAACTCGCTCTTCAACTCCTCAATCCCCTTCTTGTGTTTTGCCAACTCATCTTCCTCAGGGGCAGTTCTAATAAGTTCGCTAAAACCAAAACTCATCTCCAATTCCATAAATATGCTCATCTCCCCCCTTGCATGCCTTCACCTGCTTCAGCACACTTCCATGTCCTTCAATATCCTCTCCATTTTCATTAATATCCTCATCATCTCTCACTTCAACTGCTCCAGTTTTGCTTCCGCGTCTTTCAATACCCTCCTCAATTCGATCACTACCCTCAGTAACTCCCTCTTCTCTGCCTTAACCTGCTACCGTTGAATTTTTCTTCCCCCCACCACTCTCATTCTCAAACTCAATCCTAACCCTTCTACTCCAAGTTCAACACCCCAAACTCCTAGACTGTTGCATGAAAGCTCAATTTCTAACTAATTCTAAAACAATATCAAAATTTGATTAGTGAGTTGGACCATAAGAATAAAAATTAATGAGGAAAATTATGGTTGCGGAGAACATTAGTTCTCACAAAATCAAATATGAGCGAAAATATTGTAATTGAAAAGAAACCTTTTTTCTAATTTTGATCTTATTTTATTATTTCAATAGCTAAGCAAAGAACAAACATAATGTATCGAAAACAAACAACAAAAAAGTAGACAGGGCTCTAGGAAAGTACAACTGCCCTGTTCTACACAAACATCTCTTTTGCTTACAAACAAATATAGTACCCCAAACCATCGTTCAAATTCATTTTCTATATTTATAAAAATCATTCATAAACAACAAACTTAGATAAATCGGGAAGGAAATAATAGCCTACCAGTTCAAGTCGATGAACCTTATATGAAGATAGAAACTCATTGAAGTTGAAACCTAATAACAGAAAGAGGAGAAATGACGCAGGAGATCCCCCGAGCTTTAAACATCGTATCAGGCAATAAGATCAAAAGAAATAGATATTCTACATGTTGTGCTCATGAGACAACGTGAAATAAAAGTCGTTTTGTTATTAATCAGAAAGATAAAACCATGAGACATAGAGAAGAAATGAATGACTTACATGTGCAAAGCGATTAACCTTGGCCGGAAACCGAAAACCTATTAAAGGTCAATGCCTGGTATAGGAAGATGAGTAAAGGCGAAAGATATAACTGATAAAACATTGCCTTCAGCAATAGAAGCAACAAAATAGTTCTTCTGGTAGTACATCGAGGATAGACAGAACCATTGGGTGATGCCAATGCAGAGGAATCGAGCGAGATAATCAAGGCCAGGCCATAACTACTTGATTGAACTCCATTCTATTCGCCATGGATTGATATGCGAGTTGAAATCTTCTACTTGCCCAGCCTAAATTCCCAAGAATAAAATTGCAGTGCCAAGAGATACCCGAATGTTGATTTTCAAATGCTCCTTATACTGGGAAGTGAAAGCACGCAAACTATTGCACGATGGAGGGAATTTCAGAGAAAATTAGAAAGAGATAAGAACAAAGATAAAAAGGCAAAAAATTTAAATTTATATTGAAAATGCAAGGACACACACAACACATAATAAAGGAAATAGTTTCTTCCATGTTAGCCAATTACCAATATACCTTTAGCGAAACATTAAGGAGAGAGCATGAATTCTAAAAATTGATAAAATTAAATGAAACTCTACTATGAAAATTGAAGTATTAAGCACCATGAAAATACATATGGTAGACTTAGTGCCCTTGTTAATCATGATGAAAAAGTTCTCTGCTTTTTACAGTTTCAATACATGTATGTTTTGTATTAAAAAAGGAACAACAAATACACTTAGTATAATTGGTTATGACTGCTATCTTTGTTTGAAGAGGCCTAGGTTCGAGTCTTGATATTGATATTTTTTATGAAATAAATAATTAATTGTAAAGACAAAAATATCCTTCCTACTTTCACTCTCATTGGAGGAAATTTGAAATGGAGAAAAGTTTACAAAACTCTACTATATATTAATGGAGGATTCGTGTGTGTGTGTGTGTGTATATATATATGGCGAGTTCTACGGTACCCCGAGTGAAATCCGGTGTACCGCATACCTTGAGTATGAAAACGCTATCCAGACCTTGAATTGATTGATCTTTTGGACATGGTATTATACTCTAACCCTTAAAGATCAAAATCTAGTTCTTAGCTCCCTAAATCTTATACTCCAATGTCAATTTAATTAGAAACAATAATCGACGGCTATGATTCGTCCAAATATAGGCAAAAAAATGATTGCTCCGTCTTAGGGTTTATAGTTTATGATTTAGATAATTAGGACCTAGGGTTCACTCAATAAGGATTAGGGTATAGTACCAAGCCCAAAGTTTTTTCTATTTCGAGGCCTAGATAGTGTTTTCATACTCAAGGTATACGGTACCCTGAATTTCACCCGGGGTACCATAGAAGCCACCATATATATATATATATAATACATGTATTTATAGATGATATATTCTCCAGTTCACCAAAACTGAGAAGGAGACCGTGCCAACACAAAGCATGATCATCCGGATCCACCTCTCATCGAAGCTCATTTTTCGCATGACGCCCTCCAGGAAGTGCCACTCCACCCTATCATATGCTTTGGCCATGTCCGTCTTCGCCGCCAAGAAACCCGTTCTCTTTTTTCCTTTATTCTTCATCGAATGGAAACACTCAAAAGCCGCCATAATATTATCTGAGATAAATCTTCCTGGGACGAAAGCACTTTGTTCCATAAATATCACCTTGTCCAGTACCCTCTTCAGTCTATTTGCTAAGACTTTTGCCACCAACTTATATAGCACATTGCACAAATTGATAGGCTGGTACTCATTCGGACTTGTTGGTTTCTTGGTTTTCGGGATCAAAGCTAGAAGAGTATGATTCAGATCCGGTGGCATTTATGCCTTTTTAATAATATTCTTCACTGCCATGCAGACGTCGTCCCCCACCGTGTCCCAGTATGCGCGGAAGAACGCAACTGAAATGCCATCCGGACCTGGCGCCTTTCTTCTTCCCATTTGCTTTAAGGCCACCACCTCCTCCTCCCTGTCCACTGCTCGTACCAAGCTCTCGTTGTCCTCCGCAGTTACTACCCTTCTTATGGAGTCAAGGGCTGGCGATCGAAGGGGCTTCTCACCTGCCGAGAACAGCATACCGAAATAATGGGCGAAACAATCAAATAGCTGGTCAGTTCCAACGTACCACCTCCCAGCAGCATCATTGAGTTTTCGTATAGAATTCCTCCTCCGGCGGGCAGTCGCTTTATTATGGAAGTAGTTTGTGTTCTTATCTCCTCCCTTTAGCCAATCAGCTCGCGACCTTTGTTTCCAATAACTCTCCTCATCAGCTTCAAGAGTAGCCAGTTCCTCTTCTAGCTTCCATCTTTGCTCTTGGGTATACGATGTAACTTGAAGCTTCTCAATTTTTCTCAAGACTTTCATTATCTTCCTCTTCTGCCTTCCGAAGTTGGGAAAAGTACGGGTACTCCACTCATCCAACTACCTTTGCACTTTCTTCAATTTTTATCCAGAAGGGATCAAACCGGAAACTCCATCCCCATCTAGGTTCCTCATCCTCTTCTCCTTCCGTATCACAGATCACCGGTCTATGATCCGATCTGGTTCTATCCAAATGTTTGACCCGAAATCTTGGAAAATCCCTCATCAACACTTCAGAGGCGACAAACCGACCTAAAAGTTCCTCGATATATCCCCCGACCCATCTTCTATTCTCCCAAATAAATTGGTATCCTTCGTAGCCCACGTCTCTAAGATTCGAGTCGAGCAGGCCTTCGTGGAATGCCCGTATCTCACTCTCGTCTCGGAGCTGGCCACCCCTCTTCTCCTCTCCCGACAGGATCTCGTTAAAATCTCCACCACACAACCATGGTCCATTCCATTGTCCCGTCAGAGTTCGTAGCATGTTCCAAGTGTTCACCTTTTCACTCTTCTCCGGCCAACCATAAATACCTGTGAATCTCCAAATAAACCTTCCCGCTTCAGTAATCTTTGTATCCATGCAATGGGTCTCCGCATGCATTACGGTCAAGTCAACTTCCTCCGTCCACCAAATACACAGGCCGCCAGCTCGACCCCCCCCCCCCCCCCCCCCCCCCCCCCCCCGGCTGGTATTCGTTGGCCAACATGCTCCTCTCGCGAAACCCAGTTCTTTCCTTGTCTCTTCATTCTCTTTTTCTGTTTGTTTGGTTTCCATTAAGAAAACCACTTGAGGGGAAGTTTGTCGCAGGAGCGACTTCATAGCTTTAACTGCTCGCTTGCTTCCCAACCCGCGACATTTATAGCTAAGAAGTCTCATCTATGACCCGAAGGGGATGGGCTCCCCGCGCCTTTCATCATCGATGTTGTCTTCTCATCGCCTTTCACCTTCTGTTTGGTCAGTTTCGCTTCTGGCCCTATACTACCTGTCCTCTTATCTCGCGCTGCCTTCTCCATTGAATTAAACTCATTATGATTCGTGCCCTCTTGTTCTGTAGCCTTTTCATGATTTATCATTCCTTTCTCCTCCCTTTGCTCCTTATCCTTGTACACCTTCCCAGTACTCCTCACCGTTCTCCCTGTCTCTTTGATCTGACCCCTTTGTTTTCCATCGCCATCATTCTCTTTTGTTCCACTCTTCCTCACTACAGTCTCGGTATCCTCATTTTGTGTTTCATCTATTGCAGCTTCCTTAAAAGTTGCAAAACGGTTTGACTCGCTCCCTTTTTTTGGAAGAACTGATCTTTTTACCCCACCCTCCCTTATACATAGTTTGCTTCATTGGGTTCCTTCCTTTTCTACGAACCATCATCCAGTCATCGTAGTTCGGGCCGCGTTGACGTTCCTCCTCCTGCGTTTCCGGAACCACTTCCACTATTTCAACCTCCACCTCAGGATCCTTACACGACCATTTCATCGTCGATTTTCCATATTGCCCACAATTAGTACAAATATTCTCAAGGCCCTCATATTGTATAAGGTACTCAACCCCTTCTACCTTATATCTCTCTAGGATTGGCCTTGTTAGATCGACTTCCACACACACCCTCGTAAACTTGCCTCTCGCACCCAATTGAGTAACACGATCCACCCGAATTTCTTTTCCAATGAGCGATTCGATTTTCATTGCTGCCTCCTTATTTATAAACTATATCGGTAAATCTGGTAATTGTACCCAGACCATGGTGGACGAGACTTGTGATTTCCACGGGTTGAAACCCTTATACCACCTCATCACTGTCAAATAGGTATCCCCCATCAGCCATGGACCGCCGTTTACCGCAATTTCATAATCCTCTTTCCTTCGGAACCAGACAAGTGATAAGCCGTTAATTGCACATGTTCTTACCCCTATTCTGGAGCCGTTTGAGATGGTAATTCTCGTGTTTTAGGCCGATTTCACGCTAGGTTGTGTTTGTTTATGATATTTCAGGTCCTAGCAAGTGAATGAAGGTTTAGGAGCGAGTTTGGGGTCGATTGGACGAAGATCGGGCGCGAGGCAAGTCAAAAAGGAAGCCACACGGGCACACCCACAACTCACACGGCCGTGCAAGTGACCACTTTGGCCGTGTGAGATTGTGCGAGCCTTCACACGGCCAGCCCTGATATTCACACGGCCGTGTGAAGTTGCACTTTGGCCGTGTGAGATTTTGCGAGGCTTCACACGGCCAGGCTGGGTGAGCTACACGGCCGTGTGACCCTGGCCGTGTAGGAAGCCTGAAGTGCGATTAATCGGAACGCGGCGTTTTGACCTCACACGGGCAACTAGGTATGCTACAAGGCCGTGTGGCCCTGCCCGTGTGAGTCGGGAATTTCTGGTTTTTACCCAATTTTGGGCTGAAAGTGGGAGAATGGAGTTTTGAGAGCAAAAACAGAGCCCTAGAGAGAGAAAGTACGAAGAACACATCCTAGAAGCTATCTTGGAGCTGGGTTTCATCAAATCAAGCTTGGAGATCGTCATAGGAGTGGAAATCATCATCCCAGAGCATATTTTCCTCATCTTTATGAGTATGACTACTCTGTATTCTGTTTTCCTCTCTCTCTATGGAGTAGAACCCTTCTCTCACTTAGGTATGAAGAACCCTAGTTCTATGTGTTAGGGATTTGATTGTAATGACTTGGGATGATATTACTGCTTGGTTTTAATCGAATGATGCATGTTTATTGAGTCAATTGAAGTCTGATCAGCTTTTCCTGATTTCTGCTGCAACCTGAGATAGATAGAATCTGATTAGGTTGCTAGAGCCTCATCATTCGGTAGTAGGAGATTAGCTATACGAGAGTTAGCCAGTTTACTGCTTTGTACTGGAATTCAATTCCAGTAGTGGAGTTCTGTTCTTACTGCTTCAGCTTTCTATCCCGGTGAAGACTAGTCATCTGCCGGGTAGTTAGTCTGAGAGGGCTTGGTCAGCTTAAGAGATTCCAAGCTACTGTCGGATCTTCCGCAGTCTAATCAACAGTAAATCAACCCAGGGAAATTACAATTGAAACCTAACTAAGGAGCTAGGGGGACTCATTCCCGAGTGACTCTTCTTTGCTTGAGAAAACCGTACAAATTCCTGCTTTCTTTCTGCTTTTGCTTTAAACAACAAACACTTAACTTAGTTGGCTAGATAATAGATAATCTCTGAGTAAGCAGTAGATCTCGACCCCGGGTTGATAATATAACTTGCCACTTTACTGCATTCCCGGTCTGCGATTACACTTGGTCGCAGATTGGTGTTGTGTTTTGGAGTGTCAACAAGGAAGCAACCATTCTTCATATCCGATATCTGCAGATCACCATGTTTTGCCCACAGGAAGTTCAGTATGCGGGAGAGCGGGAGAAATGAAACTCTTCTTTCAAGATCCTGAACTACCAGGGCTGATCGCCACTCCCTTCTCCAGTGAATCTTTTCCGCCACCGTGAACGAGACAGTTGGGCACAGCAGGTCATTCTCCATCTCATCGGTGTCTTCATCCTCCTCTTTCTCAGCCTGTGCCACGTCTTCAGAATCTGAATCCTCAACATACCAGTTGTCCTCCTTTAGGATCTCACTAAACCGCTTGCGCGAGCCATCCGACCAGCCTCTCTGCCCCTCCGACCACACTCCATGCCGCCCTACATCCGTGATGGACGATCGGTTTGTCCATCGCGTAATCGTAACAACTAAACTAAAATAAACTGTAATACTGATTTATTCTTCTTTGATTTATTCAAACGTAGAGACAAGGTACATATTTATAGGAATAATCCTACAAACCCTTTCCCTCCCGAACAAGGTAAACTAATACTAGACCAACTCCTAAACAATAACTTCCTTAACAAGAAATGCTAACCATAAAATATCAGAATAAACAAAATAACAATAATAATAGAAAAACAGCTAATGGCCTAGATGCCCACAAAAAACGTGTACGCATCAAACCTCCCCCCTTCGAAGAACTTCGTCCCCGAAGTTCAAGCGACGTCTCAACCCGGATCGATGAAGAAGAAGCTTTCCCACTTGTTGTCGACAACGAAGATAGTGACTGTTCTTTTACGACGTTTCCAATTGGGCTCAGGGACGTGAACAAATCCTTTAACTCCTCCAACTTCAGTTTCCTCATTCTTCCCTCGAGGGAAACGCCTCCCCCCTTCAAGAAGGATGGCGGCAACGTCTTTGATGTGGGACGCGACATCAACCAAGCCATGACTAGCGAATGATAGGGCGGCCGGTACCTCTGGCTTGCGGCATGAGAAGGCGGCATCCTCTTCCACAATTTTCGTTCGTGGAGGCGCTGGAGCTAGCTTCTCGTCAGCAACGGCTTCACGATTGAAGTCTTCCTTGACGGCCATGGTCGCCGGTGACGTGGTCTTCACCGAGTTTCCTTGGTGATTACACCCGTCCTGTTCTCGGTGGGCCCTTCCAAAGTCCATAACCCTCTTCATGGGAGAGCCCTGCAACTTGACCTCGACCTCTTCATTCATGAAACTCACGATCGACTTGTCCCAATATATCCATGCATATCTTAGTTGCCGGAACCAATGTAGTTAAACTATAGTTTTTATGTATAAGCGGAATGATGGGTACAAACTTAAGCGTAAAAGCGGAGCGTAAGAACGTAAGTTTATATGAACCATTGAAATTGTGAAAAATCAACTTAAAAGACTAATAGGATGCACACACAGAAAATTGGAAAAGATTTTGAACTAGAGTACATTCTAACTCAGAACAGGTTCATAAACATAGAAAAAGAGTTGAATCATACGCTAATATGAATCATAACTCAGAAATATTCATATTATGGACATCACAAGCCCTCCAAAAAAATTTATCATGATTTATGCTACATTTGGGCAGCAACGTCCACATTTCCATCCAAATCATATCATCTTAATTACCGCCATCGTCATAGTTGTTATTGTCACTAACATCATGCTCCTCATAAATACATCAATCCTCATTCATGTTAAAAGAATCACTTTGAAGCCAGCGGCATGATCACTTTAGTTTTTTCATCTATAAAAAATCATTTGACCATCCCATGACATGCCAAATCGCTCCATAAACATTATCGTTAAAAGCTCTTATAAGCGTCCTAAAAGCTAGCTTTTAAGGATTTTTATGCACATATTGTGGTTTTGAAGAGTTTATATTAAGCTTATGATGCCAAAAGATTTTTCAAAGAAAAATACTATATTGGAGGAGGTAAGAACTTAAAAGCGTAAGCTTTTAGGCTTAAACTATAGCTTTTAACTACATTGGCCGGAACCACTGCACATCGAGGACGACTTCAGTTCCGCAATCTGGCAATTCATACAAGTCCACATCGAACTGTACCCCTTGTATGTCAATCAGGACGGCCTTGTAAAATCGATCACATACTAAGATTTCCCCAGTCCGTATCTTGACCTTGAACAAAGAGATTGGTTTAGCTTGCAAGCCTAAACCCTTAGCAATGTCGGTATTGATGAAATTGAGGGTCGAAGATCTACCGGCTAGGGCAGTCATAGGTTTTTTATGGATGGTGGCGTCAAGGTGAATGATGGCAACATTGTAAACTCCCGTAAGACCCGTGACCGAGATCTCGGCGTCAGGCGGTTCGTGGATCTTGAATGACGAAGCTACGGTTAGCTTCTTCGTTGGTGGCACCTTGGTAGGCGATCCATCCACCTTGTCGTTGCGGATCGTGGTTGCGCGCAGGACCTCTTCCCGACGTTGGTGGTTGAACGTCGACGATGTCTTCCCTGGGAGCTGGTAAGAGCTCGGTTCCGTCGAACCAGGCTCTGATACCAATTGATGGACGATCGGTTCGTCCATCGCGTAATCGTAACAGCCAAATTAAAATAAACTGAAATACTGATTTATTCTTCTTTGCTTTATTAAAACGTAGAGACAAGGTACATATTTATAGGAATAATCCTACAAACCCTTTCCCTCCCGAACAAGGTAAACTAATCCTAGACCAACTCCTAAACAATAACTTCCTTAACAAGAAATAATAACCATAAAATATCCGAATAAACAAAATAACAATAATAATAGAAAAACAGCTAATGGCCTAGATGCCCACAAAAAACGTGTACGCATCAATCCAGCTCAGCTTCCCGCACCGTCTCCTCCCCTGTCATATTAAACTTCTCGCCGTCCTCAGCATCCAGGTGAAGGCCACAGACTTTCTTTTTTGGTTGGACAGTTTCCTTGTCCCGCTTGCTATTCGGGGACGAGGAGACCTTCACCGGTCGCCGGATACCTCCTAAAGGATCTGGGGGCTTCATAGTCACGTCCGGCGTCCTGGACGGCGATACCGCCGCCGCCATCAGAAGCCCTAGCACACTAGCAAAAAGCTTGGGTTTTTTTCTCGCTCGGACAACTTCAGAGAACTAGCAGAACTCACACAACAATATCCCTGGCCTGGTACAATAAATATACGACCATAGTGCGACTTCACTATTAGGGAACAACAAATAGGATTTATATTTTATTTTTTAATGAGAAAACTCTAATGTTTGATATTAATGATTTGTCCTTTGATTTTTTAACAACGATTAATAGCACGGTTCACACCTCTCCGAATAATATTCGAACGAGAATGTTTGATATTTATGATAATTTTTTTAGAACAAGCTAAGTTACGTTACTATACTCCAGTGGAGGTTCAGTGAGAGCTCCAGAAACTAAAAGTTACAACTAGCTACATTGAATAAAAGATAAATTTTGAAATGAGGTGCCAATTGTTTGGTTGTGCATGGAACCCTTTTACAGTTTTCGTGTCTCCTATTTATAGGACCCCGCCTTGGTGACAGTTGGTGTTAGCTTGATGGCCTCTCGCCTCGTCCTGAGTGGATGGGGTTGAGGTCTCCTCGCCTTATCTCCATAACAATGGCCCTCCCATCGGGCCTCCTTGACAACCCTGACAGCCCGGATGATTTCATACCTAGCTCCGTTGATGTCGACTTAGTACCATCTTTGTGTCGTTATCTAGCCCGCCTCTTTGACTTGCTATCCTCATCTTGTTAGATAGGCCTAGATACTCATCTTGATAGGATGATTGGATGAGAACTTAGCCCATTTACCCACCAAGACTCCATACTTAGTATTGGAGGACTTGGTTTCATCTTGTCGACTTATCACTTAACTGACTTGTCACCAAGTTCTCCTTGTCGACTTGCTAATTGCTACCAAGCCCGTCTCATCGGCTTGATACCTTCTGGCTTGCCACAAACATAGGCAGAGGGAGAGCACCTGGGATGTGTCCCAGGACACAGGTGAATTCTAGGGGTAAAAAAAACACCCCATGTATGTCCACAGCAACCTTCAAACCCATGACTTCACCTTCGTATAAGATTGTTCTGCCACTAGACCACAACTCACTACTTGGTAATAATAACATAAAATAAATTTAGGCAAAATTCATCTGTGTAGCCAAAACTTTGACGTTTGTGATAATAATAGCCACTTTTGGAGAAATACCAAAAATTTGAAATTCGCATGACAAATATAGCCATTTCCGTCCAAAATTTTAACGGTGTTACAAATTCTGTCTGTTAAGTTAACGGTACGCTAGCTGGAATGCCATATCATTGCCACGTAAGTGACAACTCACCCTCATTTGTCACATATGTGCCATGTCACAATTATTTATTTTTTGTTTAGAAAAAATAACTATTTTATTTGTATTGGTATCTTTCTCTTTCCTCCCTGCTGTAAGCTTCCATCTTTTGACGCATGATCTAGTCGGATATTCCCTCTCCCCCTCCACCACCCCTGTCGCCGACGAGTAAACATTGGGAGCCTTTGGGTCTTTAAGAACCCCAAACCCAGAAGCAATTTGAGGCAACCATTATCAGACCCTCCTCCGCTCCTTCTTCCCCAAGTGAAATGCATATGTAGAAAGCCACCCAAAACCCCCAAACTATCAGATGTAAAATCCAAAAATTCAACGTTGTTAATGGTGGTCGAGCAGACACCATCCCCATCGGCGGAAGCCATAGAAACTCAAATGAGAGGGTCGACGATCCTCACCGTCGTTTCCGATGGCGCCGTCGCACAAAATCGTTGGTCTTCCATGGCCTCAAGGATGCTGATTGCTCTGCCATCCTTGATTTCCCCCTTTCCTGCAACAAAAACCCCAAAATCCCTAAATCTCTGTTTTGTTCTCACCAGCGACAGAGATAGCGAACCCGAATATCCTCATCATTCGCCAAAAGATCTATCCCTCCTCTCTGCATCTAAACCCCAGCGTATCCAAGAAATCAAAACTAGAGCCCATCGACACAATCTTCAGAATATCCAGATCTTGTCGTCGTCGAGAACTCGTCAATCCCGACCCCTAATCCCTTTCTCCGATGCGAATCGAGGGTCAGAGTTCTGTGGCCTCGGAGAACTACAAGGAGTCGGCTCTAGTGGAATCCATCTTTGCCACTAATTTCGAATCTCCGTCCTCTCCTTCCGTCCAGCTGTGGAGTCGTCTTATGGCCGACAAGACAATGGGTGGAGAGAGGGACCACGATGGAGCGTCTGTCACTTGCTGGTCGGTGTGTGCAGCGGCGTGGCAGTGGGTGGAGAGAGGGAGCACGATGGAGATGAGCGGCGACTGAGTGAACGGAAGGGGAAAGAAGATAGAGGGGAGAAATGCTTAATTAATTTATTTTTATTATTTTTTCAATATTTCCACCTCACACCGGTATTGATAAAAATGTTTCTAGATCAGCTTTTTGTTAGTCTAGTCAGCACGTTAGATAACATCGTTAAAAAATTGGACGAAAGTGGCTATTTTGTGCATTTCTCAGAAAGTGGCTATTATTGACAAATACATGAAAGTTATGGCTATACAAGTGTATTTTTCCATAAATTTATTACTAATATACGAAATTCCAAATTAAAATCCCTAATCAATTTCTCTCTCTATCAGACAATTCCTTTCTTCTTTCAAAACTAGAAACGCGGCTTGCCTGCAGCCGCAACGAACGAATCCATTCCTCCCTTCCCTCCAGCCGCGGCGTCAGTGTCGATGAACTCTGTACCCCTCGTCGACGGCATTTGCTGCTTTTGAGCAAGAGAAGTTGTTTAGTCTTACTAGATTTATCCTAATGAGTTTGGTTCCATTCATGATCATTCAACAACAGCTTGTTGGGTATGGTTGATGAGAGATTTGCTGGGTTGAAAGGAATTGATGAATTATCTCAAGTTATGGTGAAGACAAAAGTGCATTTGTCATATCCGTCAGCTTATTTACTTCTGAAGCTAGTTTTGATTCAAACTGTTGCCAGTTGCAACTGCAAGTGTAGAAAGAGCATTTTCAGCTTTGAGGTATATTAAGAACAAACTTCGAAGTAGAATTGGTGATCAGTTTGCTAATGACTGTTTAGTTGGATATATTTAAAAAGACTTGCTTATGAGTGTAGACAACGATGTATTTTGCGTTTCTTTCAGAATATGAAAACGCGTCGTGGTTGTTTGTGAAACAATGATTGTATTAGTCCGTTATTTCTCTATTATCTATGAATGAACTAATGAACTAATTTCATATTGTTAATTTTAATTATATTTATTAAATAATTATTTATGTTTAAATTTTGAGAAGAGGACACAGGTACTTTTGAATTCTGGCTCCGCCACTGGCCACAAAGCTCATATAACAAACTTGACATCTTGTAGTCTCTACAACTTGATACCTCCTGCTATAAGCCAGTCATGTCGGCCCCTATTACCAAGCCACCCATGCTGGCTTGGTCTCCATACTTAGTCTTTCGAATCTTATCAAGTGGGTTTAGCGGTTAACTTCCTACCCACAACAAATAGAGAATGGTGATAGGTTTCCTAATTTGGCAAAAGGCAAGGGCATAGTTATCTTTATAGAGAATGTGTAAAAATAAAGTGATGGCAACAAAATTCAAGCCACTCGTTCCCTTCTTCTCTTCATTCTCGTCTTCTCACCTCTTTTTTTTTTCTCTACCGACCAAAAAACAAATCCACTCTTTGAACCAATGAAATGAATAGAAAAAAACACAACTCTTATTCTCCTTAAGTCCTTCACTCTCGAAAATTCGTATCCTAACCGCCACCTCTTCTATGTCCAAGTAATCAGAGGAGGGATGAAGGCCGCAATAATATCGAGGTCTGCCATCATCGCTTCTCTCTCTCTCTCGATTATCCTCCAGTTGATATGATGTGGAAGCCACCAGAGGGATTCCTTAGCACGAGGACAAGCGATTTGTGGTTCGCGGCACAAAATCTTTTGACCATCTTACATTCTTCATTTGAGCAAAGAAGACGAGGAGGGATAATGATTGTTTCCTTCGTTGAGTGTGGCATATTGCCAATTTTTAGTGGTTAAAAAATATTTTCGATTATTTAGCGGTTAGCAAGTCAAGAGTCAAGTATATTTTGTTTTTCATATAAATGATCATTTGAAATGTATTAGACCTATACTTGATTAATAGATTTAGAAATCTCTGATTGTGAATGCCTAGGCTCATGTTTAGGTATGGTGAACAAATCTGACTTCAATGCTTTTTCGAAGTATTCTATGCAAAGTTCACTGAACTGAACTAGAGATTGACTATAGGTATCACGACCATAAGGAAATATGTTCCTCGTCTTTCATTTTGCATTGATGAATAATGAATGGGAGAGATGGAACAATAATCCTTGCTTTATATATAACAAAGAACGACCTGAAAACCTAATCGTTTTGATATAGGAAAGACTAACCAACTAATCTACGAAGAAAGAACACGAGCACTATATATATTGACAATAAAAGCAACTAAGAGAAAACAAAGGCAACGTCATCCAGTTTAAGTTGTCTATCAATGTCTTTAAGACAACATACTTATTTTTCGCATCGATTCTATCTTACTATCGGATATTAACGGGTTCAGTTAACAAAAAGACTGTCTTTATGATTCTGTGAAAAGGGATACTCCGAATTCAAAGTTAAACTCTCTCAATTATTCACTTGACTAAAATTGTTGTTCAAAAATCTGCGTTTTATTTTGAAATGGAAAGAAATTGAATAGAAAAATATATATATCTTAGTATGAGTTGTTGGCAATGTCAAAAGTTATCCAGAGCATAATGACTTTTCCTTATATACATATAATAAATTCTATATGTTAAATAGGAAATTTCATAATGATATCCAACTAATATTACTTAAAAAACTTGGTGAATGACCAATAGGTACAATGATCATTAATTTCACTTAATGTGACTGAATCTCAACATTAGGAAACTTAATGTAAACACCTCGCTATAAAAGATAATAGTACTTCATCAAATAATCCAACTCACATTGAAATCTGCGAATTTTCATTACTGTTGCTCACAACCTGAAAAGGTATGATATGAATTTGAACCAAATACTCTCTTTTCCATCAAGAGATGTCTCCTACTATGCATGAGTTATTCATTCTTTAGAAATCATAGTATGGTCTTTTGCTGATTTGGCACTTCACTTCAAACAATTCATCTGCGCCATATTATAACGGCTATCCGACGTGTGAAATTATCTTTGAAGTTGTTCACAGAATCGATCCAATTGATTTTATTTTCCAATTCAACACCTTTAAAGTGCATATTCTCGTTAGAAGTTCCAATGAATATAAATCAAATATGCTCTTTCATCAAAATTATATTATTCACAAAGAGTTTTTCATTTTACAAAAAACGATATCATTCCATTTTGCTAATTCACAATGCAATTCAAACAATTCAGCTTCCGCGCGCCATACTGTAACGAATATCTAACACGTGCAATGAAAATATCGCCTTATTATTTCCTTTAATTTTCAATGAATATGTTAAAAAGAATCATCGCGATTCGATCGATTTATTCATCGTCGTCGTCGATATGATTCCTTAACTTTCTCACAGTAGATTTTTTTTTTTTAGTCGATTCAATGGCGGGAGCAGTGACGACGACGACGCAAGACGAATTCAACACCTTCCATTGCATCGACCGCGACCTCTATGTCGTCCTGAGCATCGCACTGTGCCGCGACCCAATGGAGTGCATGCAAATCATGGCGTTTTGGCTATGGCTGGAGCGGCTCTGCCCATGTGACGTCGTCTACAACATCCTTTCCCTGCCATGGGCTCTCATCAACGATCTCGCCGAGGAAGCCGCCTTGTGCCTCAGCTGCATCAACTCCGACGTTTTCATCCCTCCACCGAACAACATCGAAGCCATCCCGTTGACGGTCGCCGTCCTGGACCAAGACTACATCTCCCTTCCGTACTTCTTCGACAACCGCTTTGAAGCGAAGAAGAAGATAGCTAAAGTGTACAACACCGTCTGCGTGCGTGCCCTTAGCGATATCATGCGAAAGGTCATCGAACAGACTGCCACTGCCGCCACTGCTGCTTTTGCTGCCATGCAGATGCCTTCAAAAGCGTCATCCTCTGCCAACCCACCCAAGGATGAGAGGTTGGGGAAGGAGGGGGACGATAGGAGGACCATGTTCGCGACGTTCTCGAAAGGATACCCGATTCTGGAAAGGGAGCTGAGGGAGTTTATGAGCAAGACCTTCGGGGCCAACTGCATCGAGTCCGTGCGTATGCACGAAGCAGCCCCGCCCAAACAGTCTCTGTATGCTAAGATCGTCTTTCGCTCGGCGGCCACCGTGGAGATGGTGCTCAAGGGGATGCACATGGCCAAATTCAGCATCAACGGCAAGCATGTTTGGGTTAGGAAGTTTGTCCCCAAGCCCTCTTAAGGAGGAGGAGGAGCCCCTGCACCGCCCAACTAATAATGATGGGTAATAAGATAATAATTGGGGGGCTTTGTGGTGAATTATTAGGAAAAGTTGGAGTTAATGAGTAATTGGGATGGTTGGTATCTATTGGGTTGTAGTAATTTGTTGTGTAATGACTTGGGGGATGTCTGCAACATCTCTACATATATAAATGCACCTTATTATGTGGCTTTGATCCGAGCTAGTCTAATTCGAGTTTTAATAACAATCGTAAATTTTCAAACTTATTTGTCATGATTGAACTCTTCAATCATTTTCATTTTATGTGTTTAAGGAAGTCGCGGATCGGTGATAGTGTCCACCAAAAATCATTAACAAACATTTCTTTGATTTTTGCAAGACATTTTTTTTTTTAATTTAACTTGTCATTTTTAATTTAAGTTTATATACAAAACAAAAAAGAGAGGAAGAAACCCACCCATCAAGCCCAATGCATATGTTCAAAACTACACAAACACAAAACCCAAAGAAGAAAGAACCACATAGCCCTAGTCAATTTGAATCTCCATGGAAACAACCCTCATCATTGGAAGCTTCAACACAAGCCAACCGCCGCCAAAACATGACAACGGATCGAGAACCAATCAAAATGATAGATTTGACGAACTGCTCAAACTTAACAACCAAGATGGAAGATTGGAGCAAGACAAAAATAAGAGAACCATAAACTGGTCTCCAAACCTCACCTAGTTGGACTTACATGTCTTTAATGGCTCCTAGACAATGGCTAGCAAGAAGCAAACTTCAGAACGATGGACACCCAATGAATTCACAAATAAGAGCTACTAGCATCTTCGAATCATCGAGATTAATTGGACGAAGCAAGGAGGTAGACGAGAGGCGAGAAGGCTAGCAGGCCGCTACAATCGTTACTAGACACAAATCACCTATAGTATTCTCTGTATAAAGTGGTAGTCAAAATTGGTCAATACGGGAAAATCGATGTTACGATCGTTATGACCAATTTTCGGCTCCTAAACAAATGACATGAGTTTGGTGAATTTAATTAGAAATCTTACATCTATCTTCTATAAAATATATAAAGGCTTTTCCAAAAACTACCTTCACCATTTCAAAATTCCAGCCCTCCTATGCATCCACGTCAGCACCCTTCCGACCAATCAGATTTTTTCTTAACTCCTTTTTTTTATTTTAAGTTTTTCTATACCCCAATCAGAATGTGCCACTTAACTCTCTCTCTCTCTCTCTCTCTCTCTCTCTCTCTCTCTTATTTTTAAATCTCCCCTACTACTCTTAATTGATTCATATTTATTTCGCTTCAACTCCAAATTTAAATATTATTGCGCGAAAAAATCAGATTTTATGTGATCTACACAAGGATATCCATTTTGATATATGTTTTTTTTAAACATAGCCACAATCATATATATACAAGGCATGTTCCTATTCGATAGTTGCGAAACTATATCGATATCATTCAATTGTACCGCCATAAAGTATATACTAACATAGATCGCAGAACAAATTTCTTATTCTACTGAGTTACTAAATAATATCAATGTTTAATTTTGTAATATCATAATAATAATTCACAACAATTTCATGGGTGCTAAAATATTGTCGTGCAGTACAAACTAATTTACCTTAAAAAAAATCATTTAGCGGCCAACTGGTCGGACTCAAAGGTATACACGATTTGAAATGAGAGAGGACAATGACAGACTAAACAAAATAGACACCTTAGAAGGAAAAAATTACCAAAGTACATATTTCAAACAAAATTTATCCGGCCAACGGACCGGGTACCAAACTAGTTCAAGTATGAGCAATTGTCATTTATTTGTTATGTTATTAGCTGAATTCAAATATAAATATTTAGACCAAAATTTATCCGGCCAACAGACCGGGTACCAAACTAGTTCAAGTATGAGCAATTGTCATTTATTTGTTATGTATTAGCTGAATTCAAATATAAATATTTAGACGTTGTAAACGGGTTCCACAATATGTTATCTTTGTGTTAGGTAAAAAAAAAGAGAGTTAAAAGTAATAACTAAATAAGCTCAGGAAGCGGAAAGACGGAAAGAAAAGATAGCGGAAGGATAACAACCGCCTTCTGCTCGTACGACTGCGACTCGACTCCACTCTCTGCCTGCGCAATTCACTGTCCCTCTCGTGTAACTTCCCAGCGCAGACTGCAGATTATCGGTTAAATATGAATTGTTTAGGGTTCTCGTAATCTGATGATGCAATTTCATTAATTGGGGAAGACTATTGGGTTCTGCTGAATCGAGTTTGATTGCTCTTTCTCACTAGGTGAGGGGTGGTAGCTCTTAGATAAACTAGAAGAAGCAGTTGAAGAATGATGGAGCCCGGTCAGCCAAGCCAGGACGAACCGACCTCGTGGGATGAGCTCTGCAATATCAATTTGGTTCCTTCAGAGTTGTTTTTCAAGTTCAGAAAGGAAATTGAAGGGATTCGTATCGGTGTCAATCTGGAGGTATGCCCTTCCTTTCAATCCACCCCCTTCAATTTTCACGTTTTGCGTCGTTGTGAACCAGAATTAATACTGGGTTCATCTGGGTACATTAGAATTTGGCTTAGGTTTGTCAATCTACTGTCCTGTAAGTGGTGCAGTGAACTGTAATTGGGAGCAAATTTTCAAAGAATACTGAATGCTGTTGGTGCTTTCCTAACCCAGAAGCTTACCCAGCAACTAACTTGTGGAAGTTTGGTAAGTTGCATTCATTGAATGAAGTGTAGACTAGTAGGCTTATGGATGTCAAAGAAGCTTCAAACTTTGGAGAACTCACTGTAGTAAATGGGGTTCCTTTGTGTGAGTAGTATTGTCAAATGGGTCAAATGAGGCATGGGGGTGTGATACATAAAAGATGATATTATGTTTTGTAAAAGGTTCCTTTGTATCCTTCACTGAACAGGATATCTGTATCTTGGAGAAAAAAAGAAGGGAATCTACCTACCGCTTCACTTTTAGTTGTTTGGTGTTTCGGCTTTTAGTAGTTAGGAAGAGACTCGGATACTACTTCTCATCGAAGTTGAATGAAATGAATCTGAAAAGGAGATCACAATCAGTATGAAAAATTGTAAAATACAATCCTATGGATGATTTTGACTTCTTAAAGCAGACCGTTCACTGTTGGAACCCTCTAAAATCTATCCATCTTAAGACTTTTAGGGAGAAGACAATATGTGGTTGCTTCTGTAAGGAGCGTGATATGTCGTATGATTTAGCTTATGTCAATCTTTATGAAATGTTAATGTTGAACCCTTTGTAAGTCATGTTTATATTTGCAGGTCAATATATGTGGATTTGATGAAATAATACACCACAGACCTCACCTCTTGTGTAGTTGTGCATTGTTTCAATGCCTATTCTCCTTTATGTATTAACTAATTGTCGACTCTTCCTTTCTTTTTGTTACTCAGTTCTACAATGCTCCCATCAACGATGTCCAGACTAAGCTTGTTCTGAAGCCATTGTCATCAGAGCGGAAATGGAAGTTTATATGTGAGCCTATCCGTCAGGAAATCCGCATCCAGTCCAAAAAGATTCCTCTGACCAAATTTCTAAACGTACAGGTTTTGTAAGATTCACCTTCCTTCACTCTGTTTTTTGGATTTGATACAAGCAATAGTTGTATACAGCAAGTGCTTTTTTGCTGCAATTGGTTCTTTTTCCAGATCTCTGCTACTTTATAGGAGTTGTTAAATTCTTAAAGTTACAGGTTGGCATAGGCCATAGTTTCAAGATGAATGCACTTGCATGGCAGTGGAAGCTTAACACATGCCTGGGTGGTGATGGTATATCCCGAATCCGGAACAAGACGACACTCGGTCTGTGCCCTGGCCTAGATTTCAGGTTTGGGTGGCGAGCAGATTTTGTTCTCCCTGAAGTTACCGGGTAAATTCTCCCTTGTTCTTCTTGTCATGTCCCATCTAGATGGTAGATTAAGGGCGTAACTTGGCTGTTGTTGTTGTACGGCTCTCTCCTCCACTCTGCTTCTTCAGTATGTTGTCCGATTATATGCAGCAAAAATAGTTCTGGTTAGCAGCTGCGGTGTATGTTGGTCTGCAAGCTGCAAATGTTGCTTGCTCTTTTCTTTTTCTTGTGAACAAGCTACAAGTATTCGCATAATTGACGGGTGAAAACTTGGGTCGAACAGGGCATTAGGTAAGGACGAGTTGCTGTTCAACATGAAGACCGGACGACTGGATGCATCATTAGACAGGATCGAGACGATTGTAACTCAGACAACGTGATTCTACGTCCCTGGGAGTCACCAGGACTTGGAACGCACCACCACTCGATCGCAAGGCTGCTGTAAGTTCCATTTGGCATTTGCACTCCTTGGGTACATGAAGCTGCAACTGCAAGGCGCCATCCTGATTATCTGGAATATGGAATGATTGTACTTTGTATCATTAGGAGTAGGATCTGTTTTTACTAGGAGTAGGATGAAGGTGCGACAAATGGTTTCCTGATTTGTGATTTCCTCTGTCCCAACCGAAAAGAATCAAACTTTCGTAGGAATATTAGTTAGTAAAGTAAGTTTTGTTGTTTCAGGTTTTTAAGATTTACCGTCGTTGGATGGAAGCGGTGACAAATTTGAAAACAATTCGCACCCTGTATAAAACAGGGGACGCTCAACCCAACGACAATAAAAGAGAATGAAATCTTTGGAATAAAGTTGGCAGACTGTCCAGTGTAGTTCAAATGTTCTCTCCATCTTTTATCAAGTAGCCGTTGTATCTCATTTCATTTCTCCCCACAACGGCCACTTTCTTCTTTCCCCTGCTTCGTCTTATAAATCCGACCAAAATCTCCCCCCTGCACCGCTCATCTTCAAACACCAATCTCTCAACTCTCAGCAGCAAAAACATCAAGCACCATGGCAGCATCCTCCTCCTCCTCCTCCGTTTCCAGCTCGACCACGAAGCTCCGGAGCCCATTCTCCACCCCGAACCTCCTCCTCTCCGTCCTCAACTTCACCCTCCTCCTCCTCGCCGCAGCCTCCATCCCGCCGGTCATCCTCCTCCGAACCCCGCCGACCTCCATGGGGATGGCCTTCCTCGCCGTCTCGGGCATCACCGTCCTCTCCTCGCTCGTCGGATTCTACTCCCAGCTCAACCACCTCTGCTTCGTCACCCACTTGTCCCTCCTCCTGGCCTCCCTCTCCGCCCAGGTCCTCTCCGTGCTGGCACTCTTCTCGAAGGAGAGCTCGAGCCTCGAGCTGCTGCGGCCCACGAGGAACGACCCCAGGGAGGCGAAGCTGCTGGTGAGGCTGGAGTGCGGGGTGATGGTGGCGATGGCGGTGGTCCAGGCCGCCGTGCTGGTGCTGGGATGTGCGGTGCACCACTGCTGGGTGAGGGAGTACGCAGGGCTCGAGGCCGAGCGGGACGCTACGGCGAGGAAGCGGAGTAGTAGACGGCGGCGGATGGCGAGGGTGGTGCAGGAGGAGGAATCGGCGGCGGAATTGGAGGAGGTGAAGGTTGTGGAGTTGGAGGAGAAGGTGCAGCAGGGCAAGTGGACCAAAACTGATTTCGAAGGGTAGTGTTTTGAAATTTCGAATATGTGTGTGTTGATTTTCTGTGTTGGTGTTTCCTTTTGTTTGATGGGGTCACCGATGTGGTGGCTAAACTATTAATACAAGGATTGTGTGTATCACAGTATTAGGGGTGGTTTAGTGTTTGCTTTGTATTATATTAATGCATATGTATTATAAGATTGATTTAATGTTTAAATGAGTATATTTTATGGCTTGGGTGATTGTACAAAACTCCATTGTTTTGTAGTACTATAAAATTATATCTAATGGTTGTAATTTGGGAATGAAATATTTAATGGTCGATATTATAAAGGGTAGGAAGGGAAAAAAGGAGGACTGCTCGGATTTTGGGGTGGGTTGGCGCAGATTTTTATGCATTTTTCAAATCTCCTCCGATAATTCAGTGGACCGTAGCACATATATGTATTATATAGATAACATTTTGATATTTTTTAGGTATAATACACTTGTATAGTCAAAACTTTCACGTTTATGACACGTATAGCCAACTTTTAACGAAATACCACTTATATCCACTTCCGTCCAATTCTTTGACGGTGTCATCTAACGGATTGAGTGAACTAACCGAAATGATGATGTGGCAACTAATAATACTTATGTGGAATTTCTTTAATATTAATTAATGTTAAATAAAATATTAATACGAATAAACCAAAAAAAATCTCACGCTTCTTCTCCCTATCCCTAATCTCCGCTTCTTCTCCTCAAGCAACCCACCAACCGCTCACTCCTTCCGCCGGCCAACCTACATCCGCTGCACACCGCTGCTCGTCACCACCACCGTCGCCGTAGCTTACCCTGATTCCATGGATTCTTTGGCTCCATCATCGCCTCCGTCCTCTTCCTCCACCATCACATCGCCTTCATTCTCTCCAGATCCCATCTCCTTCTTCTCCTCATCTAACGAGCCGAACGTCGTTGCAAGTGCTTACGGGGCTGGACAAGAAAGGCTCGTAGAGAAGAAGCTCTCCATCTCTCCACCAACCAGCCGACCGCTGAACCAGCATCTCTTCCCTGCACAATCCGCCCCCAATATAACTTGCACAATCGACGGCCCCAACACAAATTTTCAATTAGGGTACTAGGTTGTTGTCTGAGAAGATCTAGAGAAGTTGGCGATTTGCAAGAAGGCAACGCCGGCGAGGACGACGAGGGGCGAGGACGACGAGGAGCTCGGTTCGGTGGTTGAAGAGAATCTCGAACCCGACTGAAACCGACCACAGCAGCAGAGTGCCCAAGAAGAACTTTCCAATCTTGCTGTCGATTTGGTTCTGGACCAGCCTTGCCATTCCTGTTTTCGAATTTGGTTTTCTGCTTCTGTGCAAAAGAGAGTTCGGTTGTCGGCTGGATCTTATGTTTCCCTTTATTCTCGGAGATGTTGGCGTGGCGATGTTGGCGAGGAGCCGAGGCCGGGTATTGGGTCTCTTTTCATTGGCAAACTGTTGCAGGGGGATTTGCGGTGGAGGAGGAAGCAAGGATTTGCGAGAAGAGGAGTAATCACCGAATAGTTCAGAAAGTAGAAGAAGATTGGTGGGTAATGGGGAGGAGTAATAGACGAATGTGGAAGATGATTTGTGGGGAATAAGAAATTTGGGGAAGAACCCTAATTTCGATTCCGGCCAAAAGTTGGGGAACAAGGATCGCGGCTCGTGCAAATCAGGTGGGAATATAAGGGAATATTTTTTATATAGAATTTTTATTTGTTTAAATAATAAGTAATTTAAAAATCTGAAGTGTCATTATTTGCTTAGTTGTCGCTGACGTGTCCGCTGAATTGGCGCCTCGTCAGCCGACCGTCAAATAAGTTGACGGTGTGATTAACACCGTTATAGTTTCTAACGGAAATAGCTATATCTGGCATACAACATCTTTCAAAAGTGTCTATAAGTGGTATTTCGCCAAAAATGGCTATAAGTGGCACAACGTGAAAGTTTTGGCTACACAAGTGTATTTTGTCTATTTTTTAGAGCAACAAATTTTCAGGCCATAAAAATTCATATCATGAGCTCATATCAAGTTCACGCCATTCATATCAAGATCATATAAGTTCTTTGCATTGTCCATGAAACCATACCGGAAAAGTAAGCGATATGGTATTTTATGACAAAACTGTGGTTTAACCGTAGTTCAAAGTTCATACCGTTAAATACTGCCTACCGATTTAGCCTCCGATACTGGTATTTTGTGGTTGAACCGCCGACGATTTCACGGACCACTTGTATCAATTTAGTCTCCGATACTTGTATTTTGTGGTTTACCAAATACCCTTGTACAGATTGTTGCAGTAGGAGATGGATCGAAAATCTTTTATATTTTCTATAGGAAGTCCACTGATTTATCCTTGACCCCAGAATCCACTTCACCAATGAGTTTTTGATAAAATTAAAATGCCACCCGACCCATTTCCTTCACATTAGCACATCATTTCCCTAAGCATCCTTAAGTTTGGTGATATACTGCTTGTTGTGAGTATGAATCATTACTGCCTTGTGAAAGAAATTAGTGATAATATCCCCATCTTGAATCCATTGTCTACGAGTGAAGACTTTTGTATTTATAATGTTTATCACTCTTATATTTGATACATTTTTTTCTTATATCAATATATATTTAATGGTTTTAATTATATTTTAAATGAAATTCATAACTACTTGATTTATGAGTTTATGATAGACCTTGAGTGTGTTTTTGTACTATTTTACGTCTTTTGGTGTTGTTTTATGCTTTTAAGGGAGATGATGCACTCAAGACAAATATGGATCACTAAGGGACCCAATGGATCAGAAGAAGGTCGAGGATACAAGCTCATGGCCTTAAACGAAGATGGATTCTGACACATGAAGCTCAAGTCATGGACCATATAATAGTATTTTGGCTCAATGCGGATAATATCGTGTATATATATATGGGGAGTTTTACGGTACCCAGGGTGAAATCCGGTGTACCGCATACATTGAGTAAGAAAACGCTATCCAGAACTTGAATTGACTGATCTTTCGTACATGATATTATACTCCAACCCTTAAAGATCAAAATCTAGGTCTTAATTCTCTAAACCTTATACCCCAAGATCAATTTAATTAGAAACAATAATCGACGGTTATGATTCATCCAAATATAGACAAAAATATCAATGCACAATCTTAGGGTTTATAGTTTATGATTTAGATAATTAGAACCTATGGTTCACTCATTAAGGGTTAGAGTATAGTATCATGCCCAAAAATCCTGCTAATTCGAGGTCTAGATAGCGTTTTCATAATCAAGATATGCGGTACCCCGCATTCCACCCGGGGTATGGTAGAAGGCACCATATGTATATATATATAGCAAAGGCTAGCGTACGTCAGGCGTACACTGTATGCCTGTGTTCACACTTGTAATTACATTTTTAATTATAAATAAATAATTATAAATGGTGATTATAATTTCAATTGCGCCCATTAATTAATTTTTTGTACATTTTAGTCACTCAATATTTTTTATCCTATGCAAAAATCATTCATCTAAAAAAAAAATCATTCATCAATTTCAACCAAAAAAAAAATCATTCATCTAAATAATCATTGTATAGTATGTAACTAATTCTCCCAATCTGGAGTTTAAACACTCAAATTACTTTTACCCCCATCCCACCCATCGTACCTGCTAATTATCCTTTATCTTTTTCAATCTCCTTCAACCTCCATTACCCACTAACTCCTAATCTTTTTTACCCTTGTTAAATCCTCCTTCTCAATTCCTTTGCCTTCCTCAAGAATGTCGCACAACGGAATAAACCTTAGCGTCCCCTTTGAATGCCATCACTCTGGTTGCCGCGAGAAACCTTTAACCTACCTTCCTCAATTTCTTCAAACCTGATAGCTCATCCGCAGCCAGTCTTTCCAAAGATGCATGAGCAATTATACAGATGCAATTGTTCCAAGGATGGTATCGTTGAAGCAATTAAAATTGTTATCCGTCACTGATGCTCCAAATATGTGGGAGATTGAGGGTCTTGCTTGTTTGAAATCCTTGGAACAGTTGAATAATTGCATATGTATAATTGCACATCTCCAAATAAAATCTTCATGGGCATTGCAGAAAAATGATAGAGGTCTGCAACAGTTATAATTCAGATGGGTAAATAACAAGGCAAGAAGAGATTATTATGCCCAGCAACAGAACCGAAGGAAAGCAAGCAGAAGAGGCCCTCATCGACGAGTTGATTAATAATTCCGAACTTTGAACCATGGAATAGTTAGCGTTGAGGTTAAATTTCTCAACGGTGTTAAAATATTGTGTGTCTCGTTCGTATTATGCATTTCAATTTCCAATTATTTTGTTGTTGCGTGCGTGCTCTGTTTTGTATCAAAATCTGCAGCGGAGTTTGACTAAGAGGTGTAAAGGATAAGGATATCCAATTGAATCATGAAGCGACTTCTGCAGTTCTAAAATCTAGTAAGAGTGAATTGGTTTAATTTTTTAATTTTCTGGTTTTGTGTGCTGTGTTTGAACTGTTAATTTGTGTCACCGCTCTTTTCCTTGCAGAACAAATATGCAGGGGAGGTTTAGATCGGAACACAGCCACATGGAAGACTGTGGTGTGCTTTGGTTTTAATGGGTTCCTGATTTTGGGTCGTACTTATGGCAAACACAAATAAGTGGGCTATGTTTTTTATATGAAATAAGTGGCGTTTTGATTAAATGGATGTGATTATAATTTTTTTTTCTATATGCTTTGGGAATACATCATATAGAAAGATAAATTAATTGATGCGATTGTATTTGTCATTTTAAAATAATTAATGTAATTATAATTAATAATTAATTTTTGAGTGTGAACACAAGCGTATAGTGTACACCTGTCGTACGCTAGGCTGAACCATATATGTATATATATGGTGCCGTATTCAGTGCACCCGCCTCATAATTGTCATTCTGACCATGCGATTCATGTCAAAATGGTATCAATTGTTGCTTATGATATTATGAACAAGAAGCACATGAATTTGAAAAAATTTCATTTAAAATTTATTTTAATTCGAAGGATTTAGGATTTAGGGATTTAGGGTTAGGATTAGGGTTTATAATTTGGGATTTTGGGTTGAGATTCAAAATTGAATGTTAAGAGATTAGGGCAATGGATTGATTTGTTATGATTCTATGTCATATCATCATATTATATTGAGAGTACTAATTAAAGTTCAAAATTTAATGTATTATGGACGCTTTTAGAGTTGGTTGCATTGAGTGCACCCAAAAAAGTAAGTACACCGAAGTAGCCACTATATATACTAGCTTTTACCCGACCCGTTGGTCGGATGATTTCATCTTATTTTTCATTACTTCATAATAATCGAAAGTGATCTTTGCACTACTTGATAATTGTGACATTGATAACAATTAGTTCATATGTATTTTTGTTAATCAGATTATCCTAACTCACTACGGCCTATACATGTTTCGTATTAAAAGAATTTGCCCTATTTATTGTATCATAAATTGCTTAAAATTATTTCTTTATATTGGTATTATTAACTTGGTTTACTATTAGATACAAACAAAACTAAAACAATTATGCATTAAATTAAAATAGTAATTAGAATTTCTTCAAGGGATTAACTTATTGCTACAAAAGCATAAAATTGATCATCTTAAGATTTCCAATCGTGCTTCATCAGACACAAATCAAAAACCTTTCACGAACATAATAGGAGGGAAGCATATAGCTAAAATAAAGAAGCGAAATGGCAGACCGATAGAAACAAATATCAAAAGCTGGCTGGTTGATGGCTGAGAATTACCTTGAAAGAGAGAAGCTGCTAATGGAGTTTTCGCTGAAACGCTTTCGTGGGTCTGTGTGATTTAAACTGCCTTTTATACGCATAACGCAGAAGGTGATTTCGTTTGCTGGCGTGAATCGAGCTTGGGTTTGTAGCTGAAATTACCTCGACAGAGAGAAGTTGATAGTGGCATTTCTAGAGGAAGCACTTTAACACCCCAATTTCTTCGTTAGAACATTACAGCCGCCGACGTCGAATCTCAGACATGGAGAGCAGGAGGATATGGGTGGATCTAGCTACCTCCGACACAATCCCTATTCGACACTGAATTTGCCCACTGACATCCACTTGGACGTCATCCAACCACTGACATGCAAAACAACCGTTTGATCCTGGCTTCCCAATGAAAGGAGAGGACGGAGAACGACGATAGAGATGAAGGGAGCGGAGGAAGGGCCCTCTACGAAACATTTAGGCCAACAGTGGTAGACGGCTAATGTATCAATCCCTAGCCTTTCTGACAATCATTGTTATCCTTATCACCCAACATTTTACTAAACCCATAACCTATTGCAAATTTTAGGTAGAGTTCCTACTAAAGCACACAAATCCCCCTACAACAATTTAATCAGAACCACTGGTTAGACATTCACTCATGGCAAATTTGAGAAACTGGTGCAAAACTCTACCATCCTAAATTTGAAAATAGTCAAGTGTAAAAATAATTTAAGTCCATCCAACTATACCTGAAATAATAAGGGATCCCACAGTACATCATCATATACAACTAACATTGCTATGTAAGTTAAGCATTCTAGGCAGGGGCGGATACATGGGCCTCTAGGGGTGTCCCGGGACACCCCTAAAATTTGGGGAAACGATTATCCAACCTCCGGTAGTAATTTCGTATGTGTATACAAAATATAATTGGTAATCCGGGACACCCTAACATTTGAAAAAATGATTATCCTACCCTCGATAATAGTTTGCTTATGATTAATAAAATATAAGTGGTAGTCCGTGTTATTCCAACCTAGGACACTACTATTATCAAACATATTTCAATTATGTTGCTACTCATTTGTTATTCTATTTTAAACATCATGCAACAGTAAAACGCTATTTCTACGTACACGCTACCCTTAATTTTGAATTGATTTTATGGTTACATGGCAAGTGTTGAAAGAGTCTTTTCTACTTTGAGCTACATTAAGAACAATGTTAGAAATCGAATATGTGATAAGTTCGTGAAGTATTGTCTAGTAGGATATGTAGATTTTTTGAACAGTGCAGACACGGAGTTTATTTATATTATTTTTCAAAATATGAATTTTAATTTATTATTTAATAAAAATTTTATAAAAATTATACAAGTATGATATTTTTTAATATACGAATTATTTAATTTATTATATAATTAAATTTAATTTTTGAAGAGGACACCCCTGTGAAAATTTTCTGAATCCGCCACTGATTCTAGGAGCTAGGAAATATGTAGCGTAATGTAGTAGTGTTGCAACTTGATTAGAAGATAGAGTCATAGATAAAAGAGGGGAAGAGATAGTGTATATATATAGTTATTGTTAGAAGGCATGATGATTTGCATGATGCTCCATGCATAAAAAGAAATGGAGTCACAAACTTGGTGAAGTATTCATACAAAGTGACTTAGCAAAATAAAACATGTAGGTATAGAGAAACACACAATCCACTCAGCTATAATGCGTATAAAGTCATCGATAAACCTAATTGAACATTCATGAGAATAAACATTCAAAAACTCGATCATCTGTGCATCACTTTCTGAATTCACATGGACCTTCCTCTTTAGTGACTCGACTAAAGGTGTTGCAATATAATATCATGGTTCGCTTGATCAATTTTGGTGCATTTGGCAGCATCAAGGTCACCAACTTCATGTTCACTACTAATATTATGGGAGCTTTAGGCATTAATATTTTTAGTATCGAGCAAAGCTTATTGATACATCCACACAACCACCTTATCCATTAAAAAACACGAAATATATGTAGCTCATTAAGCCATAGAGATTCAGGAAACACATATACAATGCAGTGACAATACTAAACCACATAACTCAACTTTTGAACGCCACAAAGTTTGGCAAAACTACAAAGATGTAGAGATAATAATAACTTAACAACTTTACCAAAACTCATACCCCCAACACTGTCTAATTCTATTATAATAATAAAAGTACCTATATAGCTAATTGAGTACTACTTTTCCTTACCTAAACTTATGTAGGGAAGCTATGAGAAACTTCAAATCAAGAATAGACACAGCAAAATAAAACACCATGACAGAATCTACAAAAGGCATTCATCATTTGTTGGTGGCCAGCTTTTAATTTCCCTAGAAATTTATTAGTTTCCAAGAACATAACAAACAAAAAAGGCCCGGAGGAGAAATCGGCTGTGGAACAGAATACTCTACATAATGATATGATAAGATGAATGCATCAGATCTATGTTTGAGACATAACTTAGGCCTATCAACTCCGAGAACAACAGGCTGAATTTCAAATGAGAACACAAAACTTTAAACTAAACATTGTAGATTCTAATTTTTCACTAATTGTCTTATGAATACTAATGCTAAACCTTATCATTTCTAGCAAATCCTAAGTTTTTGTCATGAACAATAAAAATGAAGGTATCTCACAGAGAGTGAGCCAACCCATGGTATCCCAAAACCGAAGCAGGAAACTTTGGACATTCTCATTTAAAAAGAACACCAAAAGGAAACACATGTTTATTTTGTGAGACAACTTATCCTGCTGCCACTCACCAATACAAACTAAAAAAGCACATCTCATGAGAATATGTAAAGCATGGTAAGGCTTATCCCACCACTGCTAATGTCACAGTCTGCGCCAGTCATGACACCTTCCAAATTGAAAGCTGAAGGAAAGAGCAAAGTACCAACTTGCACGCCACGACGGAGGGAGACAGTGCAAGTGGCACCAGCAAATCCGACGATGGCTAAAGCCGAAAGCTTGATTAGAAAACTCAAAAGCGAAAATAGGGGTGGTGGGATCCTGGGACGAAGAGGGGCAACCCGGTCTCCCGAAAACAGGGGCGGAGAGAATAGTAGGAGAACATCGAATGTGAGGTTTCCAAAGGGTAACATTAGTGCGACATGCCTGTAATTCAAACATGGAGAATAGAATACAAAGAACAAAACAAAAAATGAAACACAACAAAAAAGGAACAATAAGTAACTGAACATAAAAGAATAGAAAAATGAACCACGATGGAAATCAACAACAAATAAAGCCCGCAAAAGAAAAAGGTTAGATAAAATCGACTGAAGGTGAGCGAATGACATGCCCACAGTTCATAGCACCTGATCTGAACATCCCGACAACAGATGAAGTTGTGACTGGTTAGCGAGCCTCCTTTGTCCTTTGTTCCTCTCCAACCAGAATTGCGAACTATTCGACGTCAAAATCGAGCGCGTGGCCCTCTAGCTGGTTCCCCTTTTGCTGTTGCTCGGTTGCCATTCACTCAGTCTTGGAGAATAGCGTCGTCGACTATATCCATCAACAGGGAGCAATCCAGAACGGGAACTGGAGAATCCGAGTAGAGAAGGCCCCAATAGGCGAGGTCACACAAAAGAGATTTTGAATTTGCTCACCGACGAACCAAAATTGGAATCCCCACCTCTGGCCGTCGCAACTCAGAAACCTAGATCTTCCCCTTTCGTCGCCTGATACCCGAGTTTCCTTTGCCGACGAAAAAAACAAAGGAACTGATGCGAAGGGGAAGAGGAAGGAGCTTTGCCTCTGGATTTTGTTGTTTTACAAATAAATACAAATTAAATGAGAACGTGGGCCTGGAAGGAGAAAAAGGTGGGTGGTGGACAGTTTTTTGGTTCTGAAATCAGGCGGGACTCCTTTTTTTTACCGCTTAACACTCTGCCACATCAGCTTCCTAAAATCACTCTATGGGCAGAAAATTTTGAATGGGGGGTGCAGTTTTACTTTTCAGCTATAAATTATACTGTTGATTTACAATAATACATCTATTAACAATGGCAACTTCCAAACCAATCATAGATTCTTTTCCTAGGAGAAAGTTAGTAGGATGGGTAAATGGATTATAAGAATATAAACATTTTTATTATTTATTTTTCACCTTATCCAAAGTGGTCAGGCCCACTACAACCGGAAAACAGTTTATCTACGACGCCGGCCTTTTTTCCTTCCTTTTTAGCTTTCCCCTTCTGTTACCCGCGACGACAGAGTCAGAGTCTGAGAGAGGGTAATTTGGAAAGCGACGAACCAACTAATCAGAACGAAACGAAACCATCCACCCCCCATTTCCCTCTCTTCTTCGTCTTCCTCCGTTCTCTCTGCTTCAGAGGATCGTAATTCTAGGGAGGAAAATCCGATTCAGAGAAGTTCTTGCAACTATGCCGACTACCACTGTTTCAATTCACGCCCCGCCGGAGTTCTTGACCTTCCCGGCTTCGGTTGCCTCCAGGAACATTCACAAGCTCTCCACAGTCACCGCTTCTTGGAGAATGTACGAATCCCGCAATACTTTTTCTGTTTATTTGCTCGTTTCTTTCTGTTACTTGTTTTTTCCTCCACGTTCTCGGTGGTAAATTAGGGGCCGCCGTTGATGGAATTTTCTTGGGAAGTTGTTGATTCTCTGTTACTTAATTGGATTTCTTTGTTTCGTGTTTCAGGTCGATGGATTCTGGGTCTTTCCAGACCAAGAAGAGGGAAGAGCTTTCGTTACACATACAACACCCCGCAGCTTTTGATCCAAAATGGGATACGCCCAGGCAACCTGATCTGCGCTTTGACCGCCTTCAGATACCCGAACAGGATTTGAAGGAGCTTAACAAGCTGGAGTTTGGGCAATTCGTCGCTAGAGAGGCTTTAATTGATGAAGAATACTGGGTAAAGCCCTTATCCATCAATTCCCTGCTTATTCCACATCTGGGTTCTTCTGCCACTTTTGGGGTTCTTCATCTGGGTTCTGCTGCTATTTGGGTTTCCTTCATCTGGGTTCTTGGTGTTTTCTGGGAGGAAACTTTCAAGATCATATTGTTCTCCCCATTTCTTGTTTTGATTCTTGGACACAGTATTATGCTGTGTTCGTGACTCATTGAGTTAATCCTGCTGCTAAGCAATATCTCCAATGTTCGTTTCTGGTAATTGCCTGCAGACTGCAGCCTGGCTGCGAGCAGAAAGTCTCTGGGAGAATCGAGGGAACGACAGGTGCGGTAAATCCATCTGAACTGCTTTTACTAGTTCCCAATATTCTGTATTGCTATGAACCTCTTTCTTTATTCTTGTCCTTGCTAAATAAGGACCTCGAAATTCCCCTTGCCGGTTCAAAATTGATCACCTTTCACATGAAAACTTTATTGTAGTGCAGTATATTTGAATGTATTATTATGGTTCATTGTTAAGGTTAAGTCTTGGTTCAAGATTAGGATTTTAGACCAGTAATCAGACGCTAATGGTTTTGGCATATATCTGATAACACAGATATGCTGATAGTCTGAAGAAGAAATATGCGGATCAGGTATCATTTGTGGACTTTTCTTTACTCGTCTTCAGTAGGCTTCTTGTGGTATAAATAGGGATTTCACTGGATTATCTTTTTTTCTTATTACTGGCTCTGGTTCCTTAACTGGTGGCAGGAATTCCATGCCATAAGAAGGCGACTCATTGGTCCATATGGCCAAAAGTCCAAGTGCATAATTACAGTGCGTGTTTCCTTAGTTTAGACTTCTATATCTTTGCATTTGCAGCATAAGAAACACATTACGAAATCCTCCTCGTTTCTTTTCTTAGCTGAGAAAGCAAGATGAGAAGGTGAAACGCACAGTACTGAAGAGTGTGGTTGGGACTCTGGATTTAAGCATCCGCAGTTTGCTGCCTGGAGAGATCTTCCCTGGGGTATATGTATGATCCTTTTTTTTTTCTCATTGAATGAGGATTTCGGTTCTAAATTTGCATGTGACAGGAGCATGGAAAGGCTCCTCACTTCTGCAACATCGACGGAGGAGGGGAAGACAGATACAGCTACGTCTCCAACTTGGTGGTCTCATTGTCTGCTCGCCGCCAGGGGATAGCAACTAATATGATGCAGTTCGTAGTTGAAACGGCGAAGTCTAGTGGTAGGTAATCAAATCACAGGACGGTAGTAAATAGTAACGGTTCGTAATTATTTTAATGCTGCTTAAATTGTGAGTACTGTTATTTCGGGTGGCAGGTGTGGAACATTTGTATGTTCATGTGGATAGAAACAACAAACTAGCACAGCAGTTGTACGACAAGATGGGATTTGAGGTTAGTGCAGTAGTGAACCATTTATCAGTTGCTGCCTAATTACTTGCTCTTTCTTGTTTGTTTGCCCTTCTGACTTCGGTTATGTGTCTGCCAGATGATTGAAGAGGCAAGCGATGGATTGGTAGAAGACAACACATTCCTCCTACGTTGCAGATTGTAAAGACACGGGAAATGAGTTTTCTGTACAGATAGCAGTGAATAGGACAGTTGATTACTACTTTTGACAGGAATTTGATTTGATCATGTGTAGCCTTAGATTTGGCAATCGAGAACCAACCTCTGCGCAAGCATTTATCGAGAGGGAAAGCATTCCAATATGGTGTATCGATCCATTACAGTTCGAGAACAGCATTTCGTACATAAACCTGATGTTCATTCCTTGCTGCCAGCGACTACTTCAGCTCTGTATAAATACATGCTTTCTCATTCTATTGATTCATAACTCCAGTCATTGCTATTTGTAACGCAAAACAATGTTTCTGGGCGGCCTTCAAAATTGGCGTTTCCTTCAGTAAGGTAATTACATTGCAGTAATCATTAGAACACGGTCTTCGACCTCCCGCAAAAATGGCTTCTTAGTACCTGCCTAATCCGAATGTACAAAAATAAACGTCTCGCTACACACAAACTATGTTCACCACAGGTGGATCCTCCGTATCTAACAGAAGTTCCAGTTTACATGGAGGAGAGGACTGATGCATAATGGGCAGGGAAGGCCTGTGCATCACTCACTCTGACATTTGCTAATGCTGGAGACATCTTCATCCCGATGATTTCCACTACCGGATTCGAGTGACCACTTAGTAGCACATCTGTCAGCTGCTCCGAAAAAAAATACAAAATAAAACACAATCACTCATGTCAGGTGTTTCAAATGAGATGGAAAAATTGTTATGCCTATGATAATTTGATTTAGATTTGTTTACCTGATCACACCCGAAGATCTTGAGCACCTTCAGTGACAGGCAGCTATCCACTATCAATCCAACCGCCTCGTCTGCCAAGTTCCGGCACCATGATAGATCCAAACTCTGCAAATTTCTTGCTCGTCTAGCAACTGACAGTGCAGTGTTGTGGCTAACCTGATAAGAAATACAAGAGGGCAGACAAACAAGATAAGCCACGGATATGATTGGTTTCTTGCAACGGATTCTCTGCCAAGACCTCCAAATAGGGCGAGTGCAAACAGTAAAGTCCAGAATCGAATCTAAATTGGATAAAGTAGAATAAAAATGACGACTATGAGTTGAATCAAAATCGTATTTTGGTCCGACTGATCTGATCATATGTTTCAATTCGTTCGGTCTTTTCCTACTTGTGTCCATTCATATTCCATTCAGTCCAAGTTGTTGCACACCTCCAAAGTCAAACCATCACAAGACAAACAGGAACAGAGTAGGATGCAATTCTAGGTATTAGAATTCCCCAATACTATAGGTCGTCATCATTACAATCTTCTTCAAACTTACTCTCACCTGCTTGACACTATTGAGTGAAAGATCTTTCAATGACTCCCCAGAGGCTTCTATGAATGCGGCAACAGCTTCATCACTGTTCAAAAAGAACAAGAGAAAAGGGTATAAAAAATACCACCACTGCCCCTGGAAACTATCAATAACTTCAATCTGTCACCGAAAGATTCCCAAATCGTTATATAAAGTACCTGAAGTTGTTGCGACAGAGTTTCAACGTTTGGATTTCTTGACACCCATTTGCAAGATATCCCAGTGCAGAATCAGTCAACTGCCGCACATTTGCAAGGTTGAGCGACTGCAGGCAAGGACATGCTGAAGCTATAACTTTCAGGGAAGAATCAGTCAATTTTCTGCATCATATTTCCGATATTCAGCATAGAAAATAGAAAAGTGAGAGTGGAGACGAACTATCTTTCAGGAAAAAATGATGCTTACACACAATCAGAAAGAACAAGCTCCTTCATCGCATGTCCGCACACAGAAACAAAGCAAATGATGAAGTCATCAGAAACTGTCTCGATACCACCCACTGATAGAACTTCAAGTTGTTCAAACCTCAGCAATGCAGGTAGCATAAGCATGGCATCAATGCTTTGGCAGTCATTAAGGTATAATTCCTGCAAAGTAGAACCCAACGAGTCTACTAAAATGCTGATACTAGTTGCAGAAACAAGGGAGCATTGGCTAAGATTCAGGCATCTTAGTGAAGGAGCAGCAGAAACAAGTGCTCTAATCCCAACATCTGAAAGGCGATAAGCACCGTTCAGGGATAATGTATTTAATACAGGCAGGCTGCTTGGAGACCCAGCTAAGGTAGCAAGTAAAACATAATCAGGCATGCCTCGACCAGAATAGTCAAGTTGTAGAACCTGAAAAGAAGACAAAACGCCAGTCAACTACATAACAACAGTTGTTGATAGTAGAGAACACAATGCATGGGGCGTTGCAATACCATGTGCAAATAACACCAACTGAAACATTGATTCTGGCTAAGACAAAAAAGACCAACATGGTAATCAATTGCACAAAGCAAAAAGAACGCTGAGCAATTTCAAAATTCTGCACCAAGGGGACCTATTACTACAACCCCAATCAGTTGGTTGATGGAACTCGCTACTTGATTTCAACTTTAAAATCTAATGCTGTTCATAAATTGAAGCTTTCATTTACACATACCGTTAAATTGCTGGTGTCAAGGCCCTGAACGCAATCTGTGAATTCTTCCTCCGTTAGCCAGGAACAATCCCTGATTCGTATTTCAGAAGGAGATCCACAGGCAATAAGATTCAAAAAATTTGTATTCATCTTTCGAGAATCGCAAAGCAACTGGGAAAGCCTGTGCCTGAAAGCATCAGGGACACACTCTAGTGAAGTGATTGCATCAGCATATTTGGCAAGACCTTCCGTGCACAGCTGTTGCAGCGAAGGAACCATCTTTTTTGAGCGATTACAGCCACCACCATCTTCTCTAGGAGTCCAGTTTATTGCAAAAGAATTGGGCTTGTCAGAAGTGGGTTTCCCACTCTGCAAGTTCATCCTATTTGATCTATCCCTAATAATTTTCATAGCAGTCGAGAATGGACCAGGCCAATCTTCAACCTTCTGCTCTCCCTCAGTAGATTGCCAACCTGCTTGAACACCAGGAGGAGCCTCCTGATGTTGCTGATTCTCTTGAGCTTCAAAATGAGCAAATCGAGCAGCATTCTTTCGTGCTGCGTCCTTGAATTGGACCATTCTAGAACCCGATTCCAGCTTCTTCGACAGAGCATCCATTGTCCGTTTGAATTCACTCTTCAAGAACTCAATTTTAGATTCCAACTCCTTACCTTCCTCATTCAATCTCTCCTGCTCTTCTCTGCTAACCTTTCCCGTGACACCAGTGGAAGATTGATTACGGTTTCGTCTACCTTCACACTCTGCCCCGCCCTCATTGATAATCAAGGTCCCTGGAACTCGTAGTTCTCCATTTTTCACATCATTTTCAATAGAAATCCCCTTCCCTCCAATAGCAGTCTCTAAACTGCCAACTTCCCCCAATTTCCCTTTCCCTTTCTCTTCGCTAGTCCATCTTCTAATGCGCTTAACACTCCGATTCTCATCCAAACTCAAACATTTCCCATCATTTTCGCGTTCTTCCAGTTTAACTCTCTCAGTAATCACGGTAGCAACGTCCTCCACTGCCTGATCCCCTTCCTCAGTCGCTTTATTATCCGCAATCGAACCGACACAGGCTGAAGCACTCCCCCTCTTGCGCCCGGTAGTCGGAGGAGTTTCCTCTACCACTTCCTGTTCAACCCTATCAGCAATCACGTTACCTCCGTCGGCAACTCCCTCCGCCGCCGGATTCCCTTCCTCGATCGCCTTATTTTCCGCAATCGCGCCGACACCGGCTGAAGCACTCCCCCTACTGCACCCGGTAATCTGAGGGGTTTCCTCTTCCGCTTCCTGTTCAATCCTATCAGCAATCACGTTACCTCCGTCAGCAACTCCCATCACCGCTGGTTTCCCTTCCTCGATCGCTTTATTTTTCGCAATCGAGCCGACACCGGCTGAAGCACTCCTCCTTCGCTCGGTAGTCTGAGGGGTTTCCTCTTCCGCTTCCGGTTCAATCCTATCAGCAATCACGTTACCTTCGTTGGCAACTCCCTGCGCCGCCGATTTCCCTTCCTCGATCGCTTTATTTTCCGCAATCGAACCGACACCGCCTGAAGCACGCCTCCTCTTGCGTCCGGTAGTCTGAGGGGTTTCATAGGCGGTCGGTGATCTGGAAGCAAGCCGGCCGCTCCGTCGGGGTGCGGAAAGGGGAGTGGAGGACGGAGAGACCGGGACCGGAGCTTCAGGTTGATGAACGGCGGGGGATTGTCGATCGCCGGAGGGAGTGGAGTCTTTGGCTAGGGTTTGCGGAGTGACTGCTCGGGTCCGAAGCACAACCATGGCCGAGAGATGGGAAACTGGAGGCGGCGCGTTTGGAGGAGATGATGATGGAAGAAGACTGGGAAAGGGGAACGAGGAGATGGGACGGTGGAAGGAGAGTGGAGGAGGACGCGGGTAGCTAGATGACGACTTAGGCGCCCAATTTTAATTAGGGTTTGCAAGACTTTCGAAAAAACAATGCTTCTCAGTCACGCTCCTCAACGGAGCTTGGTGTTTCCCGCCTTTTCCGATTTTTCTTTTTCTTCGAAGGTTTTCTTTGTTGGGCAATTTTGTCAAATCGATTTATAACGTTACATCGGTTTAATAAGTGATATGATTCGATTATGTTTATGTTATTTTACACCGGATTATTAAATTGTGTACAATCTATATTAATAGGTCTTTTGGATATAGTATTTGTCAAACCTGTTATTTGGCACCAATTACCACAAAAATATTACATATCACTATATTTATTATTTGATATGTGGTATTTGTATTAAATATCCGTTCGAATGTGATATGCTTAGTATTTGTTATTTATCAATTTTTCCTTCTTAACCCCATCTCTTGCTATACAGTATACATGCTTGGTCTACATATATATTTTATGGTATTAATATATATAATATAATATGTTTTCTATACCATGTTTTAACATAATAGTGTGTTAAAATATCCAAATTAGTTATAGAATACTTTTTTTAAAAATGTATATGGTACTAATATGTACGGAGTTTATATGTCTTTTAATAGAATAGCGTGTCATGACATAGTGAGTTTTTGTTAGTGTTAAACATAGCTAAGGGGAACAAATAATGGTTATTGGGATCATTGGTAGGGATGGCAACAAAACACGAACTCACGGGTACCCACCCGACCCAACCCGATCAACGCGGGTAAAATTCGTGTTGATGGGTTTTGGGCCAGGTTTGGGTTTAAACCCGTTCACTATTCACCAGGTTGGGTTGGGTTTGGGTTTAGGTAAACTCGCCCCATGGGTACCCGCCCACACCCATATAATTAATTTTCTCGATATATTTAATATTCTAAAAAACTAATCTTATTTATGTTTTTGAAGAAATGTCTAATTTTTTCTTTCTAATTGTTTAGAATGAAGTTGATGTTATCGAGTTGAGAGTGAAGAAACTTAATTGAAAGCTTCTTCCTTTCAATTAATCATGTTTTTATGGATAATTTGTGATTTGCTTCAATTTTCTTGAGTTTTCTAGATTGATGTTGAACAATTTGTATAGTTAATTGTGATTTGCTTGAATTTTCTAGAATGGTGTTTCATATATGGATAATTTGTATTGAGAGTTTGAGATTTGACTTTAATTTAGATAGGAACTTGTTATTGTAAATTTTTTATGACAAAAACCCCTGGGTACCCATGAACCCGCGGATACCCAGCGGGTTGGGTTTGAGTTTTTCAAACCCAGTGGATTTTACCTCGGATTTTTTCACAGAGAAACCCATGAGTTTGGATTTGGCAAAACCCAACTCAACCCATTGTCATCCCTAATCATTGGGAAAGAAGAGACGAAAAACTTGGACTAAAAAAGAGAGGCTAGTTTGGGGTTTATAAAAAAGGAATGAGGACATAATTGGAACAAAAAATACAATAACTTGTTCTACTTTCACTGCTGGCTTTATAGGTAGGCATACGAGAACAATTTTATTTGCAGATAGCTTCTTCACCACCTTGTTGCTTTCCTCTCATATGAGAATCTGGCCATAAACAAGTTCCTGAAAAAGCAAAACAAGGTAGCCGCCACAAACTTGAAGCGATCTGATTGTGCAACTTTTTCCATTGGTGCACATTCGAATGAATTGATTTAAACTAGGCAGCGTGGCGCTCTATGCTGCGAGGTTTGGTTACAAATCTGGGCATCTGCCTCAAAATGGTAAGCCATCTTTGAAGAATTTACACCATGTAGCAGCATTACCTGATTCACCCAAACAATGAGCTTACAAATAAATCTGCTGCAGAATTCAATTTATTCGATCAATGAGAAAGACAGAGAGAGAGCTCTAAAGTCTAAAATTTAAGAAAATAAAATTTGCCACCGGTACTGCCTCACACGCAAGTTCAAAAGAACACAGTTAATACCAATCGTAAAAGGCAGGCGCAAGCTGTGGAGAAACTGAAGTACCTCAAATCCTAGTACAAGAGGAATCGAAATCATCGGGGGCGACCTTTGAAATCCAATTGCTCAGAGTTCTCTTGATGTCGGAGTGATTAACGTAAGCCAACTCGTACATGCTGCACAGATTCACAACGAGTGTCTCGTTCAGTGCCACCGTGGGCACCCTCTCGAGTGAAGTCTCCAGCACCTTAATCGAATCTGACAAGTCCCTCAAGTACATCAAGCAAATTGCCTTGTTGTTGATTGCCACAGCATCCATGGCATCCCGCTCGATGCAGGCGTCGTACTCCCTCACAGCAGAGACATAATCCTTCTCCACCAAGTACATCAAAGCCTTGTTCCTGCTTACCATATTTGTCAATTCAGTCTCGTTCAGCGAATTCTGCTTCTCCACTTCATCAAACGAGCCCTTTGCGCCCTCTAGATCCCCGATTTGCATCTGTATGTACCCTAACTTCGACAACAAATGCGGGTCCGAATCCCCCCGAGCCAGCAGGCACTTGATCAAATCCAAACACACCCCATGCTCTTTACCTTTCAAGTGCTCCGTAACAATGTTGTTCACAACAAAGACCTCTCTCTTTCTCCACACATCAAGCGAAGCGGCTACCTCCTCCTTTTCCTTCATCTTCCCTCGAACAAAATCGAGCAGAAGGTATAGCCGGTCCAATCCCTCTTGCCGGTCACCCAATTTTATAGGAACCAATGCGTGAAGCCACCGGAGGGAGAAAGGAACCATGGAACCTGACCGGGTTGGGTAGATTTTGGGGTAAGTTTCATACCGGTAGTGGTGACTATCCAAATCATCAACTGTTTCAAGTTCTGTCAAAGCTTCCTTGAAACGTCGAAGCTTGGTGAAAGCAAGGACGTTATAAGCCAAATACGTGAGGTGATCATGAGGCGTTGTCAGTAGGGATAGAGACCGTGCTCGAGCAACCTTATCGAGAATCGACCGCCAAGAACCACGGTTGGAAAGGTCTTGGAGGGATGCCAGCTCATGAGCCAGGTCATTGAGGGAGGCAAATTTGTTGGATAGTGGATCACTGGATGGTGGTAAGGGTTCGGGTTGCAAATCCAGGGAGTCGGCTTCCATGGTAACTTGTTGAAATAGATTACCTACCAAGAACACAAAATAAAATGGATAGAGAATTAACCAACCTAGATTCATACACCCGATCCCAAATCTTGCGAAGTATCTATTTGATCAGTAGCAATAAACATAGCATAATCAAGTTGACCACAAACAAGAGAAAAAGGCAAACAAAGGGCAAAGTGCATCAACCGATGTTGGCTTTATTGTACCTAATATTGCTATGTCAAAGGAGGACAAATAAAGTAAGGAAATAACAGAAATTGGCCAGGCAAATTTATGAGCCATTTTTATACTTCTTCCAACCCAATAATTTCATTTGCAGCAGCAATGTACAGAAGCATGAAAAGCAAAAGCCCATAGGAGAAGTGGCAGAATTCTGGAAGAAAGAAAATCAGGATAAATTCTTTGCTGGGAAATCATTGAGATGATCATATGATTGGAATAAAAAAATAAAAAATAGAAGCACATGGAGCCATCAACAATCTTGCTGGAAAGAATTTTAGCTGCTAAAACTATCCATTTGAAGATGTAAAATGCCAAGATCAGACAAGATAATGAAATTGAAACTAGTATACATTATCACCAATTTTACTCACACAAAAATTAGACATAGCTAAAGGATCCATCATACCTCATTTATTATCACAATAGTCCTAAAAAAAACCTTCATACTTTAAGAAATAAGGAAGCTGAAAAATCTTAAACCAAATGAAGGGTCGTCAACTGGATGATCTATGCTAATACTAAGCAGTATCGGAGAAAAATACCCCGCAAAAGCACCAACATTAGCAGAAACCGATAACATACATGGCTAAGATCTTTTATCCTCAACATTAGACAGAAAATGAATGAGGTCAAGGTCCAGAGTGGAAATAGTTTGAAACAAGAGACTCGCAGCAGCAAAGGTTCTGCATTCTGTTATACAGCACACACAAAAAATGTGGCTTCATCTTCACCACGAATGAACCATCAATCCACATGCAAACCATGACAATCACCTACTTCACCGTTTCCACTCGAACAACCTCCAAAATCCTTAACTAAAGCCGGATCTCATGCAAGCAGCACCCAAACTTTGCTCAGGTTTACAAATGAGCGGCAAAAGCATCTAAACTACAAATCAAACATCCTTTAACTAGCACCGAGTCCAGCTGTGCCGAACACAGTGATTACAACACATATCTAAATCAGAATGGACGAACATAAAGCAAAATCGACACCTTCCTACTACAAAGCCACCATTGACAGAAGCATCCCTTGAAGAAAACAAGCTAAACCCACTCTTAAATACAGCAAATTATCAAGATTGTCAAGTGCGGCAATAGCAAGGATTACTCAAAGCTATTTCAAAACCGGAGCATATGTGTAAGGAATCAACAGAGGAGGTTAACTTATGCATCCTGAAAACGCAAAGAAGAAATGCAAGCAGAATGTCCAAGTTCAACAAAAACCCAATCAAGGACACAAACTGAAATGGATAACCAAAGCCTCGGATCTCATAATACAACGTAGCTAATTTGCAAAATACCTTAGGGAAGACAAAGATCTTGAGCAGATAGAGTTTCGATTCAATGGAGAGCCAAAAGGAATCCTTGCCAACCCCTCTATCTACCTCCGAGATCCACTGGTGCCTTGGACCTCTCGAGCCAGCTTTATTTCTTCACCTGTCCGGTATCCACCGATCTCTTTCTCTATCTTTCTTCCGATCCAGCGAGCTGCCAGGGCTGGGGGAAGTGAGCTGCGACGGCGGCCACGGGGACGCTTATCGTTCTTCCTTCGGCGATCTCGATCGACTCGATTCTCTCGATGTCTTTCTTATTTTTCCAAAAATATTTTATTTTCAATCAAGATCAAGAACAAAGTTTTTAATTTGGGCCCAAACTCAGAAGCAAAAACTCATTCATCGAAACGGCCCGCTTTTCATCATAGACTCAAAGTGCCTTGGATCTTTGGTCGGCAGAGGGTCTCTCAACTCATTAAACCAAGTGGATCTTTCGGCTTGCCTCTATGTTGTCCCAAATAAAGCATCATATCTTTTATGGGTTAATTGCATTGCAGGTCACTGAGATTACAAGTTTGGTCACTGAAAATATTTAAATTTAATTTTGATCACTCAAATTAGTTAAATGGTTAAAGTTTGGTCACTCTCCGTCCAACTGCGTTAAATTTGTCTGATGTGGCAGTCAACTTTCAAAATTGACCGTTAACTCAATGACGTGGCAATTAAAAAATAATAAATTTTAATCTTCTACCATTTCCAACTCATTTTCACAATACACTAAAATAAATAAATAAAAAATATTATAATTAGCTAATCATCCATGGAAAAGGGCACTTTTCACCTGCCACTACATCCCTTCCCTACCCCTTCTTCCAACTCCATACAAGGGTGGAGGAGGTGTGGAGGTCTACCGAGTCAACATGCCCCTCGGCCCCTTTCATCGCCACAAACTCTCACGCCATCGTCCTGCTCAAGAGCAAGAGCTTCCCGGTGCACTTCAATTTATCTAAAGTCGAGAAGAAGAATGTCTTCACTAGGACCTACATGCCCTCCACGGATCTCACCGGAGGGTACCGAATCATGTCCTACCTCAACCCGTTCGAATCCAATCACACCAAGCTCAAGCAATTGCTTTTCAATTTGATCAAATCCAGTCGCGATTACGTGATTCGCGAGTTCAATTCCTCACTTACTGAGCTCTTTCAAGTGCCAGAGTACGATCTGGCGACGAAAGGGAAAGCCGATTTCGCCGACCCGAGCGAGCAGGTCGCTTTCAATTTCCTCTCACCGGCCGGGCCTTCTTCGGCGTGAGGCCGGTCGACACTCCCTTGGGGAAAGACTCGTCGACGCTGATCTCGAAGTGGGTCCTTTTCAACCTCGCCCAGATCCTATCCGCCGGGCTGCCGAAGGAAATCGAGGAGGCCACCCTCCACACCGTCCATCTCTCGGCGGCGCTCTTCGAGAGCAACTACCACCGCCTCTACGAATTCTTCTCCTCCGCGGCCGGGTCGGTCCTCGACGAGCCCGAGTAGTCACGTCACTGAGTTAACGGTCAACTTTGAGAGTTGACTGTCACATCAGACAAATTTAACAGAGTTGGACGGAGAGTGACCAAACTTGAACAATTTAACTAATTTGAGTGACCAAAAATGGATTTAAATATTTTCAGTGACCAAACATGAACGTTTTTTGTAATCTCAGTGACCAACCATGCAATTAACCCTATCTTTTATTGATATTTTTACAAAGGATGGCAAGCAAGAAGCTGTTTTGCATCATATAAGTTGGGAGAGGGAGGAGGAGAAGACTGATTGCACCAGGGTGATTCGAGCTGCCGCCTGCCAGCCAACAATATATCTCCACCTTCCAATCTACAAGATGAGCATATATTTTGTTGATTAGCTCAATGTAAGTGGATTTAGATACTCTTATCATGATTAATCGGTACTCAAAGGTAGCAAACGAGGTTATGTGTTTTTTTAACTCACAAAGTTACATTTATACTCGCCTATCTAGTCACGTTCACGTTCTTAGAGAAGAAATAATGCGATTTGGGGTGACTAACTTGGTGTCTCAAGGTTGCATACTTGCATTGGAAGCCACAAAGCATTCCAGAATGATATTAGCAAGATTGTCAAACCTGTATCCGACAGGCCGGTTCAATCGGTTCCTGCCAGACTAGATCACTTAAATGATTGGAATGCACTCCGATTGGATGGTTATGGAAAAGTCAAAATCTGGTTAAACTAGTTAAAATGGGGGAGGGGGGAACAGTCAAACCCGAATGGTCTGATCATTCAAAACCACATTTAAAACCACGATAAACTATCCTACAATTGTGATTTAATAATAGTAACCCTCTTATGATGAGAAAGCTAGCTAACCGATGCCCAACTCCATATTTCCATTAATCTTATGACTCAATCTCCTCCTAGAGGCAGAGGAGAACAAGTTCCAGCTAGTCCCGTAACTGTTTGAGTTGACTTTCAGCGGCAACACATCACCCACAACAACTCGTACTTTTTCTGTTTGCAGCCAACATCTAATGCAAGCTTGGAATTAGCTGTACGCCTTATACCGACACATAGTTTGCATTTTGTGCCAAGACAAGCGCAAACGGGAAAACACAGTTGTAACCAGGGAACCGAATCCATTCTGAGGATTGTTAAACCCTGGGGTTTTGATTGCTTTTCCCTTAGCCGTTGATCTCCTTTGTTTTTCAAATGAAGAGGACGATGCTAGGGAGAGGAAGATGAGTGAAAAATAACGGCACTCAGTTGCAGACTGAAAAGATTATCTTTTCAGTCTGCAACTGAGTGTCTGAAAAGGTTCTATTCTTGTTCAAAAAAAAGGTTCTCTATTCCAAGTCCGGCAATAGTACGAAGGCATTAGTGGCTACTACATCAAATTAGGTGTCGGCTACACTTTCTTATTTGCCCATCCTTTTCTTCCCCATTTAATTTTATACTCAACGATTTCATTCGTCGAGAGTCGAGACAACCCACAATTCACAAAGGGGGCCTAGCTAGTTGGTTCATTTATTAAATCACATTCCCTGGCCATCTGAAAAGAATGGGAGGATGTTGAAGTCTCAATAAGCTTTACGAGTTTACGATTTAAGTGAAACTATTTTCGATACGAGCGAGGAAGTAATTGTAGTTGGTGTGATCAGTCTGATTTGGGACGAAAGTGATTTCGTGTTTTGACTTTTAACTAGCGTTCACGAATATCTTGTGATGTTATGTCCTTTTGAGACACTCAAATCGTTCATGTTCAAGTGAGTTATGTACACTTGTTCCAGTAGGGTTTCCAGCTTAATAATCGAAACAAGAGATTAACTCTAGAAAAGTAATCGTGATTACTTGTCTCGTTGAATTTAATTTACTTTGGCTAGAGAATTTTCATCACAAAAAAAAGTGGTAGAGATTCAGAGAAATGCAAGTAATTGGAGTTTATGAAATTCAAATCCAGCAATCGACATTAGGGGTGTCAGCTCGGGTCGGGTTCGGTTACCCGAAAAAACCCGAAAACCCGAAACCGAAAACCACTAAAACCGAACCCGATATGGACTTGCGGGTTCCGGTTACCCGAAACCCGAGAATTCCTTATCGGGTTCGGGTTCGGTTAAAGCAAAACCGAAACCCGAAAACCCGAATGCCTAAGAATACGGGTTGAGTTCTATTCATTGGAGGTTTTTAGCCGGAACCCGAAAAACCGATAAGCAAAACCGAAAAACCCGAAACAAACCCGAACCCAAAAAACCGAAAATGTATATAATCGGGTCGGTTTCGGGTAAACCCGAAAAACCAAACCCGAATGGACACCCCTAATCGACATGGACGCAAAGTGTTTTAATATTTCTTCGATATATAAGTTGTTGTAGTTCACATTTGAGTGTTCAAATGTGCTGGATCAAAATTCAAGTTTTATAGCATTATAATATAGTTAATCAAAAAATAAAAATAATCAATGGTCCCGTAGCTCAGTTGGTTAGAGCGTTGGTCTTATGAGCCGAAGGTCGCGGGTTCGAGCCCCGCCGGGACCATTATTTGTTATTTCGACTTGTCATTTATTTTTTATTAACGTGGTGATTGAAGATTAGAACCACAGGCAGCTTCTTTCTTTTTCAAAGCAATACAAAGAACATAAAGCACAGAAAGAGCATGTTTATTCTTGTATTTGAATCAGCGGATTACTCTAGACCATAAACCTCCAATTTTGAGTTCTATCCCTAAACCCCAAATTATAAATTCTAAATCTCTAAACTCTAAATCCTTCAAATTAAAGTAAATATTTAATGGTTTTTTTGCAAATTCATGTGTGTTATTGTTCATCGCATAATAAATGATGATTGGCATCATTTTGACATAAATTGCATGTTTAAAATGACGGTTATGAAGCGAGTTCACTGAATGCACCCAAAAAAGTGAGTGCACCGAAGACGCCACCTATTATTTATACATATATAATTTATATCAAATCTCATCTAACATATGAGTAATAGCATAAAACATTACACCAACATAATAGTTCGTACTTGAAAATAAAAATTCAAACACACTTGAATCCACCATATAAGTTAATGCTTGGCACCTTGAATGAACTGGAACAACCATAGGGAATATAAATAGAACTCGTGATTAGAGGAGTTGGAACCCATCTCTGTGTATGTCTTGAACATAACACGGTTATTACACACATGATTCAAGACATCAGTGTCCATCCACCATCCTTCTGAGTTACCAGTGAGGTTAACTTGAACAAAATCCTCCTCTTCATTCTAGTTAACATTAGGACCAATGTTCGGCCTATTCCTACACTTTACTGTCATATGACCTGGTATCCTACAATTATAGGAGAGAATGGAGTGTCATTCTTAGAGGATTGTCCTGCAGTCTTTTGGATACCATGAGGGCACCATTCTGATTAGTGAGGATCTTCTGGTTTTGATTCTTGAAACTCTTTTGATTTGGTTTCAGAACCCTGAGAATGGATCGTTTAACACCGACAAACAACACTTATTCCTTTATATCCTTTTTACGAGCTTCTTCCTTTATTCTTATGCAAGTAATCAAACATTCCAACGAAAATTCTTTGATTTTATGTCTAGTAACATTTTCTGAAATTCTTGTGACTGAACCTCGACAGACTTGTCGTCCACTAGGGGTGGACATTCGGTCGGTTCGGTTTCGATCGAACCAAAATTATGAATATCGGGTCCTCGAACTCTCTCAAACCTCAAACCAAATTCGAATTGAATATAATTCGGTTCGTCGGTTTAAACCAAATT